CTGATTCCCAAGTAGATTGGTTGTGAGAGCTTTCCAAATCTCAGAGGAGTATATGCAATCAAAAAACAAATGGTCTCGTGATTCATCTGCTTGATTACATAAAACACACCCTTGCTGATGTACCAAGTTCCAGCAACTCATTCGGTCCTCAGTAGAGAGGCGGTCCAAGATGGCTACCCAAACTAAGAAGGAGTATTTGGGTGTGGCGTAGCGGAACCAGATGCCTTTGTACCAGTCATTCTGGGCTTGTGCTGATCGAATTTGATTCCAGGTACATTTAGTTGAGAATATTCGTTTGACTTGTCCTTCGCAGTTCGCCACAATGCGATATCTGCACCATCTCGATGACATCTTCGAGCTGTGTTAATTTCTTCTTTGATTTGGTTAAGAACTTCCATTCTATGTCTTTTCCTTCGACGAGTATTTAGGACCATTGCCATTGTTGCTTTTGGAGTGATACCAAGGTCAATACAACCACGATTCCCCAGAATATCGTGAAGGCATCCGATAGGGCATCAAAACATCAAACCAGGAAGATGTGGTTTCACAATTCTGGATTTCGATTTTGTAGAAATATTTTGCTATGTCTCGATATTTAAGAAGTTTCCTCCACATCCATGAGCCCATACTTGTGTGTTTCCCTTATTGACCAAAAAAAATTTTGTTGGAGGAGCGTGTGTTTTGTCCATTCAACCCAGAGGGATGGTTGGTTTGATACTATCCTCCAAATTAGCTTCAAACAGCATTTTTGAGTGATCGAATTCCTAATCCTCCTTCTGACTTTGGCCTGCATACATCACTCCAACACACTTTTGATTTTCTTGAATTCAGCTCAGGTCTTGACCATAAAAAGGCAACAAATAACTTGTCGATTTCCTTTAGGCAACCATTTGGAAGCCTGAATGCAGATATCCAGAAATTAACAACGCTAGAGATGACTGATCTTAAGAGTTACAGACGAACAACATAGGATAAGTATCTTCCACGCCATGAACTCATTCTACTCCGAATTTTTTCCAACAACGGGTCATAGTCAGTGTTCGATAAACGCTTTGTTGTCAGTGGCAAGCCCAAATATCAAACTGGAAGCTGACCCGTATTGAATGAAAAACGATCTGTTATAGCTCTTCTGTTTGTTTTAGACACCCTCGCTAAGTAAAGAGTAGATTTCTCTAAGCTTATCTTCAGTCCTGATTTCCCTGCAAATTCATCAAAGATTTTAATCGTCCCTTCAATCGATCATTTATGTCCATACAAAGAGACAATTAAGTCATCAGCAAAGCATAAATGAGTGATTTGAATACCTTTACATTTCGGGTGGTATCCAATTCTGCGTTCAACAGCAGCTTTGTCTATCATCCTCGAGAGCACATTCATACAGATGACAAAGATATAGGGAGATAAAGAGTAGCCTTGTCTTAAACCCCTCTCACTTTAGAAATATCCTGCCAGTTCGCCGTTGACTTGAACAGAGAAAGAGGCAATGGATATACACAATCGAATTCAGTGCACAAATTTCTCCGGAAAGTTTAAAGCAGCAAGAGTATTTAGAACAAAATCCCACTGAACTGAGTCGAAAGCTTTGGAAATGTTGATTTTCATGGCACACCGAGGAGAAACTGAGTCCTTATGGTAATCTTTTACCAACTCTGTTGCAAGTAAGAGATTTTCCATAAGTAAACGGTTTTTAACGAAATCCGACTGGTTGCCACTGATAAACTTTGGGAGTATGATCTTCAATCGATTGGCAATGATCTTCGAGATGACTTTATATAAGATATTACAGCATGATATGGGCTTGTAATCTCACATTTCTCTTGCTTCATCCTTCTTTGGGAATGAGGGCCAGAATGGTGGAATTAAAACCTTTCGGAAGGAAACCTTTGTTAAAAAAGGATTTGATTGCTACCGTGCAATCCTTGCCAACAATATCCCAAGAGGATTTGAAGAATTACTAGTGAATATGTCGGGTCCTGGCGATTTGCCATTCAGCATAGAGAGCATGACTTTTTTAATTTCTTCATCGGTCACGTCTTTTTGGAGTTGGTCTCGTTCCACTTCAGAGCATCGGAATGTAAGAAAACTTTGCAATTACTCTATAGACATCCAGTGATAGTCATGTGGTTTATGAGTCAAAAAATCTTTGAAAAATCCTTCAGCTTCAGCTTTGATTTCATCTCCATTTGTCAAGATATCCCCATTCAAAGCTACTATCTCTCTAATCATATTCCTCATTTTCCGAATCTGAGCAGCTTTATGAAAGTAGGAGTTGTTACCATCTCCTACATTTAGCCAATGGAGATTTGCTTTCTGCTTGAGAAAACACTCTTCCAGTACATATACTAATTTTCATCTATCGAAAGCAGCAGCCTCTTCTTCTATTCGTAGTGGATAGGGGTCCTGAAGAGTTTCAGCTTGTTTGGCGTAGAGATGTTCATAAGCCTTATGTGTTTGTTTAGAAAGATCTCATATCTTCTCCTTTCCCAAATAGCGCAGGATTGGTTTAAGGTATTTAAGTTTTTTTTACCGACGAAACAATGCTGAAGTCGAGTCAAAAAGTGGCTCTGTTGTTTCCCAGTAGCTCTCTACCAATGATGAAAATTGGGGTAGTTTTGTCAGGATGTTGATGAATTTAAACGGCTGGCATTTTCTCGTGGTTTCAGCTTCAATTAAGAATAGACCTTGAGTATGTTCTGAATAACCGCATGGCTCGAATACACCGTATGAGTAAGGATAGAGATCCATCCATTTCTCATTAACAAGTAAAACGTCTAGCTTTTTGCAGATTACACCCTCTTCTCGCTTGTTACACCAAGTGTAAAGTGGTCCATGGTAGGCAAGATCAGTGATTGATCAGTGCCTCACTAAGTTTTAAAAATCTGTCATTCCTGCAGACATGGAGTTTGAGTAACTCGAATGTTCCTCACCTGATAGAATTTCATTAAAAACACCACAAATGGCCCATGCTTTCCCACGAAACATATGTGAATCTTGATGATTTCTTAGATCTTCCCATAATTTCTTTCTTTCTTCCATAAAGTTAGAAGCGTAAAAAAAGGAACAAAATAATTCCTCCTCCTTTCCTTCCAATAGCACTGAAACCGTGATAATCTGATCACTCTTAAAAACTGGAGTTAGTCTCACCTTATCTCTCCATACAAACCAAATGCGTCTCAACCGATGATGCTCATAGTTGGAAATAAAAGACCAATCCTGAAAAACTGTAGATATGATTTGAACTGCTTTACGCTCCTTTACTCGGGTTTCCAACAAGCACTCAAATTGCAGATAATGATTATTTACCCATTGACGTACTATGGAAAGTTTTGGGGATTGATTGAAGCCAAAGACATTCCAAAAGAAACTTGTTATGATTATTTTTTTCTTGGTTGAATTCTTTTTTCCCCTTTCATTAGGACCAGCGTCCTTGCTGATTGGGCCATGAGTTGCAGATAAGAATTTTTGTGAAGCCTTAGAAGAGCGATGAAGAGAAATGCGGGTACCCGGTTCATCTTTTCCATCTTCCTCTGCTCAAATTTCACCTTCCTCTGTGACCAGCTCCTGATCAGCCTCATCTGCGGTAACCACTTCGTCTTCTTGCAGAATTGCATAACGAGATGGTGTAGTGATACGGCCATCCTTTGGTTCGAGTTCTAAGTGGCTGCCAACTTTTTTTGGTGAAACTGATAGCCATGTATCTACACCGACAATGTTTTCAGGCAAATCAGAATTAGAAATATTCTCTTCCTGCGTTTCAAGAACTTTCTCCTCTTCAGCTCCTTCAAGAGCTTCATTAACTAACTCATCTTCTTGTTCTTTACTCATACGAAGTTGTGAATCTTTGATATGTGCTTCATGTACCAATGTAGCCATATTCTCATTTGCTATTTGAGCAGCCTTAACCTATGTTTTATTTGTTTCCGATACATCTCCTTGTCTCTTTAGGATTTTGATATTCCCGGATTTGACTAAACAAATCTCTGCTGAATGACCCCACTTGTCACACGTCTTGCAACGAGGAGGAAGCCATGGGTAGGAGAAATCAACTTCTACTAGCTTCTCCTTTAGTTTGAACCTGTGTGCCTTTGGTAATTCCTTTGACATGTCCGCTTCTACAAACACCTTTGCTTCATCAAACTTTACACGGAGTTCTGTTTCCGGGTGAAGCCTTTTTGGTTCCCCCACAACACTCGCAATGAATCCCAAACCCTGCCAGGAGAACATTGATGGATGAACATTCTTCAAAGTGACCCACATAGGTATCGTTTTTATCTCTGGCTGTGCTTCCTCCGCAATTGGGGACCATTGCAATATTCCACAAGCGTCTTCTCAATACCTTTAATCTGACTGCTGCTTCCCTTATTCTGAATTTCACCGTTTTATCATTCACCATAAATACATCCACTTTCACTGATTTGTCTCTGAGTGACCAAATTTTATTGACGATAACATGAATTTCCGCCACATGTGGCACTGCTGATAAAAACCAACCAATCAAGAAGTCTTCCCAAAGAGGAGTATCATCTTGAATCTCCTCAGGCACAACCACCGTTCTCGATCCTTCCACCATTGAAACCTAGAATTCATGTGATGGTTTTTCACAATATTCACCCATAATTGCTTTTTTGGAGAATCCGGCGGTGAAGTGATTGTCGGCAGAGCACTTTCCTCAATTTCTGTCATTTCTCTGGAGAGATACCGGCGGCAGAGCCACTTAAATCCCTAGTGAAAGGCAGAAACTTTTGAAAACCCTAATTGCCTCAAAAATCTATCTCTCTGCTCGGTTTTCTCTTTATTTTTATAAATTACCCCCTTAATTTCATTTTATTTACACTAAAATTTAAATAATCTATTTATCTATTATATAAAGAGTGAGTTGCGTCTCATAAGGAAATGACACTTCAGCATCCCTCTCTATGACACATCAGCACAAAAGAAAAATCAAAAATCAAAAGTGTCTTTCGTAAAATCAGTTAAGTGAAATAAAAAATAGCTACTCCCGAAGCGTTTCCTCCCACAATTTACAATTTTGGGGTGTTTATAATTGATGTTCATCTCCATAAGTCTCTCAACATTCTCAGAGAAGCCGTCTCTTTCCTGTAATCTCTCAATCTATTATCTTCTCTCCGATTCCAATGTCGAGCCGTTGGTTGAGACCCGAATTACTCTATCGATCTTCGTTACTCTTTGATTTCATCTAAATCAAGTGGATAGAGTGCATCCACTAAATTCTCTGTCGACTACGTTTGTCTTTCTAACTTCTAAACGCTTAGCGTTAGACCTAGCATCGATTCTTCTTAGATTTGGCTCCTGTGTATACGTAAATCAATATGAGAATGTGTTTCGTTGTTGATTTTTTTTTCTCTCTCTGTCTCTCCCTCAGGTGTATCCCCTGTTCGCCGCTACCGGAGTTGCCGTTGGGATCTGCGCGTTTTCGTTGATAAGGAACATCCTGAAGTCAGGTCTGTATCTCCTCATCTTCTTCCTGAGATTTAGATTGCCTCTTCGAACCAATGAAGCGACACATTGGTTTGGCTTCATGAGCGGATGTTTCAGTTTTTGTAGGAAAACAAATTCTTTTGGGTTCTTGCTCATAAAATCACTTAAACTCAGTGTGATGTTTTTTGGATTTTCATAGATAATGGAAGAAAGGAAGAGAGTTAAGAAAGATGAGAAAGGTGTAATGCCAGCATCTTTTGCTTTTGCTGATTATAATCTCTGTGAAATAAACATTCTTGAATGGTTTTGCTATGATTTGTAGGATGGGCGGATATGATTCATGGGCTTACAGTTCCAGCTGATAGAAACTATCACGTCCAGACACTTCATGAACCGATAGGCGTAGCTGGACAAATCATTCCGTGAAACTTTTCGCTTTTAATGTATGCTTGGAAAGTTGGTCCTACTCTTACTTGTGGTAACTCCATTGTCCTCAAAACCACTGAGCAAACGCCTCTCACCACTTTCTACGTCAGCAAGCTTCTACTTGAAGTAAGATTTCCATTGTTGCTAGGAAAAAAAAAAGAAACTTTGATATGTAACAACGTTTCTTGAAATATATGACAAGCGGGTCTTCCTCCGGGTGTTCTGAATATAGTTTCTGGATTTGGTCGAACCGCAGGTGCTTCCCTCGCGAGTCACATGGATGTAGACAAGGTTAGAGATATCTATTTGCTTGCTCTTAACTTCTTTACGAGATTAATTTTATGTTTTCATTGTTCTTTTTTTTCTGCAGCTTGCTTTCACAGGATCGATTGATACGGGAAAAGTTATACTTGAATTGGCTGCTAATAGTAATCTCAAGCCGGTAACTCTGGAACTTGGAGGGAAATCACTGTTCATTGTTTTCGAAGATGATGATGTCGATAAAGCTGTAGAGCTTGCACACTTTGCTCTCTTCTTCAACCAGGTTTTGGCAATAGTAGAATATAAAACACATTGACATTGCACTTACTCAATTTCTTGAGATAATGTTAAGTAATGTGAGTCTCGTACATATGTTTATGAGAAAGTTAATGATGAGTTTGTTGGGAAAGCAAAGGCGCACGCGTTGAAATGTGTGGTTGGTGATCCTTTCAAGAAGGGCATTGAACATGGTCCTCAGGTTACACTTACAAGACATTCATTTTGCTTTCTCATTAAGCTTTAGTCTTTCTCTTTTGTTGATTCTGGTTTACCTCTTGTATAGATCGATTTGAAGCAATTAGAAAAAGTGATGAAGTACATAAGGTCAGGTGTCGAAAGCAATGCTACTCTTGAATGTGGAGGTGATCAGATCGGAAACAATGGTTACTTCATTCAACCTACAGTCTTCTCTAATGATAAGGTAAATAAGAAAGAACATAAACTCGACTTAGGCTTCTTTAGTGTTCTTCTATTTTGATTCTCTTGGTTCGAAAAACAGGACGACATGCTTATTGCTCAAGACTAGATTTTCGGTCCAGTTCAATCAATCTTGAAGTTTAGGTACGTAGAGCTACCAATAACCGTGAAATTACACTTACCACTTCACTAATCACTAATGATGGGAAATGATTAATTAAACCGAACTAATCTTGAACTGAACCAGAAGAAACCGAAATGTTATGGGGTTTGTTGATGTTTGGATACAGGGATGTATATTAGGACGGCGAACGAAACGAGGTACAGGCTAGCCGTAGGGATTTTTACAAAGAGCCTTGACACAGAGAATAGGGTTTCGAGAGCTTTGAAAGTTGGCACCGTTTGGGTTAACTGCTTCGACGTCTTTGACGCAGCCATTCCCTTTGGTGGTTACAAGATGAGTGGCAATGGCAGAGAGAAAGGCATTTACAGTTTCAATAATTACTTGCAGATCAAGGCAGTTGTCCCTGCTCTTAATAACCCTGTGTGGATTCAATGATTTCTTGTGGTTTTCAATCATAAATGCTCAAATAAAAGAACATAAGACTCTTGAGTAACAGGATGTGTGATTGTCGGTTATAAATGTGTAATCAAGTTCTCTCACTGTAACTTTGTTTCCACTCATATTATATTAGCTGTTATATTGTTTACAGATTCTATTTACAGGATTCATAGGACCAAAAAATTTAGGTTGATTTTTATTAATTTGTTTACTGTACTCAACATTTGTTGGTAAAAAAACCTACACTTGGTAATAAATGTGTAAGCGAAAAGATTGTATTTTTTTAATTATTATATGATCATTTATAAGACATATTGTTAGATTATTTAGGCCTATTTAGATGACTTTAATAAAGTACTAATCTTTTGTTTTTTTTCCTTGAACTAAGTTGTCAACCAACCTAATCTGTTAAATCTTCATGCTCATTAGATGAGATATACAACTGAAGATAATAAAATCTTTACAAGATAATAGAAAATTATAAACAATCACAAACTATATTAATATGCAGCTTCATCTCTCTTCTCTTTTTTTTTCTCATGGATCTTCATATTCAATGTTTTGAAGCATGTCTATCATGCTCACCAAAAGGATCAAAACACACACTTTTTGTTAATCAAACCATGCTGCTAATAGAAATCCCGTGCATATGCACGGGTAATCACCTGATACTTGTAATAAATGTCTTATAAATAAATTAATAAAGCATTTGTCTAAAGTTATATGGTTTAGTGATTTGTACCATTGTTGTTGTTGTTGCTATCGAATCATATAATATAATAAGACTCAAACTTAATGATATGCATGTTATCAATTGTAAAATGGTATAATTTTAGTGTACCAACTCTTGGTCCGATTAAAAGCGAAACTAGATCTCCTAATTTGGTATGGTAAGCTTTGCACATGATCAGTAAGATGACTCAATCCCATAAGGTATGGTAATTGGTAAACGAAAATAATGAAAGTGGACCAGCATCATGGGTTCACGATTTGCACTATTGTTTCTGTTGAATTATAATATGAATACGAATTAAATAATATGCATGCATGGAACAATTATGAAAGAAGTGTAACTATCTATTACTTTGAGTGAAGTTTCGTTAGACGATTTGACAAGAATAAATGTTACTAATATATAACGTATATGATCGATCGGATAGTTGAATTGAATCACTGAGAAACGGACATTTATGATATACTTAAAATTAAAAATAACGATTGTGAAGACTGGATCCTCAATCTAACCGATTTAGGCTTGCGACTGTGAAAGAACCTGAAAACGTCAAGAGTAAGATCGAGTCGACGCATAAGGGTTTATCGAGTTCAAGATTCGAAATTGAGCATATAATCATATAGACTACTATATATTAGTGTTTATTTGATACATATGATGCATTCTAATAATAAACTTGGCATCACATGGATTTTGATAACGTTAAATTCTTAATCACTCGTGGTCAAACTATGAATTTACCAAGCTTCATAGCTAAAATGGAGAAACTAATTAAAGGTTTTAACGATCATAAATCATATTTTTCATCCTGCAAGACTGAGCAACTTCTCTCGTACAGCCTCAGGTCATTACCAACACTTGAAACGAATTAATCAGAGCTTCAATCACTTCGTTGTACATTCCAAAAATGTAGACCACGAGTCCTCCTGATGGTCTTTCTTGTACAATTAGCTTGTTGGTGCTTCTATGATGCATATTTGATAGCAAATAGAAAGAGAAAAAACAATTAAACTTTATTAGTTAATTAAGAAACCAAGATTCGTGCGTAATTGTTTTGTATTATAGATAAATGACAAACAAAACAAGTGTAGATGATTATTCTTTTACTTGTGAAGATTTTGAAAGTTTCTCAAAAATGTTAAATGCGCCTTCAGAAATTATAGATTAGCAATGGAGACTTTCGGAAGACTCTTGACTTATAGTTTAATTCATAATAAACCTCACCAAAATTGTACAAATGCATATAGAAATGCTTCTCAAGAGTCCTGTGTTACAGTTTTGGAATATCTAGAAAAGTCATTGACGCTCTCTCCAGTCATCTCCCATTTTGCTTCTCATCAAAGAAACAACAAAATTTTCTTGCAAACTAGTTTCTTTTCTTTTCAAAGATATTTGTTTCTTTGATGCAAAGAAAAGGAAGATCCCTCGTCATTTATGTTCCATCAAGCACAAATTTATTCAAAAATTACATCTCCTTTAAATTATTTAACAATTAGCTTTCATGTCCATAACATGGTTTTGGAGGTCCCAAACTTCATAACAAGACATATATCCTCCATATACAGTTTCTCAAAGAAAACCCTTGTGGATCTTTATCCTCCATGAGCTTCTTGATTGCTTAGAATCAATGTTAGATATCGAAATGCTAAATGATTCGACAGAAATAAAAACAAACAAACATACAAAAACTTAAACTTGGATATAAAGATTGTTATACATAAAATGAGCCTTGGCTGCATCCTAATCAAAGCCGCAAAAAACTGTTTTTTTACCCAACAAATCGTTCTTATCATCTTCTTTCTCTTCCTCTGCAACTTTAACCTTCTTCTTTACCCGATCTTCACAATCTTCTCTTCTCCCCTTATTTCTACTCAAAGCACACGTCAACGTCCTCTTCTCTCTGTTTACATCATCACTCTGAGAACGTTTCATCTCATTGTTGCTAGGAGGAGCAGCTACATCGTTAGATAACAAAACTCCATCACAACTGTCTCCTCGATGCACGACTCCACATACACTCTCCTTCTCGTCCCAACAAGGAAACTCTCTGTACTGAAACCTAAACTTCTTGGGAACATAACCGGTGCATTTCCACAGCTGACGAGAGCAAACCGAAGAAAACCGTTCAAACAGAGCCAAATCTCCACCTGGAACTCCTTGAAGATGAACCCTTTCTTCAATTGGGATCTCTGTATGACCCTGAGACGATAGATTCTCCACTCTCAAGGCTAACTCAGCAGCAGAAGCTTCAAGGTCGTTGCTTTTGATCTTGCACTTGTGACAAGCGAACAGATCGTCTCCTTTAACATAACGAGAGCACCATGTGTGTACCCAAACACCACATTCATCACAATTCACCATCTCTTTGCCATCGTCGAAATTCACACCACAGACGCAATCCACAGTCCAAGATCCATCGACCCAATCCTCGTGTGGTTTCATAATCGCAATCTCCCAGCAAACGAAAAAAGATAACCCTAACGCGAAACTCTCCGATTTGTTCAGCAATTACCCAGAATCGACCTAAATTTCGAAGATTTGAAAAACCCAATTCGTCTCTTCTAGACGTAGAAACGAAACCCTCTTGCGGAAGATTTGAAAGAAAAAAAAGCGTTATCTATTCATAACACGATTCTCGCCGCGTATGAGCTTGAAGACGATAGCAATGTAACGTGAGAGGTTCCCTATTCTCTACATATATCTATGGTTCCCGCCTCCGATTTCCGCAGCAACAATGGAGCTTCTTCACGAGTTTTCTCAACGAAGATATAGATTTGATAAACAGAAACTGATAGCTTTTTCATTATGAAGTTCATCGATCCTTTGTGGGCTTTATGAAGTTATGGGCCGGGCCTACAATATGGATATTTTTCTCCTCTGCTCTTTTCATACGAAATTTCTCTTTGACTTTTCTTTTTAGTATGTAAATAGACATGAGTACATGACCACTAGACTAGAAGACAACAAAAGGAAATCAATCTCCTCCTCTTATGTAAATTCAACACGTGACAAAATTCTAATTTAAGTAATCAAAACGGGTGGGCACTTCCGTTTTTAGTTTGGTTTCGGTTCGATTTTTTCGGTTTTACGGTTTATCGGTTTTACGAAAATTCAAATTATATAAAAGCCATATATATTTCGGTTCGGTATGGTTTGTTTTTTACGGTTTGGTTTAATATGGATTGGTTTTGGTTTTTTTTAGAATTATACTTTCACGAAAATTTTTGATTCAAACTAATGGAAATAACAATAATAGATATGAGTGATGAATCTAAATTATAAACTTTATCAATAAAGACATATTTCAAAACAGAGAAACAAATAAATGATCAAATCTTTCATAATCAATAATTATAAAATAATAAACAAATCTAGATTAAAATTTAATACATATAATTTTAGAACTAGAACTAGAAGATTTGAATGTGAAGAAAAATAAATAAATAATATTATTTTTTATTGAAAAATTAAGGTTTATTTTATTATTTATATGTAGATATTTTTTATAAATATTATATTTTAAATTTATAAGTTATGTTAGTAAATTATATAAGATAACTAAGCTCAATAATAAAATATGTACCTAAACTAAATTAAAAAACTAGGAAAATATAAATTATTTAAAATTTAGTTTAAAAATCAAAAAAACCTTTTGGTTTGACGGTTTTTAACCAAATCAAACCTAAACCAAAGCTATAAAAAAATGATGACCAAATAGATTTTTAGGTTTAACCATAACCAAACCATATCACTCTTTTCGATTCGATATGGTTTAGTTTTTTCGGTTATGGTTTTTGTGTCCACCTCTATTCAAAATAAAAGCATGAGTTGAACTACAATGGTTTCAAATATTTATTTGAATTAGAATATATTTTTTTACTTATTTACAAAACGCGAGGAACGGTTCTGTAAAATATTTATTTAGAAGTGTTTAGAATTATCAAAAAAATAGAATTATAAAATTCTCCAATATTTCTTAAGTATTTATCATATCCAATACACGCAGAAAAGACCTAGTAGGGGTGGACACAAAAACCATAACCGAAAAAACCAAACCATACTGAACCAAAAAAAGTGATATGGTTTGGTTATGGTTAAACCTAAAAATCCATTTGACCATCATTTTTTCATAGCTTTTGTTTAGGTTTGGTTTGGTTAAAAACCATCAAACCAAAAGGTTTTTTCGGTTTTTAAACTAAATTTTAAATAATTTATATTTTCCTAATTTCTTAATTTAGTTTAGGTACATATTTTATTATTGAGTTTACTTATCTTTATAATTTACTAACTTAACTCATAAATTTAAAATATAATAATTATAAAAAATATTTACATATAGTAATAATAATAAAAAATAATATGATTTACTTATTTTTCTTCACATTCAAGTCTTCTAGTTCTAGTTCCAAAGTTATAGGTATTAAATTTTAATCTGGATTTGTTTATTATTTTATAATTATTGATTATGAAAGATTTGATCATTTATTTGTTTCTCTGTTTTGAAATATGTTCTTATTGATGAAGTTTATGATTTAGATTCTATTTTTTGAACTTATTGTTTTATTTCACTCATATCTATTATTATTATTTTTATTAGTTTGAATCAAAATTTTTTGTAAAAGTATAATGCTAAAAAAAACCGAAACCAAACCATGTTAAACCGAACCGTAAAAAACCAAACCATACCGAACCGAAATATATATGGCTTTTATATGGTTTGAATTTTTATAAAACCAAAAAACTGTAAAACCGAAAAAACCGAACTGAAACCAAACCAAAAACCGAAGTGCCCACCCCTAAGACCTAGTGCCAAGTTAGGAAAGGAACGTATTTTGGTGGTATCATATAACTTTCGAAGAAAAAAAGACAAACAAAAAAATGAGATTTGGTATTTCGGTGGTTGCTAGGAAACTAAAATTTTAAGTACGATTCGATTTCCGTAAAAGAATACAAGACCAAAGTTTGGTAGCTATTTGGTGGATAGAATAATAATTAGGCATCACAATTTAAAATGGAGACTGAAGGAATAATTCTCAAATACACCACATTTTACACTTTGTTTCTAATGTTACCATTCTAATTTTTAAAAAAATTCATAACTAATAGAAAATGATCAGAAATCACTCAACCCTGATTAAAGTTTTAAGACCATTCCCTAAATATAATTGTTTTAGTACCTTTGTAATATTTCGAAAGTAGTTGTAATAATTTCTGGAACTAAAATTTGTTTTTATGGTATTTAGGATAATTGTCTATCTAATTGTACACCAAATATGCTCTTTTTTGCGAAATTAAACCATAATTTTGGGATTAGTAGTATTATATAGATAAGGATCTCTCTACTTTATTTTTATAGTTCCAAGAAGAGATAAAGGAGCTTTAGCATATCTTTATAGCTGTAGGCGAATCACTGAAAGTTGGTGGTGGAAACTACTCCAGTAATTAACTTGGCTTCCATCACCGTACGGATGCGTTGGTTAATTTGGTAAGGCTGCACGGTAATTTCTATTATTTACTTCGCTAAAAAAGGTGAATAATGAAAAAAAATGACTCATCATGGGTTTATATATCAAGAGCTGGATAATTCCGAAACATGTAATGTCATTGTCAATGCCATCTTCTTTGTCGGCAAGTTATGTTGTAGTTTAACTCATGTTTATCTATTCGGACAATTCTACTTTTACATTTTTGATTCTCTAGTCCTTGGATTTCAGAAAAGTTAAAAGTTTATGCACAAAGGGTTCAAGATTGTTTAAAGCGTTGACTATTGTTTAAGAAAATATTGTACACGAAAAAAAGCATTCGTTTTTGTGCCATGTGTTGTTTTACTATTTGATTTGTTTCAAGAGTTATTACTTACTGATAATGTAAATGCAATTAAAATTAAGATATTAAAGAAATTCCTCAAATTCAAATTCTTACTAAACTTATACCCGCACATACGCACAGGTTTTTCCTAAAATATATTTTATTATAAATAATACAATATTTTCATTTGAATTTCATACTTATAAATTCTTTTTTAAATAATGTATATTTATTAAATATAACGAACTTCTGTATATATCAGAATTTAATTTATAACATTATATACTATTTTTAAGGGAGTCTATCATCTTATAGATATCGATGAAACATAGTTATCCAATATAATTTTATATATTTATCACCAGAGTTTCATAAACCCGACATAATTTATTTATATTCTTTTACCAACACTTTTGTCAAATTTTATCTTTTTATTTTTTACTTTGGCATGAAGTAGTTTTACTTGATTTAATTAGATCTTAAATATTCTTTATTTCAAATGTAATTTTTTCAATATGGATCTGATTATTTGTAGATAAATTAATTCAGTTTTTCAATTTTAATATATAAACAAATAGATTTTTCATATTCTCAAAATGCATTAATTGAAATAACTATGATTATTTTGTGTGGTTTTAATAGTAAGTTGACATTTGTCACGACAAAACTGATTTATATGCCTACACCAACACCTTTGTCAAACTATTTTTTTATCTTCTATTTTGGTATAAATTAATTTTATCTGATTTTATTATATCTTAAATATTTTTTATTTCAAATTTTTATTTTTCAATATGAATTTTATTATTTGTAGATAAATTAATTCAGTTTTATAATTTTAATATATAAATAAATAGACTTTTCATATTCACCAAATGCATTAATAAAAATAATTATTATTTTTTGTGGTTTTAATATTAAGTTGACACTTGTCACTTAGAAATTTATCTGAAATGATGATGTGTCAAGCTGTGAGAGAGGATTCACCTTTATTCATATATATGATTGACTTTATTGATAAATATATTAATGCGAAATAGTACATATAGTATTTTCTGGAAATTATTTTTGGATAATATAGAGTTGTAGATTCAGGTTAGCTATGATGTAGCTTTTGTCTGAAAATAGCAGAAAAAAGAGAAAGAGGAAACAAAACAGGCGTGATCTTCTCTTCTCTGTATTTACGTACAGCCGGATTTTACTTTATCCGATCGTTTTAACTTTTCAACCACGGTAAAAACAAGAATCAAATTTGGGATATAATCTCTGCTTAATTTTGTTTCTTTTCTCAACGAACCTCGCTAATCTTTCTCATCTAATCGAATTTTAATAACCATTAATCCTCTGGCTTTTTACTATTTTGTCCTCTTCCTTCTCTTCTCTCTCTTTAAGTCTTGGTGGCTCCTTCTTATAGCACCTACTGTTCCCTTTTCAGTTTGTTCCTCAATTCGTGTTACTTGATCGTGAGTTCCCTGAAAAATCCAATTTTTATTTCTGGGTTTCTCCGATTACCGATTTTTCTGATCATGGCGGTCGTTGAGAGCGTCGGAGCTGATACGGAGGCTGGTGTGACCTCGCCGTCGCCGCCGTCTTCCGTGACCAGTCAAGAATCAGGAGTCTATTCCAAAAACGATCAGGGTGAAAATGGAACCCACGGTGGGATCGGATCCAACGTGGCGAGATCCGACGGTGGAGAGAGCTTCAAGCGTGAGATGAGAGAGCTCCATGAGCTTTTATCCAAGCTTAACCCCATGGCTGAAGAGTTTGTTCCTCCTTCACTGAATAAGCAAAGGGTTAATGGTTCTAACGGCGTTAACGGCGCTAACGGTGGTTTCTTCACCGTCCCTGGCTCTTTCTTTAACAACAATGGCTTTGGTGCTGCTGGAAATTTTCCCGTCAACGAAGACGGCGGCTTTCGACGGGTAAGACACGTGTCTGTCTCTTCTTTACTTTTGTGGGTTTTGAGGTTTAAAGTTATTCGTTCTGCTGATTTTTCATTTTCGCTGTTTAGTGGCTTAGTTGTTCCGTTAAACTCGGTCTCTCGTGTCTTCTTGTGCTTATAAGTTAAACTGTTAAAGTTCTCTCCTTTTGTGTCTTTGGACTAAAACTATGTATATGTTCTTTGTTTTGGCTACTCTGCTTCATGATAATCTTCTGCAAACCAATTTGATTTGAGTCTCTCTCTCTCTCTTTCTCTCTCTTTTTGTTTCTGTCATTTGAAACAGAAGAATTCGTTCGGACCACAAGGGAAACGAAGAATGAATCCTCGGACAAGCATGGCTCAGCGTGAAGATATCATCCGAAGAACTGTCTACGTGTCTGATATTGACCAACAGGTTTGAAAAAAAGCTTCCACCTTTCTTCAATGGCTCTTCTCAGGTTTACTGTTATCTCACCTGTTTACCTGGACGATCTGATTTTTGGGTTTAGGTCACTGAGGAGCAGCTTGCTGGTCTGTTCATCGGCTTTGGACAGGTTTAAGTAACTTCTAAAAGTTCATCTTTGTCTGTGGTGGGTGTTCTTTGTGTTGACTGTATTTGGTTTATTTAGGTTGTTGACTGTCGCATATGCGGTGACCCAAACTCAGTACTTAGATTTGCTTTCATCGAGTTCACTGATGAAGGTATCATTAGTTTCACTACCTAGTCTCTGTTTGAATAATGTCTGTAACTGGTTGGTTTAATGGTTTTGTTTTGGCAATTTGGGATTTGTAGTTGGTGCAAGAGCTGCGTTGAATCTGTCTGGGACGATGCTAGGATTCTATCCTGTGAAGGTTATGCCGTCAAAAACAGCTATTGCACCGGTGAATCCGACACTCTTGCCAAGGGTGAGGATTTAAGTCCAAAGTTATGGTTTTTGTAAGAGTCAAGATGTTTGACTTCTTTAGTCCTGTTTTGGTTCTTAGACTGAAGATGAGCGTGAGATGTGTGCGAGGACTATCTACTGCACTAACATCGACAAGAAGGTGATTGGTGGTTCTCTCGAATCTGTTTCACTCTTCCCGAGCTATTTCTGAAACACCAAAGTAGCTAACTTTGTTTAGTTTCAGGTCACTCAAACGGACATAAAACTCTTTTTCGAGTCTGTGTGTGGAGAGGTGTACCGTCTGAGACTGCTTGGAGACTTTCATCATCCTACTAGAATCGGTTTCGTTGAGTTTGTCAATGTAAGCACATACTCTTAACTTCCATTGTCAATAAAAAAGAATTATGAAAGTTCATTAATGAGTCTGCTTTGGTGAAAATTAGTCTTGATCTCATTCAAAATCCTCTTAACCGGTGATTTGAGTTTCAAAGTATCGTTCTTTGTTCTTTCGCAGGCTGATTCTGCAATAGCTGCACTCAACTGTAGTGGCGTGCTTCTTGGTTCTTTACCGATAAGGTCCAAAGAACAAACCAAACTCTTAAAACATTCTCTCTCTATTTGGTTATGAATCTGAAACATTATTGTAACTTGATGGGTTGGATTTTGCAGGGTGAGTCCGTCAAAGACACCTGTTCGTTCCCGTGCTGTCCCGCGAAATCAAATGCATTGAAAGTAGCTGCTACAAGTTTATATATATATCTCTTTCTCTCTGCTCTCACAGACATGTAAAGATGTTTGTCTGAAAACTCTTACGTCTTTTGTTTTCCCGTATGTAACGATGCTTGGAAGCTTGATGATGCTTCTGTTGCTGTTTTACTTTTGGGATCTTTTGGGTAAATCTCGTAGGGTGTTTTGCTTTCTTCTATTTGGGTTTTTTACGTTTAGAGAAAAGAAGTTTTACACAGAGCAGAGAAAAGAAAAACACTAGTGAGAGTGAGAGGCTTTTGAAGATTGTCTCTGTTGTTTAATGGGGAGTTTTTTGTTATTTATACTTTTACCCATGAAGTTATTAGAAACTTGCTTCTGTTCGTAAATGTTTCTAGTTCTTACATTTACACCCTTTCGTCGCTTCTTGTCATTTTGTGTTGATTGAAACGTGGTCTTCTTTTCAAGCTTTTTTTTAGATAATTGTGTTTATAGTAGAACAAGTCAACTTCTGCTTTCATTTTAACCTCGAAAACGTGAATCAAAACAAATTAGAACTTTGAAATTAAAAGCTAGTAAAGTCTAAAAAAAGACTTAAAGATTCAACTAATTTTAGGTACCAAATTTTAGGAACTACATGCATTTTCCTTTTATTTTAATCAGATTAGTCAAATATTCAAACAAGTCAGTTTGGTCAAATTTGAGCATAACAAACGGTTCCGAGCGATCTTTCTGACAGAGAATTAACTGGAACTATTGTCAGACCGAACGCAATCTCTTGAAGAACCTTTCAGTCGTAAGCAATTTCATTTTCTAATCTTTCTTCTCTATATAATAGTCGAAAATTCGAAATGTGCGTCTTTTATTTGGATATGGAATGATGCATAGCAGATGTTCGACAAAATGTCTAGCTCGAAACTCCTCTCATTCGTTTAGTAACATTAGCTCAGATTGGGATGTATTGATAGTGTGAATCTATTTGTCTTATTCCATTCTTAACGCTACATCAACAAATGTTTCTTGCAGATGGTTGATTCTTGTACACTTGTTCCCTTATCCTGCCTTTATCTCTGTTTCAAGCTGAACAAACCAAAACATATTGGAGGTTGTGTCGATTTTGCACCATAAAACAGTATCATTGTTTGATAAACCTTCATAGAATTTCCTCCTGTAACCTGTGCTGCGTAAATGTCTCGAGTTATGTATAGGATAAAAGCGTCAGTCACGCATGTGGAATATTGCACTAGACGAGAGCTTATGCAATGGGACTGAGAGTGACTAAAGATGTCAAGATTTATCCAGCTGGCACACCGGATTCAAGTTTCTGTCGATGTCGTAAGAAAGAAGAAGAAGAAGATGAGACTTGATGGGATCGTCAGGGCTATTATCATGGGTAGATTGGGAGGATAAGCTTCATTTTCCGCCTGAGGTGAAAGAAATAGATATCTCAAAGCATATAAGAGACTTGAAGCATTTAGAGATCACCATCAATGCGATATGTGATGCTGCGTGTAAAGGAATGTGCTTGAAGTGCAGAGAGTACCAGTTGATACAACTGGAGCTGGTGATTCTTTTGTTGGTGCATTTTATTGTCTCACTAGGCAAAGATGGGTACATACACGATGTAAGTACAACCTCAGACATGTACAGGTCTTAGATTGGATCAGGCATAAAGAATTGAGTTTTTGTGTGTTTGTGTGTTTGTGTAATGAATGTTTCAGGATAAAGGAAAGCTGAAGGAAGCTCTTGCATTTCCAAATGATTGTAGAGCTGTGTGTTCAACTCAGAAAGGAGCTATTCCTGCTCTTCCCACTCCATCTGATGCTCAACAGCTCATGAAGTCTAAGTCCAAATAGCTTTACCTTTTTTTCTTCTTTCTGAAATGGTACTGAAGTATTGACTTAGTTCAAAATAAGTTTCAAGTTGCTTCCTAAACTGATTCCAGTAATGACAAAGAGGGGCAAAACAAATCGAGATTCTCTATTGTTTCTATTATGAATGCTGTTTTTTAAACAAATGATCAAAAGTAAAACCTGTTCTTGGCAACACATTTTTCCATTTGTACAGAGTTTAAAGTCAGATTCTTTCGTTGATTGTACCAAAACACTTGCAGGAAACAAAATGAATTAATCAATGTAGTAAGTAAAGTATATACCAAACAAGAAAAATGATTAATGCCAAAACGTTAACTTCATTCATACGGTAGTAAAGATCTCTGTTACAACCCAACATAAGGGACAAGTTACCAATAACAGAAGAGAGAAACACACTAATTTTGTTAATTACAATTCCAACAAACTCTCATAACCGCCTGAAACTAGACCGATGTGCACATAGATCAAACCAATCAGCTTGTCAGAGAGATAGAGAGCTTCTCTGTGCCATGGAAGAAGGAGAAGGAGGAGTAACAAGTGCAAAGCAGAGGAGTCCTCCCCACCTGAAAGACCATATACTTATGCTGTTTCCTTCTTTCAATATGTTACCCTTTACGATGTCATTCCAACCACAAGTCAAAGCGTAAGTCCAACTTCCTTTGCCTGACTCTCTCTTCATCTCCCATCGTTTCAACATCACACCCCACTTTACATTCATTGGATCAATCAGAATCGCTCCAATTCCCATCTTCTTAGCATTGTTGATGTCTTCTTCCATGACTCTGGACTCGACAGGGGTCAAGAAGTCTTTGTGGATGAGCTCGTTGTAAGGCATTGAGAGGCGACTCTCTCCTGGATTGACATCTGTCATGTACAGAGTCCTCTGAAAGATGAGCCTTAAGTCGCTTCTCTCTCCCCATTTAGCCACAGATTTGCTCGTGTCCTGCATCATCTGCGTTATCGACTCGGGAATCTTTCTTCCTATCCACGAGAAAGCTTCGACCTTTGGTTTCTTGCATTTACCATTACGCTTTGGCTCTTGCACGGCACGTCGCTTTCGGCTTGTCTTCTCTGGTAGGCACGAAGACGGAGACGATCTTGAATTAGGGTTTTGGGGGTTTCTCATCTCCGACTCAGCCGCGATCTTGTAATTTTCAAGAAACGATGATGATGAAGAAGAAGCCACATTAGGGTTTCGTGGGTGGGAATCAGCCGCGATCGTGTTTAGGATGAGAGACGATGACGAACAAGGGTTTCTCGTCTCGGAATCATCAGCCGGAATCTTGTTTAGGTCGAGAAGAAGCAATGAAGAAGAAGAAGGGTTTCCTCTGGTAACGAATTTCTTCACGGAGGCTCTGGTTTTTCTCGGGAATAGTTGGAAGATTCGTTTGTCCCTTTCTTCTTCATACAAGATGACGGCGGCATCAACCAAACAACGGAAATTACTCGAAGTAATATCCTTCGCCGCAACGGCTCCAAGATCGCCGTAATACATTATCGGAACGATTCGCACAAAAATCTCAGCAACAACTTCTTAGAGAAAGCAAGAAGGAAATCAGAATTCAGAGTCAGAGAGCAAAAAAATTGAAAAGAGCGAAAAGGTGAGAAAGAAGAATGTCTCCAACGGTCTATATAATGCCTAGGGTTTGGGGGTTTAATCAATGTGATCAGTCGCTTCTTGTAAACTAAGATACTACCACCGTTCGAAAGATATGGTTATATAATTACGATTTAGTACCCCTATTATTTCCTTTTTGTGTGTTTTCAGGTTTGTTTTGTTAATTATATAGTTTCACTAGTCAACATTGTTTCCCGCTAAAAATTCTACCCAACGAGAAACCACATTGAGCAAATCAGGAAATGAAATCATCGAACCAGCTACAAAACCGTCTTGTCTTCTCTTAAAACCAAACTCAGAACTTAATTGTGGTTTTGAAGTTTTGAATCGAAAGGCATGCGGTTGAGAGACTCCAGATGAAGAAGAGGGTTCGTCGTCTTCATCTCCCTCTTGGCCTTCATCCTCCATTTGTTTGTAACTGCAGAGGAAAACTGGCAATTTCTTAACTTTCGAGTGTTCGAAAAGGCTTTAAACCCTAAGAGACTCTCTAATTTCCGTTGGATCTTCCAAAATCCTAAACCCATCTGGTGTATTCACCTTCGTCCCTCCTTTCTAGATTCAGCAGTTAATTATCGGTTTCGGGGTGTGGAAAATTAGGGATTCTAATGATCTATTTCTGAAAATTCATGTTAAATGCGTCCTTCTACTTAGATTTCAAGGTTGTCACTGTGGAATCTTCAGTTCGATTTTGCGAGCGAAATTGAATTTTACCAGACTCTTTTGATATCTCAGATGCTCTTGTATCTTCCGGCTATTGTTTTGTCCAAGAGGTGGAAAAGTGTCTGGCTTTTGATTCCTGTGTTAAATTTGGACTCTTATGAGTTCGCTTTTCTGAGTTTAATGGAAAAATTACAGGATTTCTCTAAGGAAGACAAGCCATGCTTGCACAAGCTCAAGCTTAAGTAGTTAAGTATTCATAAGGATGAGAATGATCAGTCTTGTTCTGTCACGCGTTGGATAGACTTTCTCTTGATGTTGAGTGTCTCTTCTTGTGTATGCTTGATTGATGACCCTTGACTCAAGTATTTGGATTATCATCAGCATCATCGGATTACAAAACTATCAGACAGAAACGAAACATCAGATGTTGTCATCAGCACAAACCTCTGCCATTTTCTAGAGCATATTGTCATCAGTTCAAAAATAATCACAGCAATTGTCACCATTGATGTTATCAAGGAGATACAATCATATCAATGATTGATATGTCAAAGAGTTATTTATGTAAAGCGATATTCGATTCTTAACTATTCTAGGAAGTCCTACGTTCTACCATTGTATATATACAGTTGTAATCTCTGTTTCATGAAAAGAAGAATGATACTCTTATATGGTATTAGAGCCGCCGATCACAAAAACCTAAATTTCTTTTTCTTTTCTAAACAATTTATACTATCATATCAACTTTTGAAAATACTTCCTCCCCAATTCTCACAGACACGATTTCCTCAACCAACAGCTTACTTACGGTAAACATGTCAGGAGTGACAAAACTTACCTTTTCCAACCACCTTATGTGGAGTCTTCAGATCCATGTACTGTTGGATGGATATGATCTCTCCCACCACCTTGATGGCTCCGTTGAAGTCCCGTCTCCGACAGTAACGCAAGGCGCAGAGATCAGCGTCAACCCTGCATTCACACTATGGAAACGTCAAAATCGACTGATCTTCAGTTCACTCATCGGTGCTATCTCACCCACAATTCAGTCTTTGGTGTCTCGAGCAACCACAACATCTGAAGTTTGGACAACATTAGCATCGACTTATGCTAAACCGAGTAGGGGTCATCTCAAACAACTCAAAGCTCAACTCAAAAACTGGAGGAAAGAGAACAAAACCATTGATGAATACCTTCAAGGCATTACAACTCGCCTTGATCAACTAGCCATCCTCGGCAAACCAATGGAGCATGAAGATCAAATTGAACTCATCCTTGAAGGTCTCCCTGAAGAATATAAATCTCTTATTGACCAAGTCGAGGGCTGTGATTCACCACCAACCATCGTCGAATTTCACAAGCGCCTTCTTAATCATGAAGCAAGACTCATCTCTGCAGCAGAAACTGTCATTCCACACACGCCAGTGACAGCAAATGCAGCTCAATACCACAACACCAACACCTACAACAACAATCGCAATCAACATCAGCCAAAATATCAGAACAATTGGCAAAACTCCAACTCGCAAGGAGCATATCCACGTCAATCTCAACTAGTGAATCGACAAGACCAAAGAGGAAAAAGAACGTACCTAGAACGCTGTCAGATTTGCAGTGTTCAAGGTCATAGTGCGAAGCGATGTCTTCAGCTCCATGCTTTCCAGTCTACGGTGTCACAAACTACACCATCTTCGTTCACACCCTGGCAGCCCAGAGCCAATCTCGCTGTTGGATCTCAGAATCCGGCTACAAATTGGATAATGGATAGTGGAGCAACCCACCACATCACATCAGACCTCCATAATCTCTCACTTCATCAGCCATATAACGGCGGCGATGATGTTCTTCTTGCAACGGATCAACCGTACCAATAACACAGACCGGTTCCCTCTCTTTACCCTCTCATACTCAAAACCTTCATCTCACAGATGTTCTTTGTGTACCTACCATTGATAAGAATCTCATATCAGTGTTTCGACTATGTAATGCTAACCGGATATCAGTGGAATTCTTTCCTACCTCGTTTCAGGTGAAGGATCTCAGTACGGGGGTCCCATTGCTCCACGGAAGGACTAAACAAGATCTCTATGAATGGCCAGCAACACCACAAGCAACCGTGTTGTTCTCGTCACCAAGCTCCAAAGTTCCTCTATCCTTATGGCACTCTCGTCTAGGTCATCCCTCATCTGCAATTTTAAACACCATTGTCAGAAATTTTTCTCTTCCAGTTCTTTCACCCAAATTCAATAGTTTCACTTGCTCTGAATGTCTTATTAATAAAAGCCATAAGTTACCATTTTCTCAATCTACAATCACCTCCACAAGACCTCTCGAGTATATTTTCTCTGATGTTTGGAGCTCACCACTTTTATCTCGTGACAATTTCAGATATTATCTCATCTTTGTTGATCATTATACCCGTTATACATGGCTATATCCTCTCAAACAAAAATCCGAAATCAAAAACACCTTTCTAGCCTTCAAACCTCTCATTGAAAATAAATTCCAAACCAAAATAGGAACCCTCTATTCTGACTATGGTGGAGAATACATTGCGTTGAGAGATTACCTTATGCAGCAGGGGATCTCACATCTGACATCACCACCGCACACCCCTGAGCACAATGGCCTCTCTGAGCGGAAACACCGCCATATTGTGGAAACGGGACTAACGCTTCTCTCTACCGCTTTTGTACCCAAAACATATTGGCCATATGCGTTTGCTGTTGCCGTCTACCTCATCAATCGGATGCCGACTTCTGTTCTGTTAAATCAATCACCGTACCAGAGGCTCTTTCATACTCCACCCAATTACGACAAACTTCGAATCTTTGGGTCTGCCTGTTTCCCGTGGCTGTGACCATATACACACAACAAGCTTGAAGATCGCTCACTCATGTGTGTCTTTCTGGGATACTCAATCACTCAGAGTGCATATCTCTGCTTACATATTCCTTCAGGTCGAATCTACACATCGAGACATGTAACGTTTGATGAGTCTCGCTTTCCCTTTTAAACACATCAATCTGAATCGACAAAATCACCTTCAACAGCTTCGTCCTGGTCAATAATAGCAGTGCCACCGTCGCTGAACCCCTCGTACTCGGACCTTCACCATACGTCTCCGTCTCCGACATCATCGTCGCTACACATCTCTTCGGAGACTCAGGTATTATCTTCTCAGTCTCAATCTCATTCTGTTTCTCCCTCTTCTGAGCCCACTGCTCCAAATCCAAATGGGCCTGTCAACCCGGCCCAATCCACACCACAAAACCACTTACCAAATAACCAGGCCCAATCACCAAATACAACCCCAGCTTCCCCGACACTAAATACGTCATCGCCATCTCTAAGCCAATCTTCATCACCTCCACCACCGCCACCGGCAGCCCCCCGCAAACGAAAAACTCACATGAATCCCACTCTTCTACAACCTCGTCTAAACCCAGAAAATGACCATACAATGTCCACACGGGCTAAACATGGAGTGGTCAAAATTAACCCCAAATATCTCAACAACACCTCTACAACGGCTTCTGAATTAGAACCAAGAACGGCAACACAAGCAATGAAGGATGACTGTTATCGATAGGCTATGATCGCTGAAATCAATGCACAAATAGAAAATCACAGTTGGGACCTCACACCGCCACCATCACCGTCGACTACAATTGTCGGCTGTAAATGGATTTTCACCAAAAAGTACAATCCCGATGGCTCTGTCAGCAGATACTTAGACGTCAACAACGCCTTCCTACAAGGAACACTTACCGAAGAGGTCTACATGGCTCAACCACCGGGCTTTGTCGATGAAGATCATCCAAACTATGTATGTCATCTCCGTAAGGCAATTTACGGACTTAAGCAAGCTCCGCGGGCCTGGTACACCGAACTCATGAACTTTCTCCTCTCCGTTGGCTTCATCAACTCAATTGCAGACACTTCACTCTTCATCCTACAGCAAGGCAAGTCAATTCTGTATATGCTGATTTATGTGGATGACATATTAGTCACTGGGAATGATGATACACTTCTCTATCAAGCACTCGATGCTTTGGCAATCCGTTTTTCTGTCAAAGAGCATGAGGATCTCTCTTACTTTTTAGGTATTGAAGCCAGACGGGATCAGTCAGGCCTTCACCTCAGTCAGCGAAGGTATATCATTGATCTTCTTGCTCGTCACAATATGCTCACGGCAAAACCGGTTTCCACACCAATGGCAACATCACCAAAACGTTCACTACATTCTGGAACAATGCTTTCCGATGCCACAGAATATCGTCAAGTCATGGGCAGCTTACAATATCTAGCATTTACACGCCTGAACATCTGCTACGCTGTAAACCGCTTGTCTCAATTCATGCATCAGTTTACACATGATCATTGGCAAGCTTCCAAAAGAGTTCTCTGATATCTTGTTGGCACCTCCGACCACGGTATCTTTCTTACATCCAACAACTCTCTCTCGTTACACGCTTATTCGGATGCAGATTGGGCTGGCGATACCGATGACTTTGTGTCCACGAATGCCTACATTGTGTATCTCGGGCAACATCCGATTGCCTGGTCTTCCAAGAAACAAAAAGGAGTGGCCCGATCTTCAACTGAGGCTGAATTACCGTTCTGTTGCAAACACTTCAGCGGAACTAAATTGGCTCTGCTCATTGCTCGGTGAACTCGGAATACAACTTCCCGCTCCTCCTGTTATCTATTGTGACAATGTTGGTGCCACATACTTATGTGTCAACCCTGTTTTTCACTCTCGGATGAAGCACTTGGCACTTGATTACCATTTCATTCGCAACCAAGTACAGTCCAGAGCTCTCCGTGTGGTACATGTCTCTACAAAAGATCAGCTAGCTGACGCCCTGACCAAACCACTTCCTCGATCAATATTCAACAATTTATCGGGCAAGATTGGAGTTGTTAGATCACCTCCATCTTGAGAGGGCATATCAAGGAAATACAATCATATCAATAATTGATATGTTAAAGAGTTATTTATGTAAAACGATATCCGATTCTTAACTACTCTAGGAAGCCCTACGTTCTACCATTGTATATATACAGTTGTAATCTCTGTTTCATGAAAAGAAGAACAATACTCTTATAGATGTAACATCAGATCTTATGTACTCGTGGAATTAGGAATCGATGTAGTCATGATCTTGTCGAAAAATGGTTTGTGAATTCTGAAGTTTATTTGAATTTTAAAAATTTGTTAATATTTTACATGAACTAGTAGTCCACCTAAATTATCCAAATAAAGTTTTCGTTTTAACGCATCCTCATCAATATCCATTTTTCACACAAGAGCATGGTTGTAGTCATGGTAATGGAACGTCTTGTAGATGAAGTGTGATAGCCACTTCGACGCCGCAAAACTTAAAACAGCCGCCACAACCACCACGATTCTTGCCGCATTAGACATTGTAATTTGCTTCGTCACGGCCATTACTCCGATCAAAGCAACCGATGCGATTTGCAAGATCACCTCAAGCGCATTGAGATATCTGTGAGCTTTCTTGCAGCTGCTGCAGTTCTCAACATGCGACCAATACCTGAAAAACAAATTATGTAGGAAGATAAAACACAACTTTCTGAGAATTAGCTTTCATCAGAACACAGAAAGAAGATAAAAAAAAAGTAACCTGTCCAAGAGCTGTTCTCGAGGAGGCGTAGGAGGAAGAAGAGAAGGGTCAAACTTTCCTCTCCAATCGACTTGAGAGCCACTGTACTTGTCGAACCATCTCCTGAACGCAACCACAAGAGCGTCTCATTTAGTTGGGACAAAGCAAGCTTTTTGCCAATTCTCAGGCCCTCTCTCCATTATCTTCCGCTCCTGCACGAGAGTTCCTTTACACATTGAATCAACCCTCTACTCAAACCAGTGTGTTTGATAAGGACTTTGAATCAAATCACCTCGACATGAAGGAGGTGCAGATCTGAGTCTAGAACCTTGTTTAGACTCATGTGGAACACCCATCTAGGAACAATCTTATCAATAATCAAACCAAAGTTTCTAGGGAACGTCAGTATCAGCCTACTGCGACCTGGGCTCACTGGAATGCATATAAAGATGAGCGAGTATTTGCGCTTTGACAATTCGGCCTGGATACAGAACCATACATGATGGTTAGGTAATAAAAGGATGTGTGAAACCTAAGCAAGAAAAATCAAGATACATTATTTACTTTGCCTTGACCTTGTCAGATGCAGCTGGTGTTTCCTGCTCCATTAGAGTCTCTGTGGAAGCGCGATACACACATGGTGCGATAAAATCAGAATATCCCCATTCTTGTTTTGCAAAGAACCCTTCCTTCTCTAGTCTTTTCACGGTGATTTTGAGTGGTCTTCCTCCTTCTCTGTCAACCTTCTTCTCTGCAAGAAACTCTGATGGGTTGGTACATATCAGATTACTATCTGCTGTTTTGTGAAATGCAAATTCATTATCTGCCTTTTGGTTTAGCCGTCCCCATGAGTCCATAATGTGCGTAAGGAACATGAGCCGGGTCCATGAAGTTTTCCACCAACACATCCATCGTACCTGAAAGATTTCAGATTTTACATAAAAGAGTTTACACAAAGAAAGAGAGACACAGAGGTTTTGGTTTATAACCCGTAAGGAATATCTCGATTTGCCATCAACTTGGTGAAGGAAGGGTCTTCAAGCTCTGGAATGTAAGGAGGCTTCTTCGTCTCGATGATGTTCTTGTACTTTGGATTAGTGTTTGGCCAAAACCAAACGATCTCATGCTGCACAGTACTTGGGTAAACAGCCACACAAGCTTGCTTGAAACTGTGGACCTAAAAGACTCTATCACTCACTATTTGACATTCATCATCTTCAAAAATTTATATAAACCTGAAGGAAATGAGATTAGATTTTATATACCGGAGGTCCATCGGGAGGTGCTTGAGGTATGAGTTTGCAATCGCCGGATCCGTTGAAGCACCATCCATGGTAGGCACACTGTAATCTCCCCCACTGATCGATTCTTCCGTCGGACAACGGAGCAAGACGATGGGGACACGTGTCATCCATCACTTTCCACTGCTTCTCGTTCCTCTCCCACCAAACCACCAGATCAATCCCCATAACTTTCTTCCCGTGTGGAACCTTCTTGTCCAGATCGCAAATTGGCATCACTGGGTACCAATTCTCGTACCAATCGAACTTTTCCGACCCGGAATCGGGTTTGATTTCAGATTCCGGCGAAGAATTCGATGATACTGCGGTTGCATTTCGATTGGATTTTGAATTTAGTGGTGGGGATTTGAAGATGAGGGAATTTTGAGAATTGAGTCTTTGATTGGAGAAGGAGCTTCTGGATCGAGATGTAGTAGATTTGAGGATTCGAGGCGATGGAACATTAGCAGCTTCCATGGTGGAATATTTTAAATGGTGACAGCAGGAGAAGGAAATTGAAGGAGCTTTTTTTTCTTTTATTCTTGTGGTGATAATTTTAATCCAACGGTTTGTATTAATAGTTGATGATGTCCTCTTTTTTAATAACGGCTGAGATTTCACGTGACAAAAATTTGTTAATATTTTTATCCACCTGATCTAAATAAAAAAAGTCCATATTTCATATTTCGTCCAAGACTATCAAAATTATAAAGTTGGCCCTTGTAGTTAAAACGACAGAATAGCAATTTAGGTACTTATTTGTAAAACATAAAACTTATAGATACTTTTCGCAATTTTCCCAAATTAAACACGCTCGTCTTCCTGGTCACAGAGAAACAAGAAAAACCCTAATAAATCTCAGAATTTTATTCTTCTCCCTCCATTTCCATTAAAACCTCTGTCCCCGACCACGCCGGAGAGGAAATGCTTGCGAAAGCAGCGAGAGAGCTTTCATCAACAAAGCTTAAACCTTTGTTCACTCTTCCTCTCTCCTCCTTCAAATCTTCCATATGGACTGAAACAAACCCTTCTATTAAACTTCTCACTTCATTTCTCAATCGACATCACTTCAACACTAAATCGAAATCGCCGTTTCTCCACCCTTCGCGTTTCTATACTTCTTGTAATGTTCCTCCGCTAACCCGAGATGGAAATTACGATGATGCCACTTCCGTCACCATCTCCGTTTGCCCAGGCTGTGGAGTCCATTTGCAGAATTCGAACCCGAAACACCCAGGTTTCTTCATCCGACCATCGATCGAGAAACAGAAGAGCGATTCGATCCTTCGCCGTCTCGTGCCCGTCTCTCAAGAGCCCGAATTCATCAATTCAATCAAACAAGGGTTTATCGTCGGACCAGATAATTGCGACCTAAACCCTAAAGACGATGAAACGGATCAGAAAACTTCCGACGGAAGACCCATAGTGTGCGCGAGGTGCCATTCACTGAGACATTACGGGAAAGTGAAGGATCCAACGGTGGAGAATCTTCTCCCCGATTTCGATTTCGATCATACGGTAGGAAGACGGCTTGGTTCAGCTTCTGGTGCTCGAACCGTTGTTCTGATGGTCGTTGACGCTTCGGATTTCGACGGGTCTTTCCCAAAGAGAGTCGCGAAGCTCGTGTCGAAGACAATCGACGAGAACAACACAGCGTGGAAAGAAGGGAGATCAGGAAACGTCCCCAGAGTCGTCGTTGTGGTGACGAAGATCGATTTGTTACCGAGCTCGTTATCTCCGACGAAGTTTGAGCATTGGGTGAGACAAAGAGCTCGCGAAGGAGGTTTAAGTAAGATCACGAAGCTGCATTTCGTTAGCCCTGTGAAGAATTGGGGAATCAAGGATCTGGTGGAGGACGTTGCGGCGATGGCCGGAAAGAGGGGTCAGGTTTGGGCTGTTGGGTCACAGAACGCCGGAAAAAGCACTCTGATCAACGCCGTGGGGAAGTTGTTTGGCGGGAAAGTTTCTCATTTGACGGAGGCTCCGGTGCCGGGAACCACATTGGGGATAATCAGGATCGAAGGAGTTTTGCCTTTTGAGGCTAAGCTGTTTGATACTCCAGGATTGTTGAATCCGCATCAGATCACGACGAGGCTTACAAGAGAGGAACAGAGACTTGTTCATATTAACAAGGAGCTTAAGCCTAGGACTTACAGGATCAAGGTTTGGTTTGATATCATTGTCATTCTTACAAAGTGTAAACCAAAGTGGATTGTGTTGTGTTTATTGACGGATTGTTGATTGCAGGAAGGTTATACGGTTCATATAGGTGGACTAATGAGACTTGACATTGATGAATCATCTGTAGATTCTATGTATGTAACAGTTTGGGCATCTCCTTCTGTTCCACTTCACATGGGGAAGAAGGAGAATGCATACAAGACACTTGAGGAACATTTCGGGACTCGATTGCAGGTAAAAGCTCTGTCCTATTTTCTTCTTCTCTCATACATCGAAAGTTGTAGATACAAAGTCTTAACCTTTGTTGCATTTTGAATCTTGATGAAGCCACCGGTCGGGGAGAAGCGTGTTGAAGAGATGGGGAAATGGGTGAGAAAGGAGTTTCGAGTGGGTGGGAGCAATTGGGACACGAGCTCAGTGGATGTCGCTGTTTCTGGTCTTGGTTGGTTCGCGATAGGACTCAAAGGAGAAGCGAGTGTAGGTGTATGGACTCACGAAGGGATCGATGTCTTCCTCCGTGACTCGTTGCTACCGCAACGAGCTCGCACTTTCGAAGACTCTGGTTTCACTGTCTCTAAGATCGTGGCTAACGCTGATAGGGTTTCTAATCAAGTTCACAAGGTAAAAGAAACGGAGAAGAAACGGAGACCAAGCAAGAAGTCTACTTCAGATTCTGTATCTGACATAGAAAGTTGTCAGGAGGTGTCCTTGTAGTAAAATCTTGAGGGGAATGATAATAGTTCATTTGTTTATTTTCTTGGTTTGTTGAAATTACTATTTCCGTGAATTTCGATGAATCTTTCTCATTTTGGAAAAGCACGTTGGTCTGAAGAAGAAGAAGAACACATCATAGAAGATAAAGGATTTGTATGGATGAATTATACATAATGTAACACAGATTCTCTGTGAGAACAAGATTTGCTCTGTTTCACAATTTCAGAGAGAAAAAAAGAAACAGAGGAAATCAAAGAGTACTCTCTCACTCAAGCTCTCTCGCTGTCTCTCTCAGCTGCAAATCGGACATGGAACAAGACCGTTCTCGTTACACTCCGTACATCTCACAACCACGGCGGAACTACCCCATCCTTTCACCACTTTACAGCTACCGTTACACCGGAAACACGGCAAGAAAAACAATCCGCCGCATCCATCACAAGCACAAACTCCATCGCCGCCGCAGCCTCCCGTCTTCTTTAACGGAATCCCACGAATCAGCTCTCCGAAAAGACCTTCTTCCACTAATCTCAACACTTCCTCTGATCCACCAATGTACCTTCCCTTCACGAAAACCCTAGGCGGCAATGCAGCCGCCGCCGCCTCCTCCTCCGCGGCGTTGTCGTTTTTCCCAACCCTCTTCGCCATTAGACCCGCGAGCTCTTCTCTAAATCCTCTGTCCATCGACACGTCTCTCTCGCAGATCACTACACCGGAGCTCTCCACCGCCGCTCTCACGGCGTTACACGCCTCGAATGTCTGACGCACGCCGCGCAACGACGTCGTGTAGATCACCACGCGATTCTCTCCTCCCGGAGGACAGATCCTCTCGAATTTCTCCGCGAATTTCGGATCTAGCGGTTTCAGAACCTCCTCGTTGAAGGATTTTCTAGGGTTTCTCCGATTAGGATCCGAATTCTCTCCTCCTGGAAGACAAATCCTCTCGAGATTCGGATCTAGCGGTTTCAGAACATCGTCATTAAAGGATTTTCTTGGGCTTTTCTGATTTGGATTTGAATTCTCCTTGTTATCTCCGCCGAAGACTTTGTACTTCACCGGAGTCCTCGGGAGAGGAGAGAATCGGAAACTCTCGCCGTCGAGGCCAGACATTAGCTCCCATGAGTTAATAACCTCCGGCTCAGACTTGATCAGCCTTGGCTCAGACCACAGCGACTTAGACTCCGTACCGATTGTGGATTTTTCAGGCGACTTAGATTCCTTACCGCTGGTGGATTTCTCAGGCGGCGTCATAGGAGGAGAAGAAGGAGGAGGAGGGTCGAGACTGAGAAGACCGTAAGTGGTGGAGGTAAGCTTGACGATGTGGTGGCCGAAGGCGTTGCCACTGGTAAGCTGAGGGAAATCGTCGTCGTGATTCAGGAGGTTCGATGAGACGCAACCCATTATCACCGGAGAGATTGGAATTTTTTCTCGATTTCGACGCCGGGAAATTCCTTTTTTGGGGAGATTTCGAAAAATGAGAATTTGAATTTTTTTTGGAGGAACGGTCGAGTGAGTGAGATCGAAGACAAAACTCTGAAAAGTAAAAATTGTAGCTTTGTTACTACTCCTTTAAACAATTATATAATTTGAGGAAAAAATCAAGTAGCAAAACTGCAAAAGTAAAGTTAAAGATGGTGATTGATTGACGATCTGAAGGTTCACTATCTATTTTAGTTCAAAAGTATTAAAAAATTAGACTTTAATATTTCATATAAATACAACATTATGTTCTGTGAAGTTTAAGCTTTGATTGAATCTTGAATTTGTATATGTGTTTTAAATTTTCTTACAGTTGATTATTTATCATCAGTGGTGATGGATTTTTATACCTTATATAAAAGTGTCCTTCAAAAATACAAAGGTGAACTGGTTCAAATCGATCGGTTTCTATTAAAAAGTTTGATATATATTGATTTTTGAGTTGTGTGCTACAGTGCAAATTAAAGTGATTTTCTTTAAACTGAATTAAAGTGTGGTACATTGTGAAGGCCGTAGCCAATTTTTTTTTAATTGAACACATTTGTGACACTTCCTTTTAGATCCAAAATTTCAAAATGGAAAATGGAAAATGTTTAATAAAAGTAAAATCCAAGGATTTTTTTTTTTTTTAATTGGGACATGGAACCTACACATTCACGTTCTAGGCGCTAAACTTAGCAGTTTTCAAAATAAATGAAAGGAAAAATTATAGTATCCCTCTCACTCACTTGTATAGTTCAGTTTGACTCAATAACTCAAATCACTTATGATGAAGTCTCTTTTTCGGTTTTAGTTTTTGTTGGTTAAGGAATGTGCAATGAGAAAATTAAAAGAATTTCTAAGAGAGATTAAACAAAAAGAAGAAACCATGGTGAACCAATTCTGAAGCAAAAGATGAAGCTGGACAACCGAGCCAGAATTTCAAATCGGAAAAACTTGAAATAATCGATGATGTCTTCTTTTTTATTGTTTTTGTTATTAGTTTCGGTTGTTACATTTTTAAAGTATGGCTGGAGGTCCAAATTATTGATCATTTACACTTTCATATATACAGAGAAATATTGTGATAATGTATTGGTATATTCTTTCCTTTTCTTTGGCTTTTTCATGTCAAAATCTTTTAAATTGAATTTTAGTTTTATAAAAAAAATGTTACAATTGATTAACGAACAAAAACTTGATTTTCTAAAATATAGTAAGAAGAAACATCATGAGTGAAAAAAATTGCACAAACATGGTACAACAGATTAAATGACAATTTAAATGGTATATATTCAAGCATTATGAAATGTCCTACGATCTAACAGTGATCAAAATTTCAAGGTGTCATGGCAACTTTATGGTTCCCTACTCGAGTTCCTCAAAAGCATATTTCATGGTGGAATTTTGGTATGTTTGAAGAGAAGTAGTTTTTCATCCATCAAACAACTTTACTCAAATTCATATGATATGAGATCTGGAAAACAATCACATTTCAAAAGGAGTATAACCTTCAACTCTATAGAATAAGATATTTGCTTATTTTTCGAATTGAAATTTGTTTTGGTACCAGTTGTAGGAGTACGAGAAAACACTAAAGACATTTCTAAGATCAGCAGATTCCAGTTTCAGAAAGAAAAAAAAAAATCAGTTCTATACCGAAAGAAAAAGGTTTATGCTGATTTCCACATCAACTCTGCAATCCAGAATTTGACATTGACTGATGGTAGATTATGCTATTAGTAAATCAGACTTCAGACATCAGAAGTCTGACAAAAGTTGCAACTTGGCATATTGACTATGCATCCTAACTCAAGCTTTATAAAATGTCTCACTCTAAAAGGTTGCAACTTTTTTCCAAAGCAATGACTCATAAAATGGTTGTCAATATCTGATCCACTTATTCCGCCAATTTTAAGCAAGTTCTCTTGTGTGTTCTATGTTCGTAATGTTTTGATTGGGATCAAGGCAACATTTCGTATCAAATTCACTCACATATCATCCATAATTACACCAAGAAAATTAAAGTGAAACGGAAAGCAAGTCTTGACTCATACCACATCTAAGAGTTAGAGAGTCAATGGCTAATACCAAAGGTTAGGCTGGAATCAGGCTATTGTAAAAATGTTCTTTGATGATGTTCTTTTTTTCATATATATATAGAAGAAGAAAATCAAAAATATCTGTTACGCTATACAATAGTTTTTATGATTGTGAATACACGTAAATGTACTTTGTTAACAGATGTCACATTAAGAGCTCTAACACTTTCCATTCTTCATTTCTTGTATATACTTTTTTTTGTCGGTGAATAGATGTTGGAATAGTCACTACTCTCGTGTTTATCCTTTTTTATTCTTAACCCCATCATTGTCAACATAGTAAGGTATGTCCATTGTATAACTCAAATGAACACGCTTTATGATCTTAATTTCGATACAGAAAATCTGTCCCAGCATCATATTTATCCCGAATTTCACGTTACATGTGTTTATGTTCAAATTACTTTATGTTTTGAGAATATTTAATGTAATCCGATAGATAAGAGACCAAGTCCTATTTGAGACAAGGTCTCCAAATTATATGTTTAGAAATAGAAAGTTTTCAGAACTAGTGAAAATTATCCAAAGTTTTCTTAAAGTTTTTTACGAAAACTCCCTAAAATTTCCCAAAACTACTCGGACTAGCCAAAAATACTTTTTCTAAAATTGATTCTTATCCGTTACAAAGCAATACGAGTTTAAGGTAGTGATTTTAGCTTTCGTAATATTTTCAAACACATCCCATTATATGAAATTCGCGTTTCGTAGTTTATCAAAAATATTTCGTGTAACACTTTACAATATTCGAATTACTTGTTCATCACTCTTACCTGTTACTTTTCGTTATGATTTTCAAATTAGACAACTAATTAAAGACCAAGAATATTAAGCCTCTTAAAATTCTTGAACGCGTAAAAAACAATGATATGTATGCATGCTTTGTCATGCTTACAGAAAATTAAAGGCCAAAAAGATTAGACCTCTTGAAGTTGTCGAACATATAAATGAAGATGTATATCAACTTCGTTTTCGGTTAAGTTTCCTCAGCTTCTAATCTAAAACTAACTAGCAATAAGTAGATTGGCTCAAATCCTTTATATATTAGTTAAGATCACTCCCATTTTAATGTGAAACATTATCTTACACATATTTTCTATATAGAAACACAATTACTATAATTGGAAAGAATGATAATTTAAAAAGAAATTACATAAAATAAATTGATAAACATAATATAAAATTATATCAATTAACCAAGAATTTAGGAAAGCGGATTGCAGAGTCGAGATATGGTGATCTTTTTCCTTAATTCTGTAAATGTTCGTAATATAACGGTTGCATGACGTTCCGAATTCTATAATACAACTGCATTATTTTTATGATTCTCACCACCTTTAATTCATAAGCTTTCAAACCTTTTTTTATTGTATTCTCAAAGTGAAAAAAAAAATCCAAAGAAAATAAAAATAGAAAAAGTGTCTAAAGATTGCTGTTTCCTATTTTTTTTTATAAAAAATAAGAGAAATGTGACTTTTCAACCCTATTATGATCTATAATGCTCATTAATCTCAATTAATATTGAATCATTATGATTATGAGATTATCTATAGAGTTATAAAACTGATAAAAATTAATTATTTAATTATATAAAATTTTGACTTGACTAAGTTTTTATTCTCATTTGACTAGTAAAAAAAAATTTTGTGACCAAATTAAAATTTATGTAGTGATCAATTACACAAATAATAATTTGATACAAAATAAAAGTTATTAGACCAAATTACATCGAATCCACGCATCAACCCAAATCCAAGCCCAAGTTATTTTCGACTCGTCTCGATGTGCGCGTATATGATTTAACATGAATTTTTCTCTACAATTATTCTAAGGTCTTTAACTTTATTAGGACTTTTACATAATATTTACTAATCCATTTTGTGCCTTTGTAAGCAACAAACATTAGATATATGAGTACATTCATAATCCAATAATTTCCTTTGAAATATGTCGGGAGTTACTTAGAAACTAGGAGATTGGCCCGTACAACAGTTCTAAAAATATAATTACCTAAATATAATATTTAAATCCATCTCAAATATTTTAATTTTTTATAGTATATGAAACTCAAGGTCAGTGTTGAATTATAAAGCTTTAAATTTAGTAGTAAAATATGATATAATTTTAATTAAACTTTTTGTTATAACAAAAGTTCTATTTATATTTTGAGACAGACCTAAAAATAATAATTAAATTTAAAAAATACAAAAATTGTCTTTTTTCATAATTGGACTTTGTAAAACTTAACTGCTATGTTACGAGGTCGAATAGGTACTCGGTTACCTGTTTCAGATTTGCGGATCAAGCAAACATACCTGCAAATTTTATATATTTTTTTTAACAAACATTTTCATTTTCTTTGTCTTCCTATAATCTTTCTATTTCGTTTTTTTTCTTCAATTTTTAGAAATGATTTTAGGAACGGTACTAATACCTTCTCCGAATCTTCCTTCTTTTACGATATGAATCCTCTTCTTTGTCAGATTTATTTTGCGCGTTCGTTGATGGAAAAGCGACAATTAGTTCTTATAATTAGCTGCTGTTATTGGATATGCGTATTACCTGAAAGCGACCTCGTTTGAATAGAAAGTAATAGTCATGAGTTTTGTATTTCAAGTAAAACCATATGCTGCTTCTTGTTAGAGATTTATAAATCGTATTCTTCTGATAGAAATCTGAAATTGACTGCGTAATAAGATAAACTCCTATTTCAATTTCGATGTTTGCTAGTCACCCTTGTGGAATTTTTCTAGGAATTAGGTTTTTTTTTTGTTTGTGTTACTGTTTATGAATTTCTAGAATTGGATTATAATTGGGCGGAATGATTATAAGCTGCAACCTCCTTTTACTGGCAAAAACGCTGGTTTCCCCTTTATAATAGAAAAAAAGTTCTTCCTTCATGTTGCCTTCGTTTGAATTTCATCTGCGTTGTGGTCTTTTGAGTCTGTTGAAATTTAGTTGACATTAAGTATTGGGTTATGCTAAATATATATTTATTTATATGAAAAAACTGATACTGCTAGGTATATAAACGATTGTCTATCTATCTCGATTGAAATCTAGAACAGTATACCAAAACCTAAGTAAGAACCAGACGTATCATGGAGATTTGTTGAATTGATCTCATTACTCTCCCAAAGCACTAAGCCTTCCCTTTAAACTGTTCTCTTTTTCTAGAGTGTGTGTACCAGATACTTTACTGTTTTGGGTCTATCTAATATGAGCTTCAATGCAATATGTGGTCACTTCATTACTATAGCCTTTTCACAACTCTCATATCATGATTTGGAAGAATCATTAATTAGTACTTTCATATTCCACAACACTCATAATTTCGGCTAATATATTCAAGAAACTGATGTTGATTCCAGTATGATCATTTCAGTATAAACCGGATATATAATCATTTCAATATATAATAGTAGAAAACATAAGAACCTATGAGAGAGTTTGTTAAATATTTTCGTTAGTGTTTTCATTTCTCTATTTCTTCTCGATCATAGAGTCTACAAGATTTGTTTTTTTGGTAAACTTAATTTTCTTTCATTGTTTTAAATCTAATAATTATTCTCTAGAAACTTTCATCTTCACTTATACTTTGTTTTTTACTCTGTCTACTTTCTTGATCGGAAGGTTGTCACATTTCTTGTTCCAATTTATATTAACAATTATTTGAACAAAAATAAATTAAACACATAAATATTGTTTGCCATGTCATAATCCACATGTGCTTGTATATGCCAAGTCACAATTACATCATCATTACGTATCATCATTTTCATGTCACATTTAATTAGGTTAGATTGATGTTTTTAACCAATGAAATTAAAACAAACACGTATAATTCATTAAACTAAATTATCAATTAATAGGTAGGAGATTTTATGTTTTTCTGTTTTCATAAAACAATTATTTGAACAAAAATAAATTAAACACATAAATATTTTTGTCATGTCATAATCCACATGTGCTTGTATATGTCAAGTCACAATTACATCATTATTACACATTATCATTTCTATGTTACATTTAATTTGGTTAGATTGATGTTTTTAACCAATAAAATTAAAATAAATAAGCATAATTTATTAAACTTTATTGTCAATTAATAGGTAGGAGATGTACCAACGCAAGATGCTTTAAAACTGAATTCCAACACTCTAGAGATTAAAGGCCTCGTAGCCCATTAACCGCTACTAATTTCGATACTTTCCAACAAATAGCAAAATTTTTTTGCTGTTTTACTATGTGGTATTTGTATCAATTCGTAATTCATGGTCGAATTTTTCTAACCATATGGGGCCTCCTAATGCAGTATGGTGGGAAAAGATCAATGTTTCAAACGATTTTGGTGTTTTGGTTTTTTCTTTTTTCAGGTGAAGTTATTATTTAAATATCAGATTAATTTAAGATTTTTAATAAACTTGTTTTAGGTCATAGTCTTATCTTTAGGCGTTTGTTTCTTCTCGACCAACTGTGATCCAGATATATTTCCTTCTTTCTTTTTGACGTAATTATGACCTAGTTCTGTTAAAAGCTTTTATAATTCTTTCTTTGTTAAGCAGTTTAAAAGTTTATCAAACGAGATTTAAGTCTAAATCCGTGACTTGCTATTATTCTTTTTGAATAATGTTGTCCAAGAAACACTTAAACCGACTAGTTCCATTGAACCGTCGATTGGTCGGAAACCATTCTATTACCAAATTCTGTTTTTCATTATTGATTTGATTGATGCGACTCCTTTGGATGTTTATATCCGTAGAAATCTGACTTCATTTTTTTATAATCCGACTAAAATATAAAAACGACCAAATTTCCCAGTGTCATGGCCCAACAAGCATAGATTTATGTTCCAAATAGCATTCGTACCTGTCGTGGATTTTATCTTCTGATGACTTGCATGGTCTTTGTCTCCTTTTTAATCAAGAATCAAGTTATATTTAGCCGTTTTTTTTTTACAATCTTTTTTTTTTCTAAAACTAGCCTAAGCTCAATTAAGCCATTTATGGACTATTAATTGGTATAAACACCCCTCCTATAAGTAATTAGACACAGTAGAACTGTAGTTTTAGTTTCTTAAATTAGAAAGTAAAATAGTTTTGGAAAGGGATAGTTATGAGGAAAACAACAATAATTATTGATATGTGCAGAGAGGTAGGACAATGTACTGTTGCCTCAGGCCTTATTCAGGAGGTCCCAAATTGTGGTCAATGTTTAATGACTTTATTGCCCTGAGATTATTGGTGTACCCTAATCGTACTAATTAAAATATTGTCAGTAAATAATTGAACAAATAATACCAATATAGCTACAAATATTTATAAACTGCAATTACTTTATATTTATTGTTCACTTTATGAAAGTTATAGACAACTAACCTCACATGGGCGCATTTTGCACTCTAGCCCCCATTCTCTAGTTACATTATTCATGCTAAATCCCACCTACTAATTCCTCTCAACATACGCGACAAAAAATTATTCCTCATTAGGAGAATAATCTTTTTTTTGATAAAAGGCTTTCTCATTAGGAGAATAATCTTTGAGATTGATTGATATTAAATATATTATCCATATTAATTGTTTTAACTCCAAGTAAACTTTAAATCCATGTTCTTCTTGGTTCTATTATGGACTACACTACACATATACATCTACAACATACCAATATAGACTACATGATTCAGATCATTACTATGTAGTAGCCTAGTAGGTTCTTCAGTTTTAATTACCATTAAATGAGTAATCATTTGGGTTCATGCATCTTTAAGCAACAAAAATCAAATATTCAATGTAAACAAAGGGGTTACATTTACATACAAAAGAAATTAGAATCTTATCGGTAAATTAAATATAGTATACCATTTCTAATTATGTGCTTAATCGTTACACTCTCAAAGTAATCTTTTATACAATGCGGTTTTGACTAGTCCAAGCAAACTCACTCATGATAACTTTTCTCGATGCAATTTTAAAATTAAAAAATTAAAGAATCTCAGTTTCAAAGTTGTATTTTGGCTAAAACCATTATTTTGTAGTCTTCGAGGTCTTGTCGTCCTTTATTTGCACGCCTTGTTTTTATTATCGTCGCATTCGCATGATCTCATCTACATGCATGTATGCATTAGGATCTTATTTCTCAAGACTTCAAAATTTTGGTAGCAGTATTTGATTAGGTCCGTAATAGTTCTGTTAAGCATAAATCACCACTTTTAAAAGTTGGTAGGGAATAAGAAAATAAAATCTTCTAATGTTGGTGAATCAATAGATAGCTCTTGAGTTTTTCCCCAATTTTTCATTAGATTACAAAGTCTTGGATGTATGACTATGATTTGTGTCGCATCATTTTTTTGCTTCAGAGAAGACGACAATGTAAAATGTTGCTTAATTGTGATGGTAATCATCTAACAATGTGAATTAAAACAAGTTGGTATCACATAGTATAAAAAATTAGAGAGACTATATTTTCCAATATATTACTTCGACTATGATTTCTGATCACTATTATAAGATTTCTAATCCATCATAACGGTTCTTGAAGACTACATTCTCTAGCCAAACTGTATATCAGAGTTTTTTTTTGTTTTTTTGCATTTTGCAATTTACGAGAAATGTAACTACTGGAATCTATATTATGGAACACGTGACACCAATGAAAGAGAGCTGAACCACAATTTACAAAAGAAGATAAAAAACAATAAAACCATTTGGGAACTTTGGATTCTTGGTGCAACAAGGCATTAAAGTCTGTGGCTATCTTCTTGAAATTATTTACAATGTCATCTTGGACCGTCAAATCTTCATTTACTAGTTTATACAATTAATGGTTTTGCATATTTAATAATCGCATGTAACATCTGTGGAAGCAAGCGTACTTGCCTTTATCAAAACAACTAAAAGCTGCAACATTTCTGATGCCCACTCGTTTGTTATATAATCCTCATGTACAAATACTCTAGTCTATACTTAATTTAGCTATCTTTGTTTTATCATAAGCATTATTGATTCATCAACAGCTGTTAATATTTTCTACGTTTTGTTCAGGTTCTTAGGTGAGAAAGTGAACTATTTTAAATGTAAAAAAACCATGCACGAGATAGAGAGAGAGTGTGTGTGTATGAGAGAGAGATCCCTTTTAAATTCTTGATTTAACAAAACTTTTAATATAATAATAATCCATTTGTACTGTAGTTTCAGAATTGTGACAAAATAAATAAAAAATCAATTTGGTGACTGTATATATTACATTTATGCAATCTTCCTCAGTCTCGTGGTTGTAGTTAGTTACATGAGCAACTTCACTAACAGTAGCTGAGTTCGATCTTTCTTTCTCTCTGGTTTGTTAACTTAAGATGGGTAAGAAGAACGGAACGTCGTGGTTCACGGCAGTGAAGAAGATTCTCTGGTCACCCTCTAAGGATTCCGACAAGAAGACTCACCAGAAAGAAAATGATTGTAATAAGGTCTTAATTCAACTATATGTTATTAATATTCTTACCCACTTAACCTCTTGTCTTGTAAATAATGTTTTAGATTCATGGGTCTTGAGATTTAACCCGAATGTTTTGATCTTTTGGGTTAAATGCAGAAAAAGGAAAAGAAAGGATGGATTTTTCGAAAAACCAAACTCGAAACCACTAACTCTGTAACCAACACCATACCTACGGCTGAGACAGAGGAGGAGGACAAACCGGCGGTGAATGTCTCCGCCGTGGATGACACGGTCGCCGAGATCGTTAAGCTAACGGCAACTCCAGGTTTTATTAGACGTCACTGGGCTGCCATTATTATTCAGACAGCTTTCAGAGGTTATCTTGTAAGTAAACAAAATCATGTTTATTAGTTTGTGTATTTGATTTTTTTTTTGTCAAAACTTGTGTTATTCGTTTAAATAATTAAAAATTGATGTTAGTATTTGTTAGTGTCTAAATTTTTGCATTTGTTTTTGAAAGGCGAGGAGAGCTTTACGAGCAATGAAAGGGATAGTGAAGTTACAAGCATTAGTGAGAGGTACTAATGTTAGAAACCAAGCTAAACTCACTTTGAGATGCATCAAGGCTTTGGTTCGAGTTCAAGATCAAGTGCTTAATCATAATTATCAACAACAACAACGTTCAAGAGTCTTATCATCACCAACATCGAATTGTTATAACATTGAAGCAAGACGTAACTCAATGTTCGCTGAATCTAATGGTTTTTGGGACACTAAAACATATCTTCAAGACATACGTAGCCGTAGATCTCTGGTTAGTGAATTTAGTTATTAAGTTTTTGTTCAAGAACTTCTTGAGAACTGAGACAATAAATTTTCTTGTCTTGCAGTCGAGAGATATGAGTAGATGCACCAATCAATTTGTTGTTAGCCAAGAAGAAACACAATCGATTTTGGAGAAGAGACTAGAGATTGCTATTCAACGAGAGAAAGCTCAAGCAATTGCTCTCTCTAATCAGGTAGTTACTGAAATTTTATCAGAATTTAGAGAAAAATCTTTCTGAATTTAATGATTTTGATCCAACTTTTTATATTTTTTAAACTTAGTTTTACAATAGTTTGTTCATTCAGAAATGAAATATTTGTTCTCTAACAATTATTTGAAAGTTTCTTGTTTTAGTCATTATTTACAATAATTTGTTCATTTCAAAATAGAATATTTTGTATTTTTGAAAATATTATACTTTTAATCAATTTTCATGATAGTAAAGTACACTAACGTTTTTGTTTTTGTCGTCTCTGTTTGAAAAGATTCGGAGTCGGTCTTACCGGAACCAATCAGTCGGCGACGATTCAGAGCTTTTTGAGAGAACGCAATGGCTTGATCGATGGATGGCTACAAAGCAATGGGACAACACAATCTCAAATTCAACAGTCAGAGATCCGATCAAGACTCTCGAGATCGATTTAAACACATATCAGAGAACGTGTCCGGCGACTCCACCGTCGTGCAGAGCCACGAGAACCTTCGGGGTGCGATCAGCTAGTCCGAGAATACAGTGTTGTTCTCCTTCTTCGATGGTTCAGCCGAATTACATGACGGCGACTGAGTCAGCGAAGGCTAAGGCTCGGACTCAGAGCACGCCGCGGCGGAGACCGGTGGGGACGGCGAAGAAACGGTTGTGTTATGCGGAGGAGGGGAATTTGAGGAGTCCGAGTTTGAAGAGTGCTTATAATGGTTGTCTTTGGGGAGATCATGAATCTGATTATTCTTGTTGTTACGGTGATGGGTTCGCCGGAAAAATCTCGCCTTGTTCTACGACTGATCTCCGGTGGTTAAAGTGAGAGACTTTTTTTGTTTGTTATATTGTGTTTTGTAATATTAACGATCAATGAGATTTGTTTTTGTTTTATGATTCCTTGTGCCAAAGGCTGATGAGTTAGTAGTGAACAAAAGCTACAAATTCTTAGTTTAGAACTTAACATTGATTCAAACGTTTTAAGCCGTTTAGTTTAGTTTCTTTATTCATTGAACCAAAATCTGAATTAGATAACAAAACTACAAGTTCTTAGTCAAGAAATTAAGATTATAGCTCAAATTACATAAAAGTGACGACTTTGACAAGAAAAAGTTTCAATCTTTCTGTGCTTATGTTTCTGTCAAAGAGTTTTAGACCTTTAAGAAGAACACACACAAGGATAAAAAGCAGAGTATAAAAAGTTACCATAGTAGTAGGATAATCAATTTTATACTAAAAAAAGTTACCAGTTACCAACAAATCATACATCATACGATTGATAGATAACAAAGAATCCCTCTACCAAAATTGAAAAAACTACAGAATCGTTACCAAACTTATACGAAGAACAAAGACCCTTTTAACATCTAAGCCAATCTTGGAAGAGTCTTCTTCTCTGTCACGGCTTCATGACCATTATGCTAGCAATAGGGAACTCTCCGGCACAAGGGACACGAGTTCTGACGCTTAAGCCACTCAAAGATGCAACCTTGATGGAACATATGCAAACATTCAGGCATCTGAATGATGTTTTCGTCATGACCCGAATCTTCAGACAAGCTCTCCATACAAATCGAACACGTTGTCTCTTTTTCTTCTTCCTCCAAATCAACTGGTTCCACTCTCTGTTCCTCCACAAGTCTTTGTAACAGAGCATCCGAGGCCGCTCCTGACGAAAGAGGAACAGACGGTGGTAACATAAACCGAACCTCTCGGATCAATTTCACGTTGACATCAATTAGAAAGCTTCCGCGAAGGAAAGCACAATCATCAGCGATCTTTTGACCCAAAAGCTGACAAAGCTGAGTTTGAGGGATTTGACGGTTTAGGAGATGAGAGATGGTACTTGACCTGAAGCTAGGTGTTGCGAATTCGAAGTCTACATCTGGATGCAAGTATGATCCTAGATGTGTTACCATCCCGTTGTGATCTTGAACCAGCTCCTTGATCTCTTCGTTTATACGGATCTTTATGGCGCTTGGAAACCCTAGACTTTGAGGTAGATGATGTAACACTTTCGTCATGACTTCTACTTTCACCCCCGGATCGATATTCATGGCCGAATTAAAACCCTAACTTCGGATTTTTTGTAGAGGAGATTAAAAAATCAAAGAGAAAGAGATCGATGATGATGATGAATATTGAATTGCGAGAGAGAGAGAGAATAAAGTGAAATTGATTTCTTTCAGGTGAAGGCTGAGTGATTTTATATAGAGACTAGACTGAGAGAAAAGACTTGGGTTACAAGAACGGTTATTGCTAATATACGCACCTGAACGCGTTTTTAGTTTTCCTTTTTCCCAAACTCAGATCAGATATTTGAATATTTCCTTTTTTTCTCAATCTACAAGATTCATATTTTCCTTTTCTAAAACTCGACCGTTATAATTGGTTGTATTACACCGGGAATTTAACCAAGATTGGTACTGGCTCGGTTTGTTCCGGTTTAGCTAGGTTCATGACTTTCCTTGTTGTTACGGTGAAGGGTTCGCCGGGAAGATCCGGGACTGATTTTAAGTATGTATTCTGAAAGTGAAAGACTTTTTGTTTCTCTCTGTTTTTCTTTTCGCACTCTCGCTGTATTCTACTATTAATCTCCGGTGGTTAAAGTGAGAGACTTTTTTGTTTTTGTCTATTGTGTTTTGCAATACTAACGATAATGGGCTTTGTTTTGTTCTATGGTTCCTTGTAATTAGATGACAAAACTGCAAATCTTTAGTTAAGAACTTTACAGCCCTGTTCTTTACCGTCTGTTAATAAAAAAAAAATCATTTTTGATTAACAGACAGCAAAGAAAGCATATTTGAATAATAGAATCACATAAATCTTTATAAAAGGCTTTTGTGTTAAGATTTGGCTAAAGCAGAAACGTGTTCCAACGTGTAATGCCCAAGTCTACCAGTTCTATAAAGATTCAATATCTTAGAAGCAACTCTGAGTTCAGCAAACTCACTTGCTTCCTCTGTAACCCTAAGAACCGTTCTTAACGCAGCGAATTGCGTCTCTATAAGCTCTCCCATGCTGATCTCGTCTTCAAAGTCCCCGTCAAATGCTGAAACTGTCTCGTACAGAACTCTCCGAACGTCGTAAACTATAAAATCCTACAAAATGGGAGAAAAGAAGACTATGAAGAAGATAACTGGAGTAAGCACATAGTGTTTATCGTCTTGTTATGGTACCTGTGTGTGATCTGTAGGGTACTGCCTCTTACGTTGTGCATTAGATAAACTTTCACTGGATAACGTTTCCGTTAAGTCCTGAGATTTGCAAAGTTTCTCCCATTTCTTGTATTCATGGCTCGAGTTTAGTATCGTCAGAAAGAATCTTGCTAGTTCTATCTCCCCAACTATATCATCCGGGATAGCTCCTGCATACATACTTAGTGCTGAATCAAACCTGTTAAAGCTAGAATATAATTCACAGTGCTGAATCAAACCTGTTAAAGCCAGTTTTGAGCAGATCTCAACATCAAGCAGAGTAGGAGGGAATATTCCTGGTGTGTCCAGTACATAGACATTGGGATGGCTACCGATCTGAAACACACAATTATCTAACAAATAAGCTAACACAAGCAAGTGTCATGACCATAATAAGCATACAGAGAAAACATATTGTTGAAGTGCTGAGACATGGAGATGAAAGTAGGATTAATGAATCTTGAAATTCATTCTAAGATTGTTGTTGAATAGTGAGAGCAACGGGAACAAACCTTCAAGCTCATAATGTCTTTGGTATCTCCAGGCTGCGGACTAACTGTTGTGTGCTTTAGCTTACCTTTCTCTGTAAAAAACGAACATGTTAAACATTGATCACGAAGAGCTGAAACTCGAGCAAAGAAGCAGCAACGACCATTTTGAGAGAATGGGTTTACCTGCAGCACTTATCCTCCCGATTTGATGCAGAGAATTGGCGAGAGCGGATTTTCCCACGTTAGGTATCCCAAGGAGCATCATAGTTGTGGTGTGATTAGAATGGCCAGACTTGTGCAATTCCCTAACTTGACTCTGCAAGAAGTTGAGAAACTGAAAGAAAAAAAGGAAACTTTTAGTTTCTTACTTGGCAAAAAAGACCTGAAGATGATGAAATCAAGAGAAATAGTGTGTTACTTGCTTGACACAATCTTTGTTATGTGAGTTTACTGCAAAAGACAGATAGTTTCTTCCTTGAAAGTAATCCATCCATTTCTGTAACTCCAATGGATCCGCAAGCTCCATCTTGTTCAACACAACAATCCGTTTTGAAGGTAAAGGCGAAAACTTTCTCAACAACTCATACTCAGAGGACAACGGAATCTACAGACAAAACAAGAGGAAGAAGAAACAAAAAAAGCTTAGCATCATTCTCTGAGGCAATTTCTCGAACAGTTGGAAGACAAAAGAGAGAAAGAATAAAACGAACACGAGCGTCTCTGATCTCGAGTACGAAATCGACCAACGGTATGCGTTCCGAGATTGCTCGAACCGATGCGGCCATGTGAGGTCCGTACCATCTCCGGTTAGGGTTCTTCGACGCCTTGATCACGGCGTCTCCGATTTCCCTCCCAATTCTAGCCGTTGCCATTTCAACATAAAGCCTCCCTTTTACAAACCTAATGCCCATAAATACGAAGCAAAACTGAACCCAATGGGCTTTAATGCCTCAAATATAAAGCCCAGGTATATATAGCCTATTTAAAATACGAGTATTATAATTTTGATCGGTTTCAGTCGGATTTTCGGATTTTTTTGTTTATGAATAAATATACATCGCAAGATACATCTAATCTAATACGAAGAGTATAAAATACGGTTTTGGTCCAAGTTAAGATTTTATATTCTTAATGGCTCAAACAAGTTTTGATTTTAGAACATTTTCTCTGTTTTCAGTTTAAATTTTAATTTTATTTTTCCTTTCAACCATATATATGGATTTGAAGATACCACAAAATGTGAGAGATGAGAATGTTATCCTTGTTTTGGAAAAAGTTATAATGACCACTAAATATCTCCATATCCCTAAGTAACGCATTTAATTTTTTCTTTAGGATGCCATTTCCCTATGAACATGCATGCACGACCTATGTATTGGCAATATGTGTATAATGTACGCCTTAATTAAGCTTTTAATATATTTAAGCTTTCAAAGCACAGATTCATCAACCGCTAGGCCACAAAGATCCAGTAAGATCTTGTTTACCATATATATAGTCTCCAAAAATATATTTATTATAACCTCTAACATAAACTTAATAATTTAATATGGTATCTAAACTATTAAAATAGAATCATTTTAATAAATGTTCAAAAGCTACCATAGTATTTATAATATATGTCACTACATTTACTAGACAATTTCATTAATTCATTAAGAGTAATTGAATCATATCATTAAACCACTAAAACTGTATTAAATTAAATTATATTATATTATTTTGTTAACAGATAATACTAATAAATTATATCTGATTTTAATAAAATTTCAAAATTATTTCATTAATTCATTAAGGGTAATTTAGTCATATCACTAAACCACTAAAAATGCATTAAATTAAATTAAATTAAATTATTTTATTAACAGATAATACTAATAAATTATATCTGATTTTAATAAAATTTAAACTAATTTAATTTCAAAATTATTTCATTAATTCATTAAGGGTAATTTAGTCATATCACTAAACCACTAAAAATGCATTAAATTAAATTAAATTATGTTATTTTGTTAACAGATAATACTAATAAATTATATCTGATATTTAATAAAATTTAAATTAATTTAATTTCAAAATTATTTCAAAATCTATCATAATATCTTAACATAATTATCACAAATATATATGGCATGGATGATTGATATAATTATATATATTATATTATAAATTAAATATATATTATATTATAATCATTTTCTTCTCTATACAATTAAAAAAAGCACTACTTTAAAATGTTTAAAAGCTAATATGATATTTATTAAATGTGACAATTTATAGTCAATGATGAATATGTAATCATTATTTTTTGGTTACATATATACATACTATGAAAAAAATATTATGTAAATAATTTTTTCATGGTTTGTTAATGATTTTTTTGCCAGAAATCATGAGTTTGCGGATTTGACAAACAAAAATTTGTAGATTTTACGGGTTTACAAGGTTTAGTGGGTTTTATAAGTTTTAGCGGAAAATATATTTTTACAAGAAAATGCTGGTTTAAAAAGAAATGTGTTTTTGCATATTTAGCAGAAACACATGATTTTAGAAATTTAGTTTTGCAGATTTTATGGGGTTTACGGAATGCGAATGACACAATTTTGCGGATTTTAGTGGGAAAATATAGTCATACGAGAAAATGCGGATTTGTGGGTTTAGAAACTCGATTTTGTAGGTTTGGCAGAAACACATGAGTTTAGAAATTTGGTTGTAAAACATGATTTTAAGGATTTTACAAATTTATGGAAAATATGGGTTTGTGGATTTGGCCAGAAACGTGATTTTGAGGATTTTACGAGGTTTACATGTTTTGGCGGGGTTTATATGTTTTGATGGAAAATGTGGTTTTATGAATTTTATTGAAAATGCAGGTTTGCGAGTTTGATGAAAAACGTAATTTTGCAGGTTTGACAAAAACACGTAATTTTAGAAACTTAGCCATAGAATATGGTTTTATGGTGTTGAGGAAAACATATATTTTGGTTTTGTTAAAAAATGTGAGTTTACAATTCTTGATGAAAAATACGGTTTGATGGAAAATGCTGTTTTTACAGTTTCTATGAGAATTCTTGATTTTGGTACAACAAGTTGATTTTAGTTATTTTTGATTTTGTTAAAAAATTGTGGGTTTACAGTTTTGGCAGGAAAATACTGTTTGATGAAAAATGCTATTTTTACAGTTTCTATGAGAATTCCCAATTTTGATATAACAACGTGATTTTAGTATTTTGTGGAAAAATATGGCTTTTTATTTGGATCGAAAACTCTGATTTTATGGTTTTGATAACGAAAAAAATTGATTTTATGGTTTAAGTTAAAAGATATTTTTTGGTCTTTTAGTTTTTAAGATTCAAATGTTGCATCCAAACTCTATTTTTTTAGCATCTTAAATATTCAAATTTTGAGATATTATAGATTTTGTATTCAGATATTTAAAAAAATAATATTTGAACATTTACATCTAAATAAGTATCTGGATGCAAAAACAAACAAAACTTAAGTAAATATTGAAATCTTAATTACAAACAAATAAAATCTCTCTTGCATTATAAAACATAATACTTTGAAAATATTTGTTACAAAATTTAACCGGAAATTTGCTAATCAAAATATCTTTTTTTTAGAAAATCAAGCCTAAATAATTTTAAAAACATAAAACCATAACGTAAAAATAATTTATATAATCTAATAAAAAAATTTCTGTTTGGGCCACAATTTGGATTTAAAAATATAAGCTAATTTTTTTGAACAAAAATTTAATATAAACCGATTTTTGGTGTGGCCTAAAAACATTTAAGATAAAAAAATTAGCTTATATTATTAAATCCAAAATTAAATATAACTCATTCTGGTATCCTATAATATTTAAGATGAAAAAGATGATAATTCCACCTCACATCATGTTCAAGCTTCATATTTAAATTCACTAATCAAAATATTTTTTTTTTATAAAATCAAACTTAAATAATTTTAAGAACATAAAATTATAATATATAAATATTTTATATAATATAATAAAAAATAGTGAGGGCCGCAATTTTAAATTTAATAATATAAGATAATTTTTTTGAACAAAAGTTTAATATAAACTAATTTTTGGTATGACTTCAAAATATTTTATGAAAAGAAACTCGCGCAAGATGCACAGATCCAAAATCTAGTAGTTTCTTATTATTAAAAAAATTATCTAGTGCAATTAGCAAAAACAAAAGGTATAAGTAGTTAGATAAGAAAGTCTGTAAGTGTTAATGGAGCAAGAAACTAATAATAGCACATAAACAGTAAACTCTTGTTCCAAAAAAAAGTAACAAAAATAATATATTAATGATTCATAAGAAGAGAAAATTTATTAAAATTTAATTCAGTTAGTGAGTATATATACTAAATAAAAGGAATTATTTGGGGCTCCTTAAGCTATCCACCTCAGCTTTTCAAACTACTCTAAAAGTATGACACATCAGCAAAAAATAATAATACAAATTCCCACTTTAGATTTTTTTGGAATACACATAAAGTAAATAAATAGAACCAAAATTAATATAGTTAAATACAAGAGTAAATAAAAATAAATTATTATTTTTTGAATCAGTAAAATAAATATTATTTAAATCTATAGCATCAATATATACTCTTTTGTTTGTAATATAACAAATTAACAATAATGAAAATTCTCACTTTAAATTTTTTGAAATACACATAAAATAAATAAATAAAACCATTAAATTAATATAGTTATTAGTAAAAACTAAATAAAACTATATATCATTTTAATCAGTAAAATAAATATAGTGATAGACAAAAGACTTAAATAATAGTTAATAGAAACAAGATTACAAAATAATAATTTCTAAAATAAAATTTAAAACATTTGTAAATTATAAAAATCTAAAACATTCACCTTTTAGAAACATACAGATTAAACATCATAGTACGTTATATTTATGGCAACCAACAAGACAACATAAATTATAGGAAGCTTTTCAAAGCATCCATCTATATGAAGATTTCGATCATTGTTACTATTTACATTGCAGAAAATGATAGACAAAAGAAGAATTTCATGCACTGATATTTATTTAATGTGTGTCTTAGTTGGCTAAGGTAGTCAAGTTACTACAAGCGATACATGTCAACACATGAGTTAAACAGTTTATAAACAAAAATTAAGTTTTAAATAACAGTTAATTTTTATATATATCAAGTTAATAAATTCTTAAATTAAATAATTATGCATTTTTGAAAAAATAACATACACATTTTAATGTAGAAGAAAATGTCTAAAAAAATCTTTAATTATCCACATCAACAAAATTCCTTATAAACCCAACTTGAATGAAAACTAATATGGTTTTTTTACTGGGTTAAGAAACTCCTTTAAAAATAATATAATATATATTATTAGTTTAATTATAAAGGCTCATCAAAATATATATGTGTAGTTTAAGAAAAAATGTTTAAGTTAAATTACAAGCAAAATGTTTTACATCTTTTGAGTTTTGAGAAACTCAACATGCTTTATTTAACATAATGAGTTAGTATGAAATTGTATTTGTATATGTATTATTTGCCTTATTTATCTATATTTTTTTATAGTTTACGTATACTTCATAGACCAAATCAAAATTGCATTTTATCAATATGATTGTGATTTTTTATACTATGTAAATATTGTTTTTATTTATATGAATCATAGTTATTTTATAAATTTATAAGAGATTAGAACATTGAGTGTCGTTTGTATTTGAGATTGCTAATTAAATAAAAACACTACACGAACACAGTTGAAATAAAAATAAAAATCTAAATTAATTAGAACAATAATAATTAAATTTAGTCAAAACAAAAATAATTTTAATAATATTTTGAAAGTTAGTAGTGAATAACAGTGAGTTTATATACAAATATTAAATTTTAGATTAACAGTTAATTTTAGCATATCAAGTAGCTAATTCTTAAAATTATACATTTTTTGAATATGTTAAAATATTTTCGATGTATAATCATATCAAAACAATTTTAAAAATTAAATATTATATTTAAAATATTAACTTAAAGTGAAAATAATAAAACTTAAATAATAATCAAATATCTATATAAAAACAGTCTGCGCGTAGCGCGGAAACATCCCTAGTGATAATAAAACCGAGTAGCCAAGTCATGGAGAAATCAAAGAACAACTTCTGATTTGATTTCATTCACAAGATGGTTCAACTACCACCTACCTCTCTTCTCGTATTGTCTTTAATGACTCCAAAGTCTTAACAGTTTGCTCTATTTATCTCTTTGATTTTTGGTTTTTTTTTGTATCTTTTGTTCTTACAACTTTGACGTAGTGGATCATATGTTACAGTAAAGCATTTTCTGGAGCCACTCACAGAAAGATTTAATTAGTATTTATGGTTCTGCTATATTTATTGCGTACCAAGTGTAGCAAATTTTGTTTTTATGTGTTTTTAGGAAACATAATTTTGTGGACGGAAACTATACTCTAATTTTCGATAATAGCGATCACCAAACTAAAATGCGATCAACCAAATGATGTGAGCTTAGTAAAATCGATAACATGGAAGCCACAATTTTATTGATCCACTAGATTTTGGTGATGATGTCTTGACGAAAATAAAACTCAAACAAAAATGTTTTTCTTCTTCAAAAACATCTTTCTCTAATCCTCCAATTAGTTCTCTTGCACGCATTCGCTATTCGTGCCTTTGGAATCTGTATTTTCTATCAAAAGTCACCAATCTTTTCTTTTTCTTTTTCTCCATCTGATTAATTTTGATGAAAAAAGTCAATTGCAACAGTCACAATCTCCCGTGAAACACATAAAATTTCGGAAACCCCACTTCTAGTTGTCCAAAAAATATCCACAACCACACGTTTTTGTTTTCCCATTTCTGTACCTTTAATTTTTTTCTTGACGTCCCCCATTTATTTACCATTTTCTCACCCTATAATATCATATATAATATAGATTATATGGTGTATATCAAGTAACCCTCGGGTTACAATTCCCCATATCACTCCATAGATTCCTCTTTCTCAATTCTTAATAGGAGTGAGAGAGAAAGAGAGAGAGAGTAACATACATATACACAGCTAAGCGTGACAAATAAGACAAGGCGAACAACTTCACACATAGATCTCTCTACTTATATATACAAGAGAGAGAGAGAGAGACTGTGATTATAATCTAAGTTCAAGTTCATGCATGGGTGCGATGAAGGCAAGATCAGCATCTGTAGGAAGATGGGTGAACGAGGTCGTGAGCTTTGTTGTGTTTTGTCTCTTAGACATCGTCGATTATTTTCTCTGTCTTCTCTACAAAGCTGCTGATTATCTCCTCGAAGCAGAGTGGAAACCCTGCTATTGCTTGTCACCCAAGAAACTCATCACCACCACTCAAGGGAATATCGTCCTATCTCATAGCAATGGTGAATCCAAGATTCTCACCGTCTCTACCCTTCAACAACTTAGGTATACATTCTTACTTTCCCTTCTTGGCATGTAATTAGTATATTAATTAAGAAAAGAGCTATCGAAAAAAAAACTTTGATTTCTCTCACACGTATTGTCCCTTTTGCATTTTCAAGAAACCAATACCATTAGGAGTTGAAATCATTTTCATTTGGTTTACTACCTTAACCGGCTGGTTTTGTTTGTAGCGGACGTTCCAAGATTGAGCTTGAGGAGATCTCAGAGACTCTTTATTCACGTCCTTCTCTTGTATCTGACCTCTCTAAGCTCTCCATTAATGAACTGACCAAACGGTTAGTGAATGTGACTCGATCAAACTCTGAGTGTGGCGAGAAGACGACGACTAAGAGAAAAGGGAGAGCGATGAAATCGAGATTGACGGTGGGTTTTACTGTTGTTGAGATGCTTCAAGGCAAGATCAAGCCGCAGAAACTGAGCCGACAAATCTCGAGATGGTCGGATTGTGACTGTGGATTTTGCACTTGTTGGACTTCTACTTGTGTCAAAGACCAGTCCCTCTTTGTCAAAACTCAATTCCCAAAAGGTATTCACATTTTCTGTAAATATTATCGCAATTAACAACACAACAACAAAAATTAACTATTAATGATATTATTGTTAAAATTATTCCTTTTCCATAGGGAATACCGGAAAAGAGGACGTGTTGTTCATTCATGGTTTCATATCTTCATCGGCGTTTTGGACAGAGACGGTGTTTCCAAGCTTGTCGAACTCGAAATATAGACTATTTGCCGTAGATCTTTTAGGGTTTGGGAAGAGCCCTAAGCCTTCGGATTCACTCTACACGATGAGAGAGCATGTGGAGATGATTGAGAAATCGGTATTGCTTAAACACAATGTGAAGTCGTTCCATATTGTGGCTCACTCTTTAGGTTGCATCTTGGCTCTTGGCTTAGTCGCTAAGTACGGTGGTTCCATCAAGTCACTAACCCTCCTCGCTCCGGTTAGTTCATTTATCAGTATGCATTCTAATTCTTAAAAAGTAATTTTTTAAAAGTTACAAATTTAGACGTAAATAGTTTTTTTTTCGTGGCCGTTTTACATAAAAGGTGAAAGGTGATTAAAACATCAAAATAACATTTAAAATTACCCATAAAAAATCATATGCAGTTTCTACTAATAACAAGTTTGAAGAATCACATGGTATACTTTTTACAGATTATAATAGCAATCTTGAAAGAGAAGTACATGCTTGAATTATTCACGTAATATCTATAAATTCTTTCAACAATTCTAGTTGTTATTTTTTATTCTTAAAGCAATTTTTGTTGTTGTTAGTCTTCCTTTTCATCTATTTATTCTTAATTAGTTCAACTAAATTAATTAATTTTCTTAAGGTCAAACTTTCTAAACATGGCATGGTATAAGTTTATATGCTAAGTTTTCACTTTCTTTTTCATCATATTTACTTATAATATATTTTTAAAAAATTATGTACTTTATTAATCAACATAAATAATTTTGATTCGTAAGAGACCAAAAGACAATTAACACGCATTCATGAACCTTGACCCACTGATATAAGCAATTGAATTGCACACGAGCATGCATGCGGTAAGCTGGTAACATTTATACATATTTATTTAAGATTTGCTGAAGTTTGACACGTGTGCATGTATGGCGAAGCCGTACCATCCCGTGCCGGCGACGGAGGCCGAGCCAAGGCAGTACGTGATGAGAAAGGTGGCGCCGCGGCGAGTTTGGCCACCAATAGCGTTTGGAGCGTCGATGGCTTGTTGGTATGAACACATTAGCCGAACCATTTGTCTCCTCATTTGCAAGAACCATCGTCTTTGGCAATTTCTTGCCAAACTCATCACCCGTAATAATAGGTATCTAATTAAGTTTTCATTTAATTAAACTTACGCGTATATATAAATACAAGATATAGGCCGTAATACATAGCGTAAGCTTTTTTATCTACAAGTTACATCAAATAGCTAGATATGTATTGAGACAATAGGGAAATAAAAAAAACTTAGGCAACCTAACGAGGAAGAGATACTAGCTAATAGTTAAGTTCCAACCTACCAAACCTATTAGTGTATGGAGCATTAATGTGTTACTTAATTTGCAATGTGCCATGCCTCTCTATGGTATTATTAACCCTATTCTATATAATGAAATATAATCATCTCATGTGCCATGCCTCTCTATGGTATTATTAGCTCTATTCTTTATAGTATATAATTATCTGATTATCTCTATTCTATCTTGGCTAATATCATATAATTAACCCTATTATATATTTATGGTTGGAGTGGTTTGGAATAATCAGATTAAACAATAGTATCAGAACAGATCCCTATAGCTTATATAGAAACCATTGAATTTCCGACTGAAAAGCTAGGTGAGTGGTGAGTAAAGTGTGTTTGGAATGTTACTTTGCAGAATGTCATTACTATAATTAACTTCATTCAATATAGTTTCCATTTATAGATTTCTAATTAATTAGAATTGGTGGTTAACAAAATATAACACAATTATCAGATCCCTAGGAAGATAATAGAATCCTATGAAACAAAACTTAAAAATAAGAAAACAAGCCACTAAGAAATAAAAAGCAATTAAATTGCAACATGAAGAAAGTGCAAATCTAATGTTCAAAAAAAGAAAGAAAGTGCAAATCTATATAGTCAATGATCAGTTAATCTATTTAATACATAACTTTCACGATTTTGTGTAATTTTCTCAACTAATTTTGTGTAATTTTTTCTCTCTATGCAGAACAATAAACTTTCTAATAGAAGGGTTTATGTGTCACACGCATAACGCAGCGTGGCACACACTACACAACATAATATGTGGAATAGGGAGCAAACTCGATATTTATTTGGATATCGTACGTGACAAACTGGATTGCAATGTCTTCATCTTCCATGGGAGAGACGATGAGGTCGTACCTGTTGAGTGTAGTTACAATGTTCAAACTCGGATTCCTCGAGCACAAGTTAAGGTTGTTGAGAACAAAGATCACATTACTCTAGTTGTCGGAAGACAGGAAGAGTTTGCTAGAGAGCTCCAGGAGATTTGGAAAAATTCTTCCTGCTAAATCAAGTTTGTGATTACTGATTACTATCATCAATTGATATAAAAAAGGGGTTGTTACCAAAATTAAGCAAAACCCCTTTGAGTGATTATAAGTACTTAAAGTTTTATGCTTCTTCGTTGTTATATATCGAGTTTGATGCTCTGTAATAATCATAGCATTCTGTAATAATATTATGAGTTGCGTATTCATTTAACAAGCGAATGCATGCTTATGTCCATTAATTTTTCTAGGAATCGAATAGATAAATGATCTAAGGGGGAGAGATTTATAATACAAGACTGATCCATTAAACCATAACAAAACCACTAGTTTTTTTGTTTGCCAACAAACAAAAAAAAACACTAAACTTAAACTTGGAAAATGTCTGATTTCGATTCACCTAATACTGGGGGAATAATGAAAGATAAAGCAGAATTCTCGAATTTTTTTGTTCTTGTTTTTTCTTCACCTGTGCTTGCTGCGTTTCGATGGTAGCATGTTCTTCATGCTGCTTCTACCGCCTCCACCGCTAGTTCCAGGGCGCTTCCCAAACGCTTTCATCTTCCTCCTCTTTCTCTCTTCCTCACTATCCGACTCATCTCCATGCTCTTTGTCTGCATTAGTAGCTTCTCTCTCAAGCTCGTCCCAAGTCATTCCTTTCTCTTCCTCTGACTCTTGCTCCGAGTCCTCTTCATCTTCGTCATCTGACTCAACCAGAGACTCGCTCTCCGAAGCCTCGTCCTCCGACTCAGACTCAACCTCTACATCCGATGGCTCATATCCTTTGTCCGACTCCTCAGAGCCACCAGATTCCGAATCGCTTCCGTCCAAGTTCAAAAACTCCCATCCTCCATCGTCAACAAAGCTCTGAGGATCATCCGTGATCGTCTTCAGGATCTGTCTCCAGTTCAGGTTCAGTTTGCTCTCGTAGTACTTTATATCGGTAGTGTCAAGCCACTCCTTAATCCCTTCGAGAGAGCTCGTGGGAACAGAGTCAACTCTGAGAACATCTTTCTTGAAGTCCTTGAAGATGATGGCCATGTCAAAGTTCTTCTGCCCAAACCCAACTCTCTCGAGATTCACAATCTCAATCTCACTCAGACTGACCACGAAGAACGGGGTCTCAGTGAGCTCAACCAGGCAGCTTGAGGTCGGGATGATGAAACAAGATGTCTTATGCGGGACACCATAGAAACCAAGCTCTCTCAGAGGTTGATCAAACTCAAGATCCAAACTTGCAAACTGGGGTAGCTGCCACATCTCGTTGACCCGGTTCGCGAAATGATTAAAGTCCATGTTGATCTTGTTCTTCCTATCGCGCTCACGCTGCTCTTCATCAATCTCGTCTGGGTCATAGGCCGATCTCCTTCCACCGCCTAGAGACTGCACAACATCCATCACCTCCACGAAAAACTGGACGTCTTTTGTTTTCTTGTTTGCTACCATGATGTGGTCGTGCAAGTGGAAATGCAGGATTGTGATCATCTCCTTCTCAGCCGGCTGGAAAAACGCATGCTTTATGTTCGTAAACAGTACATCTACCCGCTCATTGGGCCTAGTTGTCGAATATCTGAAACCATTGGCATGAGCTTCGAGTGTCCCAGGAATCCTCTTACGACCGCTAAATTGCGGACGGATCCACAGCTCAGAGAGCCTGAGGGGTTTGAACTTGTTCCCTGCAAGCTGAAGCTTCTCTTGGGTCACCAGAGTCGCCCTTTCAAGCCTTTCTGACTCCCGAGCATTAACTTGCCGCCTCAGAGTCTTAATCGCCTGAACCACTTCACCGCTATGCCTTGAATCCTTGGACCGGAATGAAACTTCTTTGAGATAGATAGCACCCTGGTTTTTCAAAGTGTTGGAGTCATGAGGGCTGAAAGGTGTACCCGGGACGTTGAAAATGATACGGATGTAGTTGTTCCTGTTGCTATCTTGCTGGCTCGATACTGTTCTTATTGACGCCACATGGAATGGGACCATGCTACCATAGATGGGTAACAATAAAGCCTCGTTCTTCTGATCAACCTGGATCATCAAATCCCGAGGCTGAGGCACATCATTGACGTTCTTGTAGGCAACCAAATCAGCTGAAGTCTTTGCAGCTGAACGACTGTCTCCAGCACCAGAAGCGTCACCAGCAAGCCTTCTGGCAGTTTCTTCGTTTTTCTGGCGTGCAAGCTCTGCCTGGTGCTGTTTCCGCAGCTCTTCTTTAGACACCACATGATCATCTGATCTAAGAGCTGTCTTCGTGATGTAGTTCGCAGAACCACTGGTTCTTGGTCTTTTCCTGGGCTTCTCTTCCTCCTCATCCTCTTTAAAAGAGTAAGCCACATCCTTAACCAATTTGGAGCACTTAGTCAAAAGCTCCGGTTCCTGATCCTTGACGATAACAGTGTCGGCCAGCAAAAGTGAGAATTTCTTGTTCTTGCGACTCTCCGTCTCACATTCCAAGTTCTGGAATCCAAGAGACACATTAAATGCCATCTTTGGTCTCAACACTTTATCATTCTTTGCATTGATATTCAATCCCGACTCTCGGAACTCAAGACCGATACCAGTCCCAGCAGATTTAGTTAGTTTGTCAACCAACTCAGGGGCTTCCTTTTCAACTACGGAAAGGGCAGCTTGATAGACAGTGTACAACTTTCTTCCTGCCCTCAAAGCATTAATAGCAGCCTCATGTGCCTTGAGAAGAACCTCATAAGCCCTGCTCTGGAGAGAGTTTGCGTCTATTAGGTAAGTCCTGGCGACATTAGAGCAATAACTATTGTACCGAGCACCAATCGCACAAATAATGATGCTCGCTGGATCGTAAGTGAGCAGTTCATCATTGCTTGCAGCGCTAGGCTTGAGATCGAACTTTCCTCCACTTTGAAATATCGGAGGGTAGCATATGTCAACATTTTCTGCCCTAAGCTTCACATTGGCTTTCGTCGGCTCGAGTATCGCTTTCTCGGTGATATCCATCAACAAAGAGTGGGTGACGTCTTTCTCCTCATCAATGACATTCTCGAGTTTCGGAACCACGACATTCTTCATCACGCTGTAGGCAAGATACGCAGCTTTCTTCACATTAATGATCTCAGTATCGTCCTTGACAGCAAAGAGATCAGACAATCCCGCAGTGATATCAACAAACTGGAAGTTCGCATTCTTTAGCCTCTCAGTCCAAGTCTCCAGAAACTTGCCCTCAGGGGCTTCACGAGCAATGTGTCCAACAACTTGCGAATCTTTTCCATCACCAAGGGGTATATCACGGATGGCACGAAATATGGCTTCCATCTGCGCTGTTCCATCTTCACCCTTAGCCTTTACATGCATAATCACATCAACCCTCAGCTCAGCAAGTGCAGGTCTTTTCACGACTTCGAGTAGAGTTGCCTTGTTCTTGCTACACAAGAAATGGATCTGCTTCGAGGTGAAAACCATTATGGTATCTGGAAACTCATACCCAAGAAGCCAAATATTCAGTGCTGATGACTTCAGGTAACGCAGATCATCGGAAGCAGGCGGGGTAGCTACGGCGAGAGCGTCAGAAGATCCCCATAAGTCTGCTTTGCGCTCAGTCCAGTGTGCATACAAGGCTCTTGTGCGTGAGATAAAATTTGTGACATCTATGGAGTAGGTCGCAGCTCTCGGAGGCCCTCCAGCAGGAGCTCGTGCATTACCGTTTCGGGAGTCTGCCATCTAAATAGCCCAGAAGCAACTTATCTGAGAAAGAAAATTGATATATATATACTCAGAAACATAAAATACAGAGAATACGCACAGACATAAAGCTTTCACAAATCAGGAATATAATAACAAAGAGTCATTGTTCTAATCAAGCAGATCACAGATTGAAACGAGACGAGGAATTAACAAAACCTAATCACGTGAATACCATCATACATCCAAAACCTTTGGTGCACAAACTTCAGAAAAACGTGAAAGTGAGAAGTAATATCGCAAGTTCGCAACTTTAGACTCTAGATATGCCAAAAAAAGTGAAACAATGTAAGTATTTCAAGCTGCAGAAATCTCAAGGTGATATAGAACTTTTAGAGATTACTTGAAAAATCTGATTTTAAATCTAGGGTTTCTTAGGTTGGAACTACGTTTAGCCTTAAATTCACAGTGGATTCCACCAAATTCACAAACTCAGAAAAAAGAATTAGGGTAGAATATAAACCTACCTCGAATAGAATCAAAGAAATCTGAAATAAAAAGCGGAGAGGCGAACGAAAGCACGCCGAAACCCTAGAAACTGAAGAACAAAAGCAAAACGATTAATTACTGGGGAAATGCTGCGAAATCAAAACGAAATCGAGTTACAAACATGATATTAGACGAATATTCGAATCAACGAACACAAAAAAAAAGATTAAAACAAGTTGAATCCAGAATCAAAAACAGTGAGAAATCGAAAAAGGGGATGAACGGAAAAATCAAGGACACTTTACCCAGAGAAATTGACGGCGGAGAATAAGAACGTGGTAAGCTCCACACGACGGCGATTAAGCCGCGAAACAAACAAAAAAAAGTTCCGGTGAGGCTCTCTCGAGAGAGAATGAGACTAAGCTATAGAGAGAAAAAAGGGGCCAAAGAATGGCTATTCTGCGAGGCAATTCAGAAAGGGGAACATATTTTTATTTTATAATGGAGGGCCCCGCCTGGTTTTGTTTTTCTTTCCTCTGCGTAAACAACACCGACTTTAATTTTTATTTTTTAAAACAAACGGCCCGTTTCGGCCTTAACATATTAGGCCTCAAATAAAGGCCCATTATCACGTTCGGCCTTAACTGAACTCTCTTATTTCTAAAACGGGACTCATTTTAAGACGTTTTCAACAAGTAACTCCATGTTCCAATATTCACAGAAAAAGGTTGTTGTTTTCATTCGATTCTTCATCAGCCTCAACTTAAGATGCTGCAAAACAAACAAGTTAATTCCAAAAATTAGTAAGCTTTTGCCAATAACAAGTAACAACCAATCAAAAGGTTAGCAAGGAGTGATAATTTTCAGTAAATTTAAAAGGAAACAAAAAAAAAAACACTAGAAATTGCGGTCAAGTTAGTAAAATGAATTCTGATTGTCAAATTTGGTTGGTAGGGTTGATTAATTAATGGATCAAGTAATCTTAGAGAAGACTTTTGTAGTCTCTTTCTGAGTTGCTCCAGTGTTTGTCTTGTATTGGCTTAAGCTAAAGTCAAATCAAATCTATTCCATTAAACAAATGATGGGTCAAATTCACATATGTCATCGAAGAAATGTAAGTTTTTGTTCTTTTCTTGAAAAGAAGAGTTCAATTCTTTTTGTTCTTCACATTTCTCCAATGGATCCAAGATTGATCGTAGCCACTCAAATCGGAAGCATCGATGAATTGTATGATGTAATCCATGAGAATCCATATATTCTTGAAATCATTGATGCAGTACCTTTCATCAACACGCCTCTTCATGTAGCTTCTGCTTCCGGGAACCTTGCTTTTGCCATGGAGATGATGAATCTCAAGCCTTCTTTTGCTAGAAAACTTAACACATACGGGTTAAGTCCATTGCATCTTGCTATAGAGGAAGGTCAAACACGGTTTGTTCTAAGCTTACTCAAGATTGATCCTGACCTTGTTCGCCTTCGAGGAAGAGAAGGTATATTTTTTCTTCCTTTTCTCTTTTCTACACGAAGACATCGAAAACCTACTTAGACCAACTCATTATAGTGTGTTGTTCTGTTGAAGTCATTTGATATTTTGGCATAAACGTGAAAGGTTCATGTTTCATTTCTGATCAAAGGTACGACGCCGTTTCATCAAGTAGTGAGAAGAGGAGAGACAGATCTTATGACAGAGTTCCTCTTAGCTTGTCCTGGTTGCATTAGAGATGCAAACGTGAACGGTGAAACCGCTCTACACATGGCGGTTTTAAACGATAGATATGAAGAGCTCGAGATACTCTTAGGATGGGTTCAAAGACTGCGTCAAAGAGAAGCCGAATCACTTGAGATGCAATTCTTAAACAAACGTGACCAAGACGGGAACACTGCCTTGCACGTAGCAGCATATCAGAACAGGTTCAAAGCAGTAAAGTTGTTGGTAAAATGTTCTGCGGTTAACCGGAACATAACTAACCGGATCGGTTTAACCGCCCTAGATATCTTACATAACCAGAGAGAACATCACAGGAACAGAAACATCGAAAACACCATTCGGAAATCAGGAGGTAAGAGCGGAGATTCTCTACCAAAATCCAAGAAAGTGTCGGAAATCTTGAGATCGAAGATTAGATTCACAGAGCATCTGTTCACGCAGACAGAACGGTATAGGAACCAGACATCAGAAGGAACACGAGCTGCGCTTCTAGTGATAGCCGCACTGATAATCGCAACTACTTATCAAACAGCTCTGCAGCCACCAGGTGGCGTATACCAAGAAAACGCATCAGATGAAAGCAAGAAGAGTGTTGGAACTGTGGTGATGAGTCATAAGTATTTCTTTGTGCTTAGGAGTGTCAATAGTATGGCCTTCGTTGGAGCGATTTTCATGGCGTTTTGTTTGTTACCAGCTGGTGAAGGCTATGTATGGTCGTTTCTATGGATAGCAGTGCCTCTGTATGTTTCTTACTTGGTCTCCATGTCGGTTATATCTCCAGATACAGTGTGGTACTTCTCCATTAGTTCGGGTTCGGTTTTGATCGTTGTGGCTACGTACATGGTCGTGTTTTTCTTGCGGTGGAAGCGGTCTAAGAAGAAGATACCTGGAACCAGTAGTGAGATGATTCTTGAAGGCTTCATAACTCTTGATCTAGCTAAAGGAGTGGAGTGTATGTGAAGTGAGATGCTACATTACCATTACCATCAATGTAACCATATCGAGAAGTTAAGAGTTTGCCTTTCAACTTATTCTCAAGTTCCTTAACCTGCAGGCACCATTTTTAAGAAGTTGGTAACTCTCAACAAAGCATTATGAGTTGTCTGTAAACAATTAATAATTGGAGATTAAGGAAACGCTTTTCAGAATTAAGATAAGGGAAAAATGTAAACATTAGCTAGCATTAGTAGGATTTCAATTTGGAGACGTGAATCTTATTAAGTGTAGACAATTGTGTGGTAGCATTAGTAAAACAATTCTCTTTTTTTGTTTTTTTTCATTCTGGAAAACTTGTGAATAAGTATCTTTGATTAATAACCTTCATTCTAATACTAAGAAAGATTACAAAAAATTTACTGGAACATAAAAGAGCAGGATTCTTCTGATGTTCTTACTTTGTTCTTATTTCACATCACCGGCCTCTTGAACAACCTGGCTGCTTCAAAAGTAGAGTTAGGATCTCCAGCAAAGTTTGCGTTTCCTCCTGTTGTCATGGGTCTCTTGAAAAGCCTCTGAGCTTCAAGAGTAGAGTTTGGATCTTCTGTTGTCATGGGTCTCTTGAAAATCTTCTGAGCTTCAAGAGTAGAGTTTGGATCTTCTGTTGTCATGGGTCGCTTGAAAAGCCTCTGAGCTTCAAGAGTAGAGTTCACTGGTCTCTTGAAAAGCCTCTGTGCTTCAAGGGTAGAGTTTGGATCTTCAAAAGTATAGTTTGGTTTTTTGAAAGACATCTCTGCTTCCTTTGCTTTTCGTCTAGCAGCCTTTGCGCTATCAGATGCTGAAGTTGAAGAAGAACCATCACTGGCGCCTTTTCTGCTTGCTGCTGCTTGAGGATTGGCGCTCGACTGTTGATCTTGTTTCGCATTTCCATTCACATTACAAGAAGCTGCCTCGCGTTGTTGGTTTGATTCTCTCTTTCTCTCTTCAGTTGCTTTTCGTCTAGCAGCAACAGCAGCAGCAGCAGCGGCAGCAGCAGCAGCGGCAGCAGCAGCAGCGGCAGCAGCGGCAGCAGCGGCAGCAGCAGCAGCGGCGGCAGCAGCAGCAGCAGCAGCGGCGGCAGCAGCAGCAGCAGCAGCGGCGGCAGCAGCAGCAGCCGCCTTTGCCCTATCAGATGCTAAAGTTGAGGAAGAAGCATCACTGGCGCCTTTTCTGCTTGTTGCTGCTTGAGGATTGGCGCTCGGGTACTGTTGTTCTTGTTTCGCATTTCCACTCACATTACAAGAAGCTGCCTCGTGTTGTCGCTTTGATTCTCTCTTTCTCTCTTCAGCTTCTTTCAGTTTTCTCTTCTGATCAAACCTAAACCTCTTAGCCTTGTCGGATAATAGACACCAAGCATCTGAAACCAGCTTAAACGCGCCTTCCGCTCCACTAAACCGGTTCTTGTCCGGATGAAGCAACAGAGCTAACTTCTTGTACCGTTTCTTCACTGTTTCATCATCAGCCGAAGGATCTACGCCCAAGACTCCATACCAATCCGATTCTCCTCCGATGATCTTGTTTGATGCAGAGTTATAAACGTCGATCATCACCAAAACTTGTTCCAAACCATCAAGATTCGGATACAAATTTCGAGCCTTGTTAACGAATTTCTTGGCTCCGTTGTAATCGGTCTCTGAAAGTTTCCTCAATGCAATATCAATTGCTCTTCTAGCTTCATCCTTATTACATTCCATGTCGTTGAGAAATTAGGGTTTTTTTTGCTCAGTTCTCAGTGCTCTGTTTCTGTACCGAGAACCAAACCCTGCAATAGCAAATCACCGGATTTTAGAAGCAGCACACCGAAACCAAACCCAGACGAAAGAGGGGAAGAACACACCGAAACCAAACCCAGACGGAGATTTTTCATCTAAACACAAGACGCAGGAGATTTTTAGATGTAATCGCTCAACCGAAACAATGGCTTCCTACCCAAGGAGGGAGAAAATAACAAAAAGAAAGGCAAAAGTTACAAAAATAAAAAACCCAAACCGAGAGAGGAAACGGGGAGCGACGGAAGGAGAAGCGAGTGGGGGATACGAATAGGGTTTTTTAAAGAGGCTTATCGAATGGAAATTAGGGTTTTTGCGATGGGAAGAGAAGAGTGGTAGAAGAAGACGAGGAGGAGGCGAAATATTTTTGTTGCTCTGTGTTTTCTTTTTTTTGGGAATACTTGGAAGAACGAAACGCATAAACAAACAGCAGCCTCTTTCTCTTTTTCTTCTCCGAGAGAGAAACAACTCAATTTTATTACTTTATTTTTTTTACATCAACTCAATTTTATTATTTATATTATATTAATGCTAGGTTTTTTCTCTTTTAAATGAGATCATTTGTGAGATGACAATAATCAAGTTCTCAAAACTTGTTGATTTTTATTCTTAATCTAATGAATTTATATAGCACTCTAGCTATCTAATGAATTTATATTATAAAATTATTTCTTTATTTTCTACAAAAAGTAGTTAATATTTTAACAGATATAACTATTTCATGCGTTTTTGATTTTTGTAATTTAATTAATATATTTTTATACAAATTTTACTGTCCTCATTACAATTTCATAGTCATTCACATAAAATTACTTCTATTATACGTGAAAATTAATATAAATTAATAAATAAAAATATAATTTATATTTTTATCATTAAAATTTAATTTGTATATCTTTAAATGTATTATATCATAGATATTATAATAAATTTATATTATAAAAGTATTTTTATATTTACATGTGAAAATAGATTTAATATTTTCAATGGACTCTGTGCATTTTAGTATTAAAATTAGTTACTTTATCTCTAAATGTACTTTATTATAAATACTATTTTAAATTTCTTTTTATTCATAGTTAAATCATTTAAAATACTTTTTGTATATTAATGTATTAAACAATTTACATAATATATCAACAAATGTAATGTTATTCACTAAACAACATTTATTTTATGTTTTTCACTATTATTATTTAGTTAGTATATGTTTAAACATATTTTAGTGTAGCCATTATCATATAATTTTATATATTTTACAGCTTTATTCATATATCATTTACGTAAAAATATTTTTATATATTTACTCGTAAAAATAGATTTAACACATATTCATTATAAAAACAAATCACCAAAATAACTTTATTGAACGTTTTTAAATATTAAAATTTAATTTATGTATCTCTAAAATTATATGAGTAAAAAATTAACATAAGTTTTATATTATTCACAAATATATCATTTATATAACCATCTTTTCATATTTCACACGTTTTGAATATTATAGTTTTATATTATTTATTCATATGTATCATTTATATTAAAGTATTTTCTATTTCTATCAGATAGAATAATTTAAACATATATTGATAACTGCCACGTTCAATAATTAAAAGAAGCTATATTACATAATTTTATATTATAATTTATTTAGTGTATCGGTAAATGTGTTTTATTATTACTAATATAGATATTATTATAAATTTTATATTTTACATATATATCTTATTTATAGACTAAGTTTTAGTAACATGCTATTATTTGTATATACTCGATTTCAAAATTATAATATAAATAAAAGTTATATATAACGATATAAATAAATAACCAAAAAACAATCTATGAATGATTTCTAATGCATTATTATTTTGATTGACAAAAAAAAATTATTTTAATAAATTACGTAAGTATTTATAAATCATTGCATATTATCCACACATATATCATTTGAATAATCAATTTTAAGATTTTATTATTAATTGCATATGTATATCATTTATGTAGTCAATTCTGAAATTATTATACTAGTAAAGTCATATATCCAAACATAAATAGATTACCAAAAGAAATAAGTCAATAACTATATAAAAATATTTAATATATTAATAAATTAAATAACTATTTAATAAAAAAATTATAAATGTATTTTTATATTTTTCACGCCAAAAAAATATTTAACATATTACAAATTATTTCTTTCTCTAAATCCACAAATCTCGTAAAAGAACAAGTTTTCCAGAATCTGATTGCCTATCAGAAACATCTTGGACAAGTGAAAAACAAATTTCTAAAATTTTTGGTGGAGACCTCAGCGATTCCACAAGAGACGTCAGAAAAAAGCAGAGAGGAGAATAATAAGACGCACAAAACAAATTAAAGCTAGATTGATTTCTCTATATTATTTGTATTTTTGTAGATGTGTGATTTCAACATTCTCTTTTCTGTTACAATCACTAGCGAATGTGAATGCGGTAAGAGTATAAATATTTCATCTTTCTTTATCTTTGTTGGCAAATTACTTTTCACTCGATTAGGATTTCACATTGGTTTGGTTCTTCGTTTCTAGTAAACCATCGTGGTTTGGGATTATTAAAAAAGAAAGCACAACGTCTATTGGGCAAGATGTGTACAACAAATTAACAAGGCTAATCGTGGGGACCTTACTCCTCAGGAATTGAAAGAGAAACATGTTCGACTCTTAACAACTCCTCTGAATATTTCCCTCTTTAATTCTATATTTTTGATTTTTTGGATAAAGCAACAAAATATGTAGGCAATTTCAGAGAGTGTGTTCTATGCAAATTGAGTGTAAATCTCAAGAGCTTGAATCCGTCATCTTGGAAGAGTATAATGGGCGTTTTGGTATTATAATTCTTTGATAAATGGACTAAACGAGTTGTTTGCTTATCAAATTGGTCCGGTGAACAATCAAAGTTAGCGAAAATCAGAGATGTGGGAAATTGAGCAGTTCAGAGCATCGCAACAATAAAAAGTGGCGGATTCCGATCATACTAAAGTGGAATTGCAAGGATCTATGGCGGAATTGAATAACGAAATGGCGATTAGACGCCACATGATGATGATTATTGCTTCTTTGGTTTTAGGTCGATAAACCAAAAAAGTAATCATCATAAAAAAAAAATTAAATAAAAATATAAATCACACTTTTGTTTAAATATTTTTTTTAAACAAACGGCCCGTTTCGACCTTAACATATTGGGCCTAAAAGGATAACTAATAAAGGCCCATTGACACGCTCGCGTTACCGTTGAAACGCCAAAATATCTTCTTTTATTAAAGCGCCTATATATATCTCTCAATTTCATAACCCTAGCTTCACTCACAATTCTATTTCTTTCTCAATTGCTTCTGAATTTGTTTTAGCGTTTTTTTTCTCAAAGATGAATTTTCTAGAAGTGGATTGTAAGATCACAAAATTCGATCCTCCATTGAGAAGATACATAGCAAACCCAGTCGTCATCGTCGTGGACACCAAATTCGATGAGTTTCTTGAAAACCCAACCACCGGTCATCGTACAAGAACCGGCCGGTTCGATTCGGATTCTCCACCACTTCTCATCAGCTTCAACCTCCATAGTTCAAGGCCCTGGGCCATCAGAGAGGTTCTCCGAAATCGACTCGCTAGCCACAGTTACTTATGGGAAGACTTGGCCTCAGATATCTCAGAGACGGCGAACGATTTAGGGTTTGGCCGCAACGAATTTGGCTTGTCAATCTCCGTCACGATTATTCACGAGAACGTCGTGGTTAGGCCCGATCCTCCTGTAGACGAGGCATTATCGTTGAAGGCTGAGTTGTTGAGGATGGTTCTGTTGGGGAAGATTGGTGGAGAGGAATCGAAGCGTTTGAAGATGGAAACAGAGCCGTGTTCGATTTGTCTCGACAATCTCTCTGGTTCGAAACAAGTACATGGTGTTCCTACACGCATGAGCTGTTCTCATGTCTTCCATGGTCGTTGTCTCTTGGAGTGGCTTGAACGCAAAAACACTTGCCCCTTGTGTAGGACTGTGTTATACGATCGATGATTTGGGACAAGAAGGGCTGAAATTAGGGCTTTTTTTTCATCTATTGATTGTAGAACATAGGGTCATATGCACTTTGGTATCGAAGTTTTTGTTTTTGTTTTAATATAATTTTGTTATTAGGTTTAGAAATTGTAATCCCAAAATTGAATTGGGTACATGCTTTGTATCTGAATGTCATTTCTTTTTGTTTTTAGAGTTTTAATTCCAAGAAGTTGTAACTATTAATTTTGAAATGAAAACATTTTCAACAATTAAGATTCAGTTCCTCATCTCTTATCTCTAAAACACATTTTAAGACGTTTTCGACAAGTATTCCATGTTCCAATCTCCATAGAAAAAGGTTGTTGTTTTCATGCGTTTCTTCATCAGCCTCAACTTAAGATGCTGCAAAACAAAATTTGGTATGGCTTTCGTTGGAGCAATTTTCATGGCGTTTTGATTGTTACCAGCTGGTAAAGTCTACTTGGAACCAGTAGTGAGATGATTCTTGAAGGCTTGACAACTCTTGAACTAGCTAAAGGAGTGAAGTGTAGGTGAAGTGAGATGTGTAGCTTTAATTCTCTGTTATATAGATTGTTTCCATGTAAAGGAGCAAACTCAATTCTTAATCAAAGTGTTTAAAGAACAAATATGTTGATGATTCACTCCATGAGATTATTAGTTAAGAATCTGGTGGATACGATACAAATACAAATACAAATACATCAAATCAAGTTTCATTTACAATCCACAAAAAGGATAAGAGCCTATATTAGATACTTGCTAATAATAGTAATACAACAACAACAAAATAAACTTTTTCTTACTCAAAAAGTAAGACTATAATTTATATCTTAAGCAAATACCATGACTACGAGCTTTCTTCTCCACTTATTCTCTATATGCCTTTTGCTGGTTTCTCCTGTAATGGCCGATGTCTGCTTCTGCAGGCACAGAACAGAACCAAAACTGTCCTTTTTGCTTTCATGGAAGTGAGAGCTTCTCTGGTTTCTTTTTTAGTGTACAAAATATACTTTCCTCTTCTCCAAAAGCTTTCCGTGCAGCTCAGTATTCCGGTCTCTGATTACAATTGCTCGCCACCGGTGACTGATTTCAACTTCTGCTGCAGCTGTTGATAAAGACAAGTGATGCTTGTTGATTATGGAACAGAGATAAGATTTACTCCATGTGGTTTCCGTTTCAACAACAACCAAACTCTTTCCGAGAGATGTACGTTAAAAAAAAGTTTGTTCTTGTGATCAAAAACTCAAAGAGTGTTTTAACTTACTTGGGTGTGTTTTGATTTTTCTTCTTCAAGTTCTTCGCTCAACTCGTACATTCTATAGAAATTGAATTTCAGGAGCAGTTAGTAAAGACTATATCACATCATCGCTTAAAAGAAAGGTTTGTTTGAATAAAAAAGAAGAAGAGGAACAACCTAGCTCGAAGCTCAGAGATCTTGGTAAGAAGTAACCTTTCTCTCTCGAAAGCTGTGGGTTCAACAACCTGTAATCCGAAAACCAAAGCAGATAATGTGAAGGACATGATTTTGAGACTGCATAAGAGGTTTATGCGAGGAAATCCACATTAATAAAACCAAAAACAAAGTTGACAAATCCACTTACGGCTCCATTGCTGTCGGATCCTCGAGGCAAAGGCGGCAACTTTCCGTTTTGAGAACCTATAACAATGATGAGAATTAACTATATATATCCCATGGTCCACTTTTATGACAAACAAGATGAATTAAAAGTAGATCTCACCATCTGTTGCTTCAGTAGCCTGTAAGCTATTAAGGAGATTTATAATGAGATCCTGAAGTTGAAAAGTTCCGGTTAAGACAAAACAAAACTTGATAGCTATAAACGCACGTCTCAAAGCAATTCTTGTTTTTCCACACCTGCTGTATTGAATTTTGCTGGAACAAGTTTTGAAGGTGAGGCATGATGAATGAGGGAGACACAGGATGACTACTTAACTCCTTCATGGGCGGTTGTCCCGTTGGCTGTGGCTGGAAAAATAAGATTGTTTTGATTAGGAAATTGTTATGATTAGGAAACAGAGATGGTGCTGAATTAAAAGAACCCTTTGTGGTCGCAAACTGACCATTTTAGAATCGAGTATCCAATTTCCAACACTTGCAGATTTCCTCAATGGGGACGCCTGTAGATTCAAGAGTATGAATCAACCAGGCAAAACTCAGGCAAGAAGAGTTATAAGTCTACAATGAACTGTACTGTACTTAATGGAACATCCTAGAGTAGATTGGTCTGATTAGCAAGTGTCAAAGAAAGAGGAAAAAAATAAACCCACCCTTGCAAGATCTAAGTTTTCTGATGTTACTGAGAATCTTCCTTTGATTTGAACCACATTAGCCTTTGACTTGTCATCCAGAGAATCACGGAATCCTATTCAAGATGGACAACCACTCAAAGTTAACATCAGTAGGAGCAACAACAAAATAATAAGCTGCATGCCACAAATGTACTTCCTCACCTGTAGAAGATTTTATAGGAGCTGAAAAACTATTTGCAGAAGCACGGTTCGGAAGATTCAATGGACCACTAAAGCTAGGTGCCCTCTGGACTGATGTTGCTGGCTGGCGCTCACTCTCAGGCCTAGCAGATAGCAAAATTTCAAGTTGGAGCATTTGAAATCTCGAAGAGAAAGGAGAAGCAGATCTGAAGTGAATCCGAATGATCTCTAAAACAACAGCTAGCTAATGGCAAACCTTGCATAACCATGGCCCTTCACTGAATCCGAATTGGTTAACAATATACCGGGTGAAAGTGGTCCACTCTGAGTCTGGCGTCTCACTGGCTTAGCTTTGGCCTGTGGAACGTCATGCTCTGAACTTGGTATTGTTTGTTCAACAGATGAAGCGGTTGAATTGAGAATGCATTTCTCTTCACAGATCGGTTCTACCACCTCAGTATCTGAAACTTTTTCCTTTCCGTTCATGTTTTCCGATGGTAATTGACGACTAAATACCTGTCCTCTGTCATTAACCTGCATTTTGTTTCAAAATTAAGTTCAAACGACCATGGACTTCGATACCAAGAGAGTAAAAAGTTATAAGATGATTTCACTGATTACTGGCCTTATTATGCAACTGTTCGCCAAAAAATTCATCTTCTTCCCTACTCTCTGTTAGACTGTCATCATCATCAAGCTATTGCACACACACAATAAATGAATTATTTGATGGCAACCAATGGTTTCTCAAATAGCATCATTTAATAAATACTGTCAAAGCATAGCTTACCAAAGATGCTTGTTCTTTCAAATCTTCAATATTGAAGTTCCAAGCACTTACTCCTCTTTGGTATTCACTCTGACATGACAAGTAATATTCATAAGAATAAGAATTCTGCAATTCGATTCTTAGACATTTTTTTTCAGACTATTGTCACCTGTGATATAGCATCCTGGTCAGCAGAGGCCATTCCTTTCAGAGCCAGCTGTGCAGCATCCTTGGCCTGTCATAAAATGACTCTACCAATTAGAGTAGAACAGGACAAGTACATCAAGCTCTAAGAAGAGATAAGCATAACAAACCTGAAGAGCTTTCACACGGGTCCAAAGAGGTGGCAAATTAGCAAATAACTTTTTGACACAGATCTCTGGAGGCTTTGCATTCTTGAAAAACGAGTGTTTCAACAATTTTTCAGCAGTTGGCCTTTTCGTTTGATCTTTCACCAGACACAATGCTACCATTTCTTTAAAGGACTGGGCACAGCTGAACATCATTTAATTAGAACAATATTGCAGCGGAAAATCACGTATTCAAATAACATAAGAAACTACCTAGAAAGAACACAAGTACCTTTGAAAACTTCTTATCACGGTCGTAATCAAGACCAGGCGGTGCATTTTGAATAGTCATTAAGAGTACCTGTTACCAAGAAAAAAACGAATAAGATCTGTTCTCAATACGCAAAAGAAAAGTATTAGATACCTTCATGGGAGGATATTTTGAGAAAGGTGCATGACCATGGGCCAACTCCAGCGCAGTTATTCCAAAAGACCAGATATCAGCCCTGTAATAAAGGTACAGAAGACCAAACCAACAAACCGCTGTTATTGCATTTCTTTAATGCAAACAGTTTCTTAAGATTTTTTCTTTCATTTGACATAGAAAACACACGCTAGAGATACAACCAACTAAGAGAAATGATGATAACTTTTACACAGCAGTGCGGCTGAAACATCACAATATTATCTAGATCAACTAAAATCAGCCACAGTCGATTTTTACAAAGTTTGACTGACACATATAACAAAGTGAACTACTCAGTACTCACTATATTTTAATTGACCAGGCAGAAAAGTATAGTATAACAAAGTGAACCACTCGATATCAAAGCATAAACATACTTGGAATTGTATCCACTTCCTGGCTGCAAGACTTCCGGAGCCATCCTACAAACAGAAACAACATATATTTTCATGTCAATCGTCGAGTAGAGAGCAACTGCGAAGCTTAAGAAGACCGAAACCGAAGAAAACTACAATAACCAACCAGCACGGAGTACCAACAAATGTGTTTCTTGCACGTTGCCTATCGCCAGTATCAAACAAACATGCAGATACACCAAAATCACCGAGCTTAATCTCCCCAGTGTTATCAAGAAGTATGTTTCCAGCCTTAACATGAAAGACACAAGAAGAAGCTTTATGGATGGGATAACAAAGTTCAGTGTGAAACAAACAAAAAAACAATTCCAAAGTTAATCTGAACCTTAACATCTCGATGGATATGCCCTTGTCTATGAAGATAATCAAGAGCTTTGAGTGTTTCTTTCAGCATAGAACATATAGCCGTCTCTTCGAACCCATCTGGATATGCCGCCTTCATAAGGTGCAAACACGAGCCCTGAGCCATGAACGGCATGACGACCCAGAGATTATGATCAACAGCGAAAGAACAAAACGACTTTATAACGTTGGGATGGTCTATCAAACTCATTGTCTGAGCTTCCCTCCTTATATCATCCTGCAAAACCAAAACAATAAATCATCAACTTTGAAATTTAAGTTGAAAGCAAGAAGCACTCAAAAAAGTGAAACGAGAAATCTAAAAAACTATCCTATTTGATCCAAAAATGATAAATAAAAGCAGCCCATCCCAAATCTCGAACTGGGAAGATGATCATCAAGTTGTATTAATCATATAGCAGAGGAAGTAGATTCAATACAGGTGAAATTAAAATTGGTCATAGTCACTCGAACAAGATGATAAATTTTGCTGCACATGATCTCGATTTTGTGTCTCGAAACGAAAATCCCCAATTCGAAATCAAAACCCAAACGAAACCTCCCCAAAACAAAAACAAATTACAGTTGAAATCGAATACGGAGCTGAGACTACCATAAAAAAACAAAACGAGATCGATAAGGGACGAACCAGATTGCTGTTGCAGCGATCGAGATCCAAGCACTTGATTGCGACGACTTCTTTAGTCGGAAGGTAAATTGCTCGATGGACAACAGCACTAGCACCATATCCAACTTCTTCCATGAGCTTGTAATCTTTCGGGTTTAAGGAGAACCCTTTCTTCTTACTACTACCACGACCACCACCACCACTCGCCATCTTCTTCCGTCGTCTCGCACCCAAAACAGCCCTAAAATCACCAAATCCGACTTCGTCTTCAGAAAATACAATCACAGACAAAGTCGAATCGAAGAGCTAAAAGGGAAAAAAATTCAAAAAAAAAAAAAATCTGGAGTAAGAAAGAGAGACTAGAAGTACTCTAGAGCAAGACGAAGCCGAGACACCATTGTAATTGTAAAACTATATTTTTTTTTTGTTTGTTCGTTCGATTTTTTTTTTTCTTTGGTATAAACTTTTTTTTTTCTCTTCTTTTTGTTTCATTTCGGCTCGAGCGAGACTGTGCTATATTTCTGATCAAAGTTGACCACGACAACAAAACGAGATTTACAATTGCTGACGTGGCAAGACTGTTAGACATCTAAGATTGTGACACGTGGCTTTAGTGAAGCGATTGACGCATCCACACAATTTTTGGGATAAAAAGTCTTTGGCTAGCTCACGAGTGACATTGACTTTGATTGGCGTTGAATAACCGATGAAATCTATATCTCTATTTCTTTGTCAACGATTAATATTCATGGATAATCATTTTCTTTTAAAGTTTCAAAACGAAAATTGCGCAATTTATCAGAGATTCTTCATTTATTTTACTAAGAACTTTCACAGTATGAAATTCTATAAATACATCATAAAGTTTACTAGATTGTACATAATTATTAGAGATTTATGTCATCTAATTCATTTTTTTATAATATTCGTTTAGGAAAGATAAAAACTTATGTTTAATTAACTGAATCCTTATTTGATATAAGATCCAAATGTTGAATTACATTAATATTTTTAATACATTTCAACTAAATCAGTTTCATATATCTACTAAGTTTTGGAGATAATTCTTCACAGTCCAGACCATCTTAATCTTTAACCTGATCCACTTATTCTTTAATCTTACGTGACATACAAACAAAACATTAACACTTCAACCATACGAAGTGGAGTGGTTTGATGTTGTGTTAGATGGGGAGTCTTATTTTAATCGAATATATGTTATGCTTTGTTTGATACACAAGTCGTGCTCTTTCTCTTTTAATTTCTTTGTCAGGCTTCAGCCAAAATCCTTTAGATGAGTTTGTCGATGTTAATTAAAAATATTCAAATTCCCAGAAATGCTTTGTTTAAGTTGAATTCCACTTCATGGCACTGGATTAGGTGTGAAATATTTTGCCGTTTCTGTCATCGTCCTCACTAACTTTTTGTAATTTTTCTGGCATAAGGTCACATAAACCCGGCCTTCTAATTAGCCAACTATCTCATCCACCACAGTGCAACCGTCACATATGCCACCGCCATCTCAGCTCTCCGTCGCATGGGCGAGCCACCTGCCGCCAAAGGTTTATAATTCGCCTGGTTCTCCGATGGATTCTGTAGCATTTGTATCCGAGAAAATGTGGAATGATCGTACCGGACAGGGCAGTGTCCGAGGAATGACCGAGCCAAGGGTCGGATATTGGCTGGGAAAGGGAGGTTCAGACTATGGTCGGGTGATGACCGAGGGAATAATCGGATGTGGGCTGGATAGCCGAGCCGGATGGACCATATCCGAGGGAAAACAGGGTCCAGTCCGTGGGAAAGGGGATTTATCCGAGTGCAGTGGGATATATCCGAGAGTCTGGGAGGTTAGTCCGAGTGTCAGTGGACTGTCTCCGAGGGAGAAAGGAAAACCTCCGAGAGAGAGTAAGGATTAGCCGAGGCGAGACAAGTTGTCCGAGAGAAAAAGGAAAATCCGGATGGAAAATGGAAAACACCTCGGATAAGGGCGGTTTATCCGAGTGGGAAGGGATTTGGGCCGTGGGCCAAGTGTTAGGTCGGTTATTTTGGGATTTATCGAGTGGATGGTCGAGCCGGTACAGGGAATAGCCGAGGAAAATCGAATCGGACCGGGATAATCCTACTGGAACCAGGAAAACGTCGGATAAGTCCGGGTTACCTAGGGTTTTGCGAGTATATAAGGGAATTTGAGACTTAACTCGAGGGTGTTGCGTTTATTTGAGCTAAATAAAGCAAAGAGAGAGTTTAGTCAAGAGAAACCCTAAGAAAAACAGTTTATCCCGAGGACATCCGAGAGAGATCAGGCTATCGCCGAGCAGAACCGACCATCGCCGAGATAAACTGGTAAGCAATCGGATATTTCCCTAAGTGTTGAGTTTTCATCGGATAACCTCGAGCTAATAGCCTTGTTTTGTGGGGTTTCTGAAGGAAAACAGAGCTTGGCTCGAAGAAAGGTGAACGGATCAAGAGATAGCCGAGGAGATAAGGATCGGATCGTACCGTGAGCCGAGAGATTCTTAGGGAGATCGGATAACTTCGTTTTGGTGCGGTTTTCATTGGGATTTCTTCTGACCAATCTGTTTCTAGCCTTGTCTAAGGTGAGTGCATGACTGTGGTTGATGTCTAGGACCGTAGGATTGCTGAGGTTGAATGTTTGCATGTTGATTGTGTGATTTTCAAGTTATGTGGTTAGAACTGATAAGCAATTCCTATGTTATGATGTATTGTGGTGTTTACCGTGGCATATATGATGTTTAGCTAACCTCAGGGTAATCCGGATCATGTACTAGCTTAGGAGATGTGGGATTCTCGCTGAAGTAGACATGGGTCTTAAAAAGGGATTGATCTTGGTTGGTTTGGCTAGATGATCATGGCCGTTTGATATTGTTATGTCTATTGCAAACTGATTGTGTTGAATGTTGAATCCGAAAGTATGATTGCGTGTTTAGTACTGACCAGGTGTTACGGGATGACCGTACTCACTAAGTATTTATGAAATACTTATACCTCTCATCTTGAGTGTGCAGGTACTAAGCAGTAAGGGACGAGACCAGGCGGCAGTGATGGATATGGATGGATCGGGACTTGGTTTTAATTATATTTAAGACGTTGTGCTTTGTCTTATGGCTTTGGTGTTTGACTATTTAGGTTGCTAGATGATCGTTTGTATTCATTAGCGAACCATTGTGATTTGTTTAAGTTAGCCCCGAATCCCGTTTAAGTGTTTTTATGAAAGTTAAATGAATGAAATGAGTTGCTTTATATTCTGCTGTGTATTGATAAGAAAGAATAAGTTTAAAGAAAAAGTTCAAAAGTATGGCTAAGTATAGAAACAGACTTAGAGGATGTAGTGGGACACAGCCGCGGTACTGTTTACCGGGTCGGGTTACCACAAGTTGGTATCAGAGCGTTTTAACGCTTCTAAGACTGAAATTGGTGACTGCTGTTGTTTGTTGTTTGGGGTTTATGGGGGTCCGATCCATTCTTCACTGCCAAGGTCTCGCGGTAAGTTGTTGTGTGGTGTTGTGAAACACGTTTTGAGTTAGCTTCGGCTAACTGGCATTGTGTACTTGCAGATGGTTGATACCAGAAGAACCGTGAGAAACAATGGGGACAACCAGGCTGCAGGGTCTGTGAACTCAGTCAACGGTGATGTTGCTGAGAGGGCAAGGGAAGCCGAGAGACAGGCAGCTGCGGTTGCGAATGAGGCGGCTAGAGTGGCAGCCGTGGAAGCAGCAAGGAATGCTGCGGATGCTGAGAACGTGGCTAGGAATGCTGCGGGTGCAGCTGGGGTTGCTGCGAATGTAGCACCAGTAGGGTTAGAGGCTGTGCTTGGGATGTTAGCACAAGTACTAGCTAGGCTACCTGCGGTGGCTCCTGCTCTGGCGGTTGCAGCAGCACCACAAGTAGTACCACCGGTGGGGATTCACGCGGATGTGATTGGGGAGGAAGCGGACCAAGTGGAGAGGGTTCCGAGTTACCTCAAGGTTTTGGATCACATGGTGCGGTTGAGAACAAAGTTCTTTACTAGAGGTTCTACACCGATTGAGGCAGATGAGTGGAGGATGAGACTGGAACGGAATTTTGAGTCTATCCGATGTCCAGAGGGTTACAAGAGAGACATTGTCGTGCACTACTTGGAGGGTGATGCACACACGTGGTGGAAAGGAATCGTTGGAAGGCTGGTGAATGCGAATTGTTCTTATGAGATATTTTCAGCAATGTTCAGGAGTAAGTACTTCCCACAGGAAGCTTACAACAAGTTGGAGAAGGCATTCTTGTACCTTAGTCAGGGGACGCTTACAGTGGGGCAGTATGAGACTCAGTTTAATCAGCTGAGGAAGTATATGTCTCATGAGTTTGACACGGAGGAGAAGCTGATTCGCAGGTTTATGAGTGAACTGCGAGTTGAGCTAAGGAATGGGTGTGTGGTTCGTGACTTCAGGACAGTTGCTGAGCTTGTTGAGAAGGCGGCATTGTTGGAGTCAGGACAGGCGGAAGCTGCGTTGATGTCAGCTGGGGCTAGTACAGCCGTGATCAAGGCGGGTCAGTCTAGTGGACAGAACCGGAAGTTTGGGAAAGGAGTACCGAACAAAGGATTTGGGGGGTGTAGGTGCGGTGGTAGTGGATGCCACAGGTGCGGGAGTTTAGAACATCGGGTACGAGACTGTCCGGAAGACGATCAGCGAGTGGTCCGTGTGTCCGATAGTGATGGTGCGGTTCGGGTTTGCTACGGTTGTGGAGAACCAGGGCATTTCAAGCGTGAGTGTCCTAAGGCAGGAGTGATGGAGCAAGCCGTGGCTCAAGGGAAGAGAGCAGGGGAGGCGCTTGCATCACAGGCCAAGAGACAGGCCATTATGCCAAGGGTGTACACGACGAGTGCAGCAGCAGCCGAGGAACCGAGCACTTCTCATCCGATTATTGGTACGTGTGGTACTTAGTATTTTCTAAACTTGCTTTTGCGAGATTTGTGTTAGTATAGAGTCTTAGCATTTTAGGGAATGAATGTGTAGGGACCTTGCTAATGGGTGAGGTTGAAACCCATGTTCTGTTTGACTCGGGAGCGAGTCATTGTTTTGTTAATCTGGACATGATCGGAAAGGGACAGTTCCAGAAGGAACCCGGAGAGGACTTTGGGTTAGTTCAAGCGGCTGGAGGCCAAGTGATGTTTTCACTAGGAACGGTCAAGAATGTTCTAGTGATGTTTGGCGAAGTGAACATGCCAGCGGATCTAGTGATCTGTAGGGTTAAGTCCTACGATGTCATTTTGGGAATAGACTGGTTAGGCAAGCACAGAGCTCACTTGGATTGTCACCGTGGAAGGGTGCGGTTTGAGAGAGACGGAGAGGTCTTGGTTTATCAGGGAGTTAGGCCAACCTCGGGAAGTTTGGTGGTTTAAGCTATTCAAGCAGAACGGCTGATAGAGAAGGGTTGTGAGGCGTATCTAGTAACGATCACTACTACAGAAGGAGGACCGGATGTAGACTTAGGCAGTATACCGATGGTGCAGGAATTTGAGGATGTTTTTCAGGCGTTGGCAGGACTGCCACCAGCTTGTTCAGATCCATTCACGATTGAATTTGAGCCGGGGACAGCTCCATTGTCCAAAGCACCATACCGGATGGCGCCAGCGGAGATGGCGGAACTGAAGAAGCAGCTAACGGAGTTGTTGGACAAAGGCTTCATTAGACCTAGTAGTTCACCGTGGGGAGCACCAGTGTTGTTCGTGAAGAAGAAGGATGAGAGCTTCAGGCTTTGCATTGACTACCGCGGATTGAACCGTGTGATCGTGAAGAACAAGTACCCACTTCCCAGGATAGACGAGTTATTGGACCAACTCAGGGGAGCTACTTGGTTCTCTAAGATCGATTTGGCATCAGGGTACCATCAAATACCCATAGAGGAGACAGACGTGCGTAAGACTGCCTTTAGGACAAGGTATGGTCATTACGAGTTTGTGGTCATGCCATTTGGTTTGACGAATGTGCCAGCTGCATTCATGAAGTTGATGAATGGCGTATTCAGACAGTACCTAGATGAATTTGTGATCATTTTCATAGATGATATTCTAGTATACTCAAAGGATGAGGAAGAGCACAAAAGCCATTTGCGAACTGTTCTGGAGAAGTTGAGAGAACAGAAGTTATATGCCAAGCTCAGTAAGTGTAGCTTTTAGCAACGACATATAAGGTTCTTGGGTCACATTGTTTCGGATAAGGGAGTGTCCGTGGACCCAGAGAAGATTCAGGCTATTGTAGATTGGCCTAGACCAGAGAATGCTACAGAGATAAGGAGTTTTCTCGGACTAGCTGGTTACTACAGGCGGTTTGTCAAAGGTTTTGCAAGCATGGCTCAACCAATGACAAAGCTGACTGGTAAAGACGTGGAGTATGTCTGGACGGATGAGTGTGAAGAGTGCTTCTCAAAGTTAAAGGAGTTACTCACTAGTGCACCAGTATTGGCGTTACCAGAACCGGGTGAGCCATACGTGGTATACACGGATGCATCAAGGAAAGGACTAGGGTGTGTTCGGATGCAGAATGGAAAGGTGATAGCTTATGCTTCGCGGCAGCTACGGAAGCATGAAGGAAACTACCCTACGCATGATTTAGAGATGGCGGCTGTGGTATTTGCACTTAAGATATGGAGATCTTACTTGTATGGGGAAAAGGTGCAGATATACACAGACCATAAGAGTTTAAAGTACACCTTTACTCAACCGGATTTGAACTTGAGACAGCGTAGATGGATGGAGTTGGTAGCGGACTATGACTTGGAAATAGCATACCATCCAGGAAAGGCCAACTTGGTGGCGGATGCGTTGACTAAGAGAAGGGCATTGTGAACATGCTAAGGACATTGCAGTTGAACGCAATAACGGATGGGGTTGAACCGTTGGGATTGGAAGCTGCGGATAGAGCTGACTTGTTGACTAGAATTCGGATTGCTCAGGAGCAGGATGAGAATCTGAAAAAGGTGTCACATAATGACAAGACGGAATATCAGACTTCAAACAATGGGACCATTGTTGTGAACGGACGGGTCTGTGTTCCAGATGTGAAGGAGTTAAGGGATGAGATCCTTAAGGAGGCACATCAGTCAAGGTTTTCTGTTCATCTGGGAATGACCAAGATGTATCAGGATTTGAAACGGTACTATCATTGGGTTGGGATGAAACGGTATGTGGCTAAGTGGGTAGCCGGATGTGAGACGTGTCAATTGGTTAAGGCAGAGCATCAGTTTCCGAGTGGTTTGTTGCAAACGTTGCCAATGCCAGAATGGAAATGGGACATGATCACCATGGACTTTGTACTGGGATTACCTAAGACTAGGAACTTGCATGACGGGATATGGGTCATTGTGGATCGTTTGACCAAGTCTGCTCACTTCTTAGCAATAAAAAAGACTGACGGAGTACAAAAGTTGGTGGACATGTATATTGATCAGATCGTGAAGTTGCATGGAGTGCCAGTGAGTATCATTTCAGATCGTGATCCAAAGTTTACTTCAAGGTTCTGGAAAGAGTTCCAGGAAGCGTGTGGGACGCGGTTGCATATGAGTACAGTGTATTATCCTCAGACTGATGGGCAATCAGAACGGACGATCAGGACATTGGAGGATATGTTGAGAGCGTGTGTACTGGACTGGGGTGGTAGTTGGGAAGACTACTTACCGTTGGCTGAATTTGCATACAACAATAGTTACCAAAGGAGCATTGAGATGTCTCCGTATGAGGCGTTGTATGGCAGGCCGTGCAGGACACCATTGTGTTGGACACAAGTGGGGGAGCGTAGCGTAATGGGGCCAGCAGTGGTCGAGGCTACTACAGAAAAGATCAGATTGTTAAAGATTAAGCTGAAAGAGGCTATGGACAGGCAGAAAAGTTATGCGGACAAGCATCGCAGGGATCTGGAGTTCAGTGTAGGTGATATGGTTTATCTTAAGGCACTGACTTATAAGGGAACGGACAGGGCAGCTAAGAGTGCCAAGTTGAATCCGAGGTACATGGGGCCGTACCGGATACTGGAGAGAGTTGGCGCAGTGGCTTACAAGTTGGACTTGCCATCAGAAATGGGAGCATTCCACAATGTATTCCCTGTGTCGCAGCTGAGGAAGCACATTACCGAGCGGGAAACGGTTATAGAGGAACCACCAGCAGACTTGCAAGAGGACCTTGCAATAGTGGCTAGGCCGGTTCGGGTGTTAGGTTGGAAAGAAGAGACTAAGCGTGGGAAGCTGGTCAGAATGGTTCAGGTCGTATGGGACTGCGACGGACAGGAACAGGTTACTTGGGAGAATGAGGCTAGGATGAAAGCTGAGTATCCCAAATGGTTTGACAAGTTACAAACGGATGATTCGGATTCGAGGACGAATCCAGAACGGGTGGGGGAGAGTTGTAGCATCCGTATCCGCGAAAATGTGGAATGATCGTACCGGACAGGGCAGTGTCCGAAGAATGACCGAGCCAAGGGTCGGATATTGGCTGGGAAAGGGAGGTTCGGACTATGGTCGAGTGATGACCGAGGGAATAATCGCATGTGGGCTGGATAGCCGAGCCGGATGGACCATATCCGAGGGAAAACAGGGTCCAGTCCGTGGGAAAGGGGATTTATCCGAGTGCAGTGGGATATATCCGAGAGTCTGGGAGGTTAGTCCGAGTGTCAGTGGACTGTCTCCGAGGGAGAAAGGAAAACCTCCGAGAGAGAGTAAGGATTAGCCGAGGCGGGACAAGTTGTCCGAGAGAAAAAGGAAAATCCGGATGGAAAATGGAAAACACCTCGGATAAGGGCGGTTTATCCGAGTGGAAGGGATTTGGGTCGTGGGCCAAGTGTTAGGTCGGTTATTTTGGGTTTTATCGAGTGGATGGTCGAGCCGGTACAGGGAATAGCCGAGGAAAATCGAATCGGACCGGGATAATCCTACTGGAACCAGGAAAACGTCAGATAAGTCCGGGTTACCTAGGGTTTTGCGAGTATATAAGGGAATTTGAGACTTAACTCGAGGATGTTGCGTTTATTTGAGCTAAATAAAGCAAAGAGAGAGTTTAGTCAAGAGAAAACCCCAAGAAAAACAGTTTATCTCGAGGACATCCGAGAGAGATCAGGCTATCGCCGAGCAGAACCGACCATCGCCGAGATAAACTGGTAAGCGATCGGATATTTCCCTTAGTGTTGAGTTTTCATCGGATAACCTCGAGCTAATAGCCTTGTTTTGTGGGGTTTCTGAGGGAAAACAGAGCTTGGCTCGAAGAAAGGTGAACGGATCAAGAGATAGCCGAGGGGATAAGGATCGGATCGTACCGTGAGCCGAGAGATTCTTAGGGAGATCGAATAACTTCATTTTGGTGCAGTTTTCATCGGGATTTCTTCTGACCAATCTGTTTCCAGCCTTGTCTAAGGTGAGTGCGTGACTGTGGTTGGTGTCTAGGACCGTAGAATTGCTGGGGTTGAATGTTTGCATGTTGATTGTGTGATTTTCATGTTATGTGGTTAGAACTGATAAGCAATTCCTATGTTATGATGTATTGTGGTGTTTACCGTGGCATATATGATGTTTAGCTAACCTCAGGGTAATCCGGATCATGTACTAGCTTAGGGGATGTGGGATTCTCGCTGAAGTAGACATGGGTCTTAAAAAGGGATTGATCTTGGTTGGTTTGGCTAGATGATCATGGCCATTTGATATTGTTATGTCTATTGCGAACTGATTGTGTTGAATGTTGAATCCGAAAGTATGATTGCGTGTTTGGTACTGACCAGGTGTTACGGGATAACCGTACTCACTAAGTATTTATGAAATACTTATGCCTCTCATCTTGAGTGTGCAGGTACTAAGCAGTAAGGGGCGAGACCAGGCGGCAGTGATAGATATGGATGGATCGGGACTGGGTTTTAATTATATTTAAGACGTTGTGCTTTGTCTTATGGCTTTGGTATTTGACTATTTAGGTTGCTAGATGATCATTTGTATTCATTAGCGAACCATTGTGATTTGTTTAAGTTAGCCCCGAATCCTGTTTAAGTGTTTTTATGAAAGTTAAATGAATGAAATGAGTTGCTTTATATTCCGCTGTATATTGATAAGAAAGAATAAGTTTAAAGAAAAAGTTCAAAAGTATGGCTAAGTATAGAAACAGACTTAGAGGATGTAGTGGGACACAACCGCGGTATGGTTTACCGGGTCGGGTTACCACAGATTCGACGACGGTCTCAAATCCTTCGAAGACCAGAAAATCTACATGTCGGAGCTCAAACGCTGCGGATCAAACGCCCTGAGTGACATCATCAGAGCCAATCTCGATGCCGAAGACGCCACAGAGCCTATCACAAGCGTTATTTACTTTGTACTCGTCCCTTGGGTTTCCACAGTGGCACGTGAGTTTCACCTTCCTACTTCTCTGGATCGAGCCCGCCACTGTACTCGACATCTACTACTACTACTTCAACGCCTCCTCTCACAAACATCTCTTTGAATTTGACCCGATTAAATTACCGAAGCTGCCACCGTTCTCCACCGGAGACCTCCCGTCATTTCTTCAGCCATCGAAGGCGTTACCGTCGGCTCTTGTAACCTTGAGAGAACACATCAAAGCTCTCGAATCGGAATCGAATCCTAAGATCTTGGTGAACACTTTCTCCGAATTGGAACATGACGCGTTAACCTCCATCGAGAAGCTAAGGATGATTCCGATTGGACCTTTGGTTTCCTCCTCCTCCGTCGATTCTTTAACCGGAAAAGCCGATCTTTTCCGATCGTCGGAGGAGGACTGCATCAAATGGCTAGATTCGAAGCTAGAGAAGTCCATTGTTTACATATCCTTAGGGACTCATGCCGACGATTTGCCAGAGAAACACATGGAAGCGCTCACTAGCGGCGTGTTAGCCACATGGAGACCGTTCTTGTGGGTGGTGAGGGAGAAAAATCCAGAGGAGAAGAAGAAGAATCGGTTTCTTGATTTGATCAGAGGAGACGATAAGGGATTGGTGGTTGGGTGGTGTTCTCAGACGGCGGTTTTGGCACATCCATCGGTGGGGTGTTTCGTGACTCATTGCGGTTGGAACTCGACGTTGGAAAGCTTGGAGAATGGAGTTCCGGTGGTGGCGTTTCTGCAGTTCGCAGACCAGTGCACAACGGCGAGATTGGTGGAGGACATGTGGTGGATTGGAGTGAGGGTGAAGGAAGGGGAGGGAGGACACGTGGAGGGGGATGAGGTGAGACGGTGTTTGGAGAAGGTGATGAGCAATGGAGACTATGCGAAGGAGATCAGGGGGAATGCAGCGAGGTGGAAGAGGCTGGCTGTTGATGCGGTGGCGGAAGGAGGAACGTCGGATTTGAATCTTAAGCGATTTGTGGAAGAGTGATTGATTTTGTTTTTTTTTAATAAAATACTCTCGATCTATATGGCTTCTTCACTTTGGGCTTCCACATCTCTATTACAACTTGGTTCAATTAAGTTATTTTGGGCTTCTTAGTCCAACTACTATAATTGGCAAACCTCTATAATGAAAACTATTGCCTCAACTAATTAAATGTAAAGAAAAAAATTAAAATTAAAATTATAAACTTCATAAAGATATAATGAAGGAGTTGAATAAATTATTCAAATAGAGGTGGTGAATCAATAGAAAAAAAAGACACAGATTAAACAGAATTAAAAAAAAATAATTAGTTAAATCTGAAAAAATGGAACTACTAATGACATGGTATTCTTTGAATGGTATTTTTATACACATACGTATAAATTTTATCAAATATTGCACACATTTGTTTTTGTTGGATTGGAACAAATATTTCATTTTTATTGATGGTTGAGATGTTTAATATTTTTTCTTACGCTGATTTTTAAAATTCAATAATTTGATAGTAAACAAATAATCATTTTATATTATATAAATAGAGATTTGTTTCATTTCATTTTGATAAAAAAAATAAAATCTTATTTTTTGAATTTATATCTATTGGCAACCAATAAACTCTTGTTTATTTTATTAAATATATTTTTAGTGAAATAAATCTTAATAATAATGTTTTAGTATTTAAAAATTCTGCTAATTCCCCTTTTAATTACTTAAATACTAATAATTATCAATTTCAAAATCAAATTCCCAACCAATCTTAAAATATATCAAATTATAGTTTTGCACAAAAAAATTTCATCGTCAATTGTTCCAATTGATGATGTTATATTTATCTCAACCACTCACTTATTTTTCTACTTCAATAGATAATGAAAATATTCTAAATGTTGGAGCAATGGATTTTCTACACAAATAGCTCTTGGTTGCATAAGCGGTGTTAATGAAGCCACTCCAAATGCAGAGAAAATCAACTTCTACTCGCGAAAAAAGCCCTAAATGAATCACTATTCAAAATTTGATGTGGGTGGATTAAATACAGAAAAGACAATGTTGTTGGCAAAAACAAAAAAAGTGAATCATATTGGAGTACAATTGATGAGTCTGTAATGAATATTGCTCATTTGATCATTCGCTTGATGAAGCTTCTTGTAAAAATCATTACAACTACGTGACCAAAATATTGGGGAAGTGGATTGGCGTTTATGATAACGCTAAGCATATGCAACAAAGTGGATGGCTAGAGAACGATGTATTGGTAAAAGCGCATGAGCTATTTTCAAGTGGTAAGAATGAATATTTCAATTCAATGCCAGAATGACTCGCTGTCCATGATCAACCACGTTATGCTAGTCAGGTAGGAGGAAATAGTGGCTCTAGAAATAGTAGATCTAAGAGAGACCATGAGAGTGATGTAAGTGACTCCAACTCAGTGGGATATAGTGCTCATCCAATGGGGAGGGATGCAGCTAAAAACAAGGTAAAAAGAAAAGTAAGAGTGCAGCCTTGGAAGTGGTAAATGAAGAGTGACTGAGTTCAAACAATTCAAAGAGAAAGATTTGGAACGATTGGAAAAAATAGTCAAGAACCAAGAGGAGGCAAACAATTTGATGAAAGAAAGGACTCAGACTAAGAAGATGAAGATGTATATGAAGCTAAGGGAGAAGCAGGGTTCGATGATAGGATTAAAGAACTGTTGAAGAAGTTAGACCACACCGGTCTCAATCTGAAGCAAGTGGGTCTAGTACACCGCAAACATTCTCGATCGAGGTGCTACCCACATTTGTAAAGCATGTACGTGCTTGATCTGAGTTGCGTAATTCAAATGTACATCATGAATTACAAGCATATCTAGTCAAAGACATATGGATAAAATTTGGTCAGATTAATAAATATTAATTGTATTGTGTGCTTATCAGTGTAATTTAAGTCTCTTTGTGTGATTTAATTATTTTAAGAAAAATGATTGCCCGCTACACCAACTATACGCTATTATGTGACTACAGATGCAAACTTATCTATTGCATCACTACCTACACAGACTATATGATATGCATGACAACATGCTGTTATTATCATCATAACACATATTAGCTTGTCAGAACAGTAAAAACAACGTCTGACACGTCACATTCCGATCAAAATTCCTTCTGATAATCTGACCCGACCCAAATTCTGATAACCTGACCCTGACAAATTCTGATAACTAAACCATATCCAAACCGGTCCAAATTAAAAACCAGACCCGGACCAAATTAAAAAAATTGACCCAGACTCAACTTATACTCGTACAAATACTAAAAATCATCGGGCAACAAAAATCATTTTTCAGTTAGACAAACTTAGTGTTAGTGTTCTTAGGAATGGTAAAAGAGAGTGAAGAAATTTGACATAAATTGAAGGAAAGTTGTGAAATTACTGTCCTAAATCGAGTTTGAAGACTGAATCATGGCTGATTCTCTTTCCAATGAGGTAATTACTTTGAATTTGGGATGAATTTTCTATTGACATTGTCTTCCGATTTGGTTTTGTATTGGGTTTCGTGGTGTGAGATTGTCAAGCAATTATTTGGTTTTGGGTTTCATGGGGCCTATTATAGGTTATAGGTTGGGTTATTGTTGAATGAAAATAAAGTATTTAGTTTGAATTTGTGTCGGGTTCATGTTGGGGTTATGTCGGGTTTGATCTGTTTGTTTTATTGTTGGTTTTTTTTATCATTGTTTAATGTCTAGTCATGTGGTATATTATGTCCAAATTTGTTCTTATTTCTTGGGTCTTTTGTTTGTTTATTATGGTTGCAGTAACGACAGCTTGATCAAACTGAATTGCCATTATTCTGAACAAGTCAAAAAGGACCAAAATGCAATATTACAATACACAAATGGAGTGGTTGATTTGGTTGAGGTTGTTGGTGTTTGAGCTTCACAGAGCTGGTGTCGAAGTTGATTGAGAAAAGGATTGTCATTGGGAAATTGTGGTTCAAGCTACCATATGAAGATGTAGAAGATATGAAGTCTCTATGGGAAGATGTTGAGCATAATAAGCAGAGAATGCAAGCTTCTGAGAGTTGGTACAAGGAGCTAGATATATACATTGAAAAGGGTTGGGATGTTCCTGATGTTGAAGAAGAGAGTGGAAAGGAAGCTGACGAAGAGAACACTGACAAGATAATAGTTATTTTTTTGAATCAAGTAAACAACGAAGAGGCTGAAAAAGATGCTGAAGAAGATGAAGAAGGTGATGTATCATATGATGGTGATGGTGAAGAGTCTGATGGTGGAAGTAACGGTTCAGATGCCGGTTTTTCTGATAGTTCAAAATCAGATGATGTAGTTATTAAAGAAGACCTAGACATATATGAGAATCTGAATTACGATGAACAAATTCTAGATGAAGATGAAGTCTACCTTGAAACCGATGACTCATCTGGTGATGAAGAAGAACAAGCAGATATGTTAGTGAAAAAGAATTTAGGTGATGGTGTCTTCAGCTTGAGACAACTATTTAGTAGTGGGAATGAGTTTAAGCAGAATGTGATTAGATACATTTTAAAGACTAGGCGTAATGTGGTGCTTAATGGAAAATGAAGCTTAGTGCTAAGTGTAATGAAAAAGATTGTGGCTGGCGGATTTATTGTTCAGTAGAGAATCCAGTTGGAAAATAGATCGTTAAAGAATATGAAGATGAGTATCAATGTCTTCCGTTGGAAGGTGTAAGCTTATCAAGAGTCCTATGATAGCTGATCTCTTTGTTGAACACATTAGGAAAGATCCATAAATGAGTGCACCTAAAATCAAAGATGAAATAAAAAGAGATATAATCTGATTATCTCACCTCCAAAGTCACAAGTTGCAAGAAGAATGGTTTTACACAAACTGCAAGCTGAGACCAGTGACCAATTTGCACGGTTGAGAGATTATGTATATAAAATTAAGAGGTAATTGAATAAGTTATTACTTTCATATGACATCATTTAGAAACTTAGTGTTAATGGTCAATGTTTTTTTTTTCATGAACAATAATAATACAACAGTTGAGATTATCCATGAAAGACAAGAAGATAGGTTTGACACATTATATGCAACTCTACATATGCTTTAAGCAGTTTAGGAGTTCATGAAAAAAGAATTGCCGACCAGTAATAGGTTTGGATGGTATTTTTTTAAAGCATTATGTTCAAGGAGTCATCCTTACTGCTGTTGGAAGGGTAGATAGTAACCAGATATATCCAATATCTTGGGGTGTAGTTTCATCAGAGAACAATGACAATTGAAAGTTTTATTCAGAAACTAAAAGCCGACTTGTATTTGGGTGAGGGTGTGGCGATTACCATCATTTACGACCAGCACTGAAATTTGATTCATAAAGTCTCTTCTCATTTACCAAAGGCAAAACATCGAGCTTGTGCTAGTTACATCTACGCCAACGTCACGAAAAATCACAAATCTGATTCATTGAAGCCATTGTTTTGGAGAGTTGCAAGCAGTTATAATCTTTCAAGACTAACTTTGCAACATTCAGAGAGTTTGATCCAAGGGCATGCGATGAGCTTCTTCAGAAGGATCCTCATACCTGGTGTAGGGCACACTTTCGGATTGGAAGTTGTTGTGTAGACACACATAATAATCTAACAAAGTCTTTTAATAGGACTTTGAAGGCAGCAATCCATTTGTTCAGATGCTAGAGCTGGCATGAAGGAATGCAATACAAAGAATTATCGTAAAGCTCAAGTAGAAGCTCAAGATGCAGCTCAAGAACAAGCTGAAATGGAGGCTGATTTCACTGCTAAGACGGAAGATCCTATTGAAGTTTAAGATATTTCTACAAGTACACTGCAAGGAACCCAAAGAGAATTCCAAGGTGGAAGTGAAGGAGATAGGCAAGGAGAAAGAGGAACTCGTGGAGGCAGGCAAGGAGAAATGGGTAAAGGAAGGCAAGGAGGAAGAGGAACTCGTGGAGGCAGGCAAGGAGAAAGGGGTGGAAGGAGGCAAGGAAGCAATGTATTGGCTCATTTTATTTTTGGAGATTTGCTTGATTAATCGCAGTTTCAAGATAAACATGTGTGATAGTTTGGTTTTTGTGGAACACATATGTGGTTTTTGTTTTGGTGATGTTTTTTGGGAAAATACGTGATGTGTTACATGTTTTTGGAAGAAACATGACTCATCTTTAGTTTGGTTATTATGTTGTTTTGGTGTTGTTTTGTTGGCGACATCTATGTATGACATTGCAAAGAAAGATGATTTCGGTCCATTTGGCCACATAGATATAAGTCCATGCTTTCGGTCCATTTGAATATTCGAAGAGATGGTCTATCTATAGACTGTACCTCTTTCAGGGGATTAGTCTGGACCCTTCCATAAGTCAGGGATGTACCGTGAGTTATAAAAAAAAGGAAAGGTGATTTGCCTTTGGATAACGATAACAAAATGTTTTTTGCTGTTTGGATCTTGTTTTGATAGCTAAAACTGTTTTAAAGAGAAAAAATAACCATACAAAAATCTAAGCATGCTGTCTAAAAGAGAAAGAGTAATCGGAAAAGAGAACCAATACTAAATCATACGATTTTCAAATTAAATAGCCATGAATCAGGTAAAGAACAAATATCATTAAGGAAATAAATACTTACATGTCCTTACAAATCAAACATAAAGAGCAATCAAACACAAAGAGCTAAGTCCTTACAAATCAAATAAAAGAGTATATATATATTCAGTCATATAATCAAAGTGACATTTATTAAAAAGTATTACAAACGATATCGTTTTCTATAATTTTCGTCAAATACCAACAATAGTTAGCATCCGTAAAAGCTGCCTTTGCTTGTGTGTTAGCCGAAGAACCAGTCCAACTCCTAAATCTGATTCTCAACATCTCCTTTCTATCTCTGTTATTTCACGAGCCTCTAAATCGTCCGAGGTATGCAAATGGCATAACTCTTGCTCACGATTATTGGTTTTAGGGCTTTTGCTTCGATTCAATCAATGCATTTGTTCGATTTCTAGGCTTTGATCTTCCCTTCTTCTGACTTTCCCGAATCTTTCAGCAGATTGTGTGATTAGTGATTGCATCTCTCAATTTCTCTGACTTTTTTTTTTTTTTTTTTTTTGTTTCTGTGATTGACCAGAGCCCAAATCGATTTCCAACCTAACGAGAGTTTTACTTTTTAGGGAAGCTTAACGAGTATTAGATTATGTGATTTATGAATGCAATCTGATATATTAGTTTGACCACTTGCTCAGGTTTCGTGTTGTGTTTAGTGTGGAAAGTGGGTATCCAAAATTGTATGATGCGAAAGATGCTTTCTTGTTTTGTGTTTGGATTACATTTTTCAGATCATATTGGTTCGTCAAAACGGAAGATAAATTCCGAATCTTGGTGCAAGTATCACATAGAAGAACATCATTTCTAAAAGGTACCTTAACATGGTAAGAACTCTCTCTACCTTCCTAGATACACTCTTCTCGTCCTCTATTTGAGATAAGTAGTTACTCCTCTACGCTAATTTGTATCTTCACATACTTTATCTTGAATATCTTGAAAACCAAAGGCCATAACTTTTTCGTTTTTATTTTTAGTGCAACTCATTCAATCTGATTTAGTTCTATTCTTGCTCAGGTTTTGTTTTGTGTGTTTAGTTTGCATTTGTCTCTGCAAATTGCGTTTCAGAAATCAGAATACTCTTTAGCTGTAGAAGAAGAGGAAAAATAACAAGTGGAAGCTGCGTTATGGCCTTTGGTTTTGATTAGTTGTTCAGATTTATTTTCAAACTTTTATATAATCGTTAGCTAGATTACATTGAGATTATCATCTGGAATGTACATTTTTTATTTGCAGTCTTTCTTCAATCTTCTCTTTTCAGATAGTCTTTTTGTTAATGTTCTTTTCATCTCAATATAGTATGGCTTCATGTATTTTAATAATTTTTTTTTATCTCTCAATGCAGTTTGCTTACTTGAATGGTTAATTATGATCGACAGTTGGAGAAGGTCATTGTAAAATAACTTTGAATAATGCAAAAGTTTGGTATCAAGATCATAGAATAAAACTAATTTTTTGGTTTCTTTGTATATGTGGTTCGATTTGAGCCTTCAAATTACGTTATCTTTTTATTCGATTTCTTGCCTGATTTATCTCAGTCTCTGTTCTGCAGGACAGATTTGCTTTGTAGCTACACAAAGATGACTACAATCGAAACCGGTCAGAAAACTCAAAAGACTTCTGCTGCTGCTGCTACTCTCAAGCAGCCATCGCCGTCGTTTAAAAGGTGGGGAAGGAGAAACCCATTTGTAAGATACGGACTTCCGATGATATCTCTCACAGTTTTCGGAGCCCTAGGGCTAAGCCAACTTCTTCAAGGAAGGTAAGTTCTCTCTAGACTAAGCTTAAGCTCTGAATCTATAAATGCTTTCGGGATACAATCAATGGATCTGTTTTAGAATTCTAAACGTTCATTCACGTATGGTTTTATTTGGTTAGTTCAGTAAAGATATAGCAAAGGTAAAAGATGACCAAGAATGGGAGATTATAGAGACAAGAAAGGCGCTTTCGAGAACAGGACCTGTCGATGCTTATAAACCTAAAAACACATCCATTGAAGACGAACTCAAGGTTTGCATGGTTTTGTTGGTTAGACTGTATAAAAGATTTTTGATGAAATACTTAAAGTCTTGAACGGGTTTTGTTAATCGCAGGCTATGCAAGGGAAGGTGGACATAGACTCGTACGAGTACAAGAAAATTCCAAAGCTAAACGAAAGCAAGTAGTGCCGAAGTGAAGTCTTTTAAGATATAATATCTGTATCAGAATCTTCTTTTCTTTTAAGTTTAACTTTGTAATAACTCGTCACATAAACGCCCAAGGAGAAATCCAGTAAGTTTTGACCTTCATAAACCAAGAACAGAGATGTTTTTAAAAAATTCAGCTGTTGATAATACATGTGCTGAATTACAAACTTCTAAATAAGTTCTTTGCTTAAAGAACTCTTAGCAAAATTAAACATGAACAATATCTCTCGCATATATATTTGTAGAATCGACATGTTTTATTTTATATTTTTTATTAACACAAACTCAATTTTCCAAACATTAATCTCATTCAATTAATCAAAATGTTCACCTCTTAACTGTACATATGATTAATATTATTTTTCTAAGCAACATTGTTTCTAGACTAAAAAAAGTGGAATTTTTGAAACCACAACAGAAATAAGTTAACTTATAAAGTTCTAATTTCGAAATGGCAAGTATACACTTCCGATGAAGCTTTTATGCATACACACACCATTGTTAATAATGCGAATGTGTCGTGTATCTTCTCATATATTTCAGTTTTCTTCTTAAAATTGTAGACATTTGTTTCCCATTTGAAAAATAATTTATTCAGACGACAATTAAAGATACACGAGTAGTATATAAGATCCCATCCAAGATTTAAAATAATGTAATAATTTTTTATGTACAGTAATCATGAATCTCTCTATACGTACACATACTATATACGGATGCCGTGTCGATGCCGAATTCCTTGAATCTGCATGCATATTCGAGTTTTGCAAGACAGGACAATAAACTCATTGTAGTTCAATAATTTATTTTGTTATGAGTTTTGAGATTTGGTTGGACCACGCAGCACCACATCCTTATCCATTCATCTTATTTGCCAACTATATATATATATATATTCCTCATTTATTTATCAAGAACCATACGTTTTGAATAAACCAAAATGTGGTGCCTCCTTAAATGCCCACATTCAAACAAAATCCAGCATTCATTCATATAATTTTTATATGCTCTAATTTATATACTCCAAACTTACAGTTTCACGTGGAGGAAAAAAGGAAATAATCAACCTACAATATATCCAATGGCCTCACAACTCGAAAGGATATGATTTCATGTTCTAATATTCTTTTATTGTATGTACTCCTATAAGATAATGTGAAAAAAATAATAGATTGCTAAACGAAAAATAAATAAATGCTGATTAACTAAGGCTATTTGTACAAGTTAATCATGATTTTTTGTTTATAATATCTTGAGACATTTGTTTAGGAGTGGAAACCAATGTTATGACAAGTTTTATACTTAACGGGGCATGTCATGCGGGCTGGAATAGATACTTAGATCGAAGAGACTGTTAGGTCACCGTCACACGTGATGAAGGTACGAAGGAAATGACACGTGGCAAAACTGAGAGAGGAGATGATAACACCAAAGTACAAAGAGTGGCCATGTCCATGCCAGCTTGTCACTCCCATTCCTATTTTGTCCTCCTCTTTCTCATTTCCAATTATAGATGCTGTTTGTTAAAAAGAAAATGAACTCATGTGATTAGTTATATAAAACATTGCAAAATCGCATAAACATCATTCAATGATAGCAATCACTCATTGTTTTCTGATAAGTATGTTTATACAAATAAAGAAATTTTAGAAGCATGAAAGTTCTGTATAGCAATCATAAATTCGATAATCCTTTATGGTGCCTGCCCCATAAACATTTGTCATTTGACTTTGTTATTTTTATAATAATATATTTATTTGTTTTCAATTTACTATCCCTTTTTTTATATAAAAATAGCTCTCTATCATTTTTTTTTACTTCTAGTAATATCAAAAATACAGAATAAAATATAAGAATGTAATTTAAAATCGGTGAAACAACAAAATGTTCCCAAAAACTAAATTTAAAAGAGAAAACTAAATTGAAAGAAAAACTAAATATTCCCAAAAAATAAGCGGATAGAAAATAAAAAATTTCCAAAAACAAACTTTAACTTAAAATAAAAATAATTTAACTAAAACTCAAATTTGATATTAATACTAAAATCTGTACAATTTCAAAACTCCAGAAAATCTACATTGCTCATAAGATACGGACCTATCGTTTACGTCCACTTAAATTTCAAAATTGCATCAAAGTGTAATAAAAAAAAAAAGCTGTAAAAATGTGTTCTTGGTTGATACAATCAAAGATATAATACATATAAATCATCAAGTTTCTATCCTCAGTCAGATAAAAATTTATTTCAATGTGGAACAAATTTAGAAATTTGAGATTTCATAAAAAAAGGATTTAATTTAAACAAAAAAAACTATAAAAAGAACTAAAAACAAAAAAAGGAGGCTCGAGGTTGGATGAAGCAGAGGAAGCTGGCAACAGCTCTCGACTGAGAGTGATTACGTACTCGCTACTCTCTCTCATTTGTTCTCTCTTTCTTTCCGACAGCTTTCATTTTCTTTCTTGTTTTTTTGCATTCATCATTAAATCTCCCACTCACATAATCATGAGGAATAATGTAAATCGTACTAATGATGACTTTATTAATAATGCAATAACATTTCAAGAAAAGCTCCAAAAACAGCCCCGTATATATAACCAACACCCTAAGGTAGATTAGTGGTTGAATAGCTCCAAAATTTAAAGACTGATTTGTGATTTCCATGTATGTAATGAACATTTCTACTAAAGAGACCTGTAACATTTCAGAATATGAGATAATAATATATCAATATTATAACATAAATATTGCCTCGAAATTCGATATCTAAACTCAAATTTTAATAGATAAAAATGATTATGGTCTAATCAGTTGAGTTTCACTTCTCTAGACGCAAATCCTTTAATGTGATTCAATCAAGACTTCTCATCAACTTAGATCTATAGACAAATTGTGTGTGGACTTGCATTAACCATTTGTAAGTTGTAACAATGAAATATATATTTTTAAGAGTATACACTATAGGTTTTAAAATGACTTAGCTTCCCAAGGCTTCTTCTCCAACTATAAATACTCATATCCCCTTCTTAAAACTCAAACCAAAAAACACAAAGCTCTCATCATCTTCTTTACTTTCAAATCTTTACTAAACACACCCCCAAGCTTTCATTTCTATCATCTAAACCCAAATGGGTCTAAGCTCAAGCCTCACCACCACCGTCGTGGTGGCTCTTGTGCTCGTAACAATGTTCGGTTCAGCCTACTCAAGCAACTTCTTCGACGAGTTCGACCTCACGTGGGGTGACCACAGGGGCAAAATCTCCAACGGAGGAAACATGCTGTCTCTGTCTCTGGACCGTGTTTCCGGGTCGGGTTTCAAATCCAAGAAAGAGTATTTGTTTGGACGGATCGATATGCAGCTCAAACTAGTCGCCGGAAACTCAGCCGGAACCGTCACTGCTTACTACGTACGTTCTCAAAACTCACACTCACACTTAAAACGTCAAGAGAGACTTTCTTGAACTCACACTCACACTTAAGACTTTAAGAAAGTCTTTCTTGAACTCGCACTCTCTCACATCACTGTGTTACAAAATCTTGAAGAGAGTCTTTCTAAATTTTGTCAATTTTTTTTTGCAGTTGTCATCACAAGGAGCAACACATGATGAGATAGATTTCGAGTTTCTAGGGAATGAGACAGGGAAGCCTTATGTGCTTCACACCAATGTCTTTGCTCAAGGGAAAGGCAACAGAGAACAACAGTTTTATCTCTGGTTCGACCCAACCAAGAACTTCCACACTTACTCCATTGTCTGGAGACCTCAACACATCATGTAAGAAGATTCATCGACACTTGTTTTCTAAATGCAATGAAAAACGAAGATCTTGACTTTCTTATTCTTATATCTCTGTGCAGATTCTTGGTGGACAATTTGCCTATTAGAGTGTTCAACAATGCAGAGAAACTTGGTGTTCCTTTCCCCAAGAACCAACCAATGAGGATCTACTCGAGTCTGTGGAATGCAGACGATTGGGCCACGAGAGGTGGTCTGGTCAAGACTGACTGGTCCAAGGCTCCTTTCACAGCTTACTACAGAGGATTCCACGCTGCAGCTTGCACCGTCTCTTCAGGATGTGACCCCAAGTTCAAGAGTTCCTTCGGTGATGGTGACGTGCAGGTGGCGAATGAGCTCAATGCTTATGGCAGGAGGAGACTCAGATGGGTGCAGAGATACTTCATGATCTACAATTATTGCTCTGATCTCAAAAGGTTCCCTCGTGGATTCCCTCCTGAGTGCAAGAGATCCAGATTCTGATAAAAAAAACATACAACATCCCAAATGATTCACTGGTTGCTTGTTTGATTCAATTCTTCTCTTTGATTTTTAAGATTGGTTTCTTTTCTCTGTTATTCTTCCATTGTACATTCTCAAGGTCAATAAAGCTCTCCCCTGCTTTAAAAACAACTGAATCAATTAAAAACATTTCACAGTCACAAAAAGAACAAAAACGAAACATGTGTAGTAACATTAACACACCCCCTCTTGTTATATGCAACTTGCTAAAATGTAATCACAGATGACTCAGGAGGTGTGACTGATACATATATGATCACATGGAATACATCTATAACGACAATTTGATACAAGCTATATGCTTTAAAAAAAAAAAAAGGGGCAAAGAAAGTGAGACTACTTATGTCTTTTACATTACCAAAACTAGCAAAATGTAATGACATATAAGATCAAGAAGTCTACTAGCTAATGCTTAGGATTCTAGTTACCTCTAATGCTTTGTGCTTTGGAGATCAATTGTTAGCATCAAATGATAACTAAGGCTTTCTTCTTAGGTACTAGAGAAATGACATGAAGGCAGTTTGGTGTGTGTAAAAGTCAATATGTATAGTCAGATAGTGTTCAGCCATGAAAATAAAAACTTAGAATCTAAAGGAAATCATACAGGAAGACCCATCAAAGCACTGAAACAGAGACATGTATCATGTAACTGTTCACATTCATCAGAAGGAAGAAAATATACATAAGTATGTTGTAATCAATTCAAGTACTATAACTGAGTTTTTCAACCGAATGTAGAAAAAGGGAGAAAAGCTTGTGCACCTGAAGAGCAGATCAGGCACTGCATCTCCAGAAATGAAATTTCAGATGAAAGCTTTGACCTCTTCGAGCTTCTGGGCGTCCGTGACAAAAAACCACCGTTGCTTTCGCCGCCGCTTCTCGGATAGAGAAAGAAAGAGCTTAACAAATTTCTTCTTCATAAACTAATGGGCCTAAGTCCACACTTTCATTATCTAGGCCCATTACAGTTTTATATTTGTTCGTTAATGTTAAATTACCATTTGAATCTCCGCCCTCGGCGTCTTGTTGCCGCCGCAGTAACTTTTCCTGCGTGCCATCTGTTCGTCAAATTGTCTGAACCAATTTCTTCAAGACAACTCTTTCATAGTGAGAATCCTTGGAAAAGTTTGGATTTTTGGGTTTCCGGGCACAAGGGTTTCATTCAAATTAGCTCGGTAACTTAGGTTTGATCCTCAAGAAGAATGGTTAATGGAAACAACAAGAAAAGAGACGGTGGTTTATCGTCGCTTGCACCTCGAGAAATCAGCGTACAGAAATTCTCCGAGGCTCGAGCAGCCGAGCTCGAGTCTCTTCACTCGATTGTGTCTGACCGTTTGAACAAGGACTTTCGGTCAAAGAGGAACAAGAGGAGAAGGACCAATGCCTACACTAACAACCCTTCAAAGAGACGTAATATAAAGAGGCAAAGATCAGAGTCATTGCTATTGATTGGTCAAGCATCAGGAGGAAGAGACAATGATGAAACAAAGATCCCAAGACGAGTCAAGAGGAGGATGGAACTTAAAGGGAACCCTGAATCAGGGTTTAGTACCTCTGGTGATGGAACAAAGAGGCTGAGAACACATGTTTGGCATGCTAAACGGTTTTCCATGACTAAGCTATGGGCTTTTCACCTTCCTCTTGGTTTATTTGGGAGGTAAATTTCAGTTTTAGCTTCTGATAAGTAGAAAAAAGTTGTCGACTTTTGAAAAGCTTTTAAGGTTGGTGTTGTTTGTGTCATGGTTTTAGAGGAAGGGGATCTAGGGATATCTTGAAGAAGTCTAGGCAAGGTGTTCTTGTGCATGATGCTAGCTATCATATTGCTGTGCAACTGGAGGGTCCAGAGGCAGGTTTTTGACTTTGTTTCTTGAGTTTCTTCTTAGAAATTTTGTTTTCACTTCATATTTTCTTGATGCTTATTTGGGTTTGAATCTCTCAGGGCTCACTCTTGTCAATATTAAACTTGCTATTGGAGCCTTCTCCGTCATCTCATTCCAAGGAAGTTTTCCACTCTGTTCTTGCAGGCCTTAGTTGTGAAAACGCCATGGTATAGTGTGAATCTGTGAAACTCACTTTTATTTGTTAACGGGAAACGGCAACTTAGGCTGGATGTGTAATCGTAACTTGTTTTGTTTTCTTCAGCTTTATCATGTGGAACCACCAGTTTCTCAGGCGATTGCTCCTGTAACTTATATGTGGAGACCTTCTCAGTTTCCTAAGAGAAGAGAAGAGATTAAAGTGGGTGACTGCGAAGGAAACGATGGTCCAGTCTCAAATGGAGATCATGTAGACTCTCGAAAACTTTGGTTGTGGATCCATGCTTCTTCCTTCAGTGAGGGATATGCTTCTCTTAAACTAGCTTGTCAAAAACAGGTACTTTTTGTTTTTTCTTTGAGGTCATTTTTTGGTGTCTCATGCTTTACATATTCTTATGGGGATATTGATTCATAAAGTTTCTTCTCTCAGATGAATGAGACAGGTGTTTTAGTTGATTGCTTTTCACTCGAGGGTCAGCTTGGAAAACTTGAGATTTTCGGTTCAGAAGCATCTCATCTTCTTCAAAAGACCATACATCCTGTTACAAGGTGAGCCATCTGAGTGAGTATATATGATGGTATGCAAGAAACGCAAATGAACAAAGCAAGATTTATCTCAAACTTTTTTTGGTCTTTGCAGTAGCTCAGAGGATATCTCTGTTTTAAGAAAGTGTTCAATGGAAAAAGCTGAGGTTAAGAACGTTGCTGATCCTTACGAAGAGGAGAACATATCATCTTGCGCTATTCTACCACGGTTTGTCATTGATCCGCGTTTAATCCCGAATAATCCACTTGATGATGGTACAGTGTCTGTTGAAATGACCAAAACTGAGCCTGCTGAGTCACTTGAAGTAACAACAACCAACACAGAGGCTGAAAGTTTTCCTGAAGTTCTCAAGTGCTTATGGGATGCAAATAGTGAACTGGCCCCTCCAGAAGAAGAGAACACGTTGTGTTGGGAAAAGCATCAAACTCGTATGGAGTCTCTTTGCCTCAACGATCCGGCTTCTGAAGTTCCGAAGATATCTAGTAGGCCAAGGAGTTCGAGGTCTTGTCCTTTACTGCTTCTCAAACATAAAAAGCTTGGGAATGCACCTACAGGGTAATCTGAATCGTTCTGTGTTCGTTCTTTAGAATCAAGGTCCTCAAAGATCCACAATTAATCATTCTTGTTCTCTTTCAGATGGTCTCTTATACTTCCGCTTAGTTGGATCAAAGTCTTCTGGAATGCCTTTGTCTCAAAAGGAGCTCAAGCAATAGGTCAGAGGGAGAAACGCTGGCTTTCTTGTGATGTATGTCTCCACTCTCTGCTATGTAAACTTATTAAATCGTAGATTCGAAAAACGTCTGAAAAAAACTTAGTCATCTTTGTTTTTTGCAGGCTGGTTTCCCATTTTTCCCATCAGATTTTCCTGATTGCAAAGCATATTCATCTTTAACAATGAGTGAAGCTGCAGAGTTGGAGGAGAAGGCACAAAGGCGCCCTCTTGCGGTAAGACCTTTCAGAGTTCCCATTCCACCTCCATGGAATAGTATCCATGTGACACGTTCTGTTGGAGAGAGTTCAGATCAAAAGCTTACAAGCAGCGATGGGACGACTGAAGTGGAAGTTTCCAGTAATGGTGGTAATCTATTTGATGGTATAGTGGCAAGAACATCAGATTCGCTGACTACTTTTCTCCAAGCTTTCTCAAGTGACAACTTGCTTTTATCTCCTCGCAACACTTTGAAACCAAACGCAAACCCTGTGATGACGCTTCAAGAAGATGATACAAAGGCAAGAGCTCAGATCCATCAGAGCAGTGATACTAGACTGTGCCTTGTCAGAGTTCTTCTACATGCTTTCAAGGAAGGTTCTTTTGAAGAAGGCGCGGTTGTATGTGCACCATCTCTCGCAGACATATCAGCACTAAAATCCGGGTAACATCTCCAAGAAATCATGTTGAACAAACTGTGATTCAATTGAAAACTGTTTCACTTTTAAGATGACATTTGGGGCATTTTGTGTTATGTTTCACAGCTGCAGTGAAGGGGAAGAAGGGCGTGTTGCAATCCCTCAATCTTTTGTAAGCTCTTACTTCCAAGAACAACCTTCTGGAACCTGGGAACTAAATGTCCCTGAAGACACTCTTACAAAACAATCTCATAGATGGCCTATCGGGTTTGTAACGACAGGATTTGTCCGAGGGAGGTAAAAACAAAAACAAAAACCCTCAAAAATCTTGATTGAAATTCACCAGTGGCTTATTTGGTTTCTGAGCTGCTTGTCTTAATGTGCAGTAAAAAGCCGACGGCGGAAGCTCTGTGTGATGCAGTGTTGTTAATGAGACTAAGAGAAGAGCAAGGGAAAGGGAAAGATGTGAAGAGGAGGAAGAAGGAGATTTATGTTTTGGTTAGAAACCTAAGATCTTGTGCTTCTAGACTCGCACTTGCTACTATAGTTTTGGAGCAACAAGACTCTAGTGATGATGTCCACTGCTTTTAGCTCCCACCATCAGAGAGTCAAACACTGATGTTTTGTTTGTATCAGTTATATTTGATTTATCTTAAACGATGTATTTTAATTATTTATTAATGATCAAAGCAAGTTTAGTGGGAATTTGGAAAATCTCACTAGTGTTAATATTGGCATGTTTCGGATACATGTTCTTGATCAGGTTGGTTTCCTATACTTTGTATGAAAATGAAGATAATGATTTGTCAAACACAATCTGATAGAAACGTACCCACAACAATTGGAAAAACTATTTCAGATGCTTGAATCTCTTTCAAGTTTCAAATGACAACATAGGAGAAGCTTCCATTGAAGCTGATATTGTTCACTTGCCTTGGTCAGTTAGTTAAAGCCATTGTGATATATATAGATATACTTCCATTGAAGCTGATGAGAATCTTCCAAAGAAAGTTGACATGTTGGTCAAGATGTCACAACTTTGTCATCCCATCGGTCCTCTAAAACTAGAGCCTAATGAGCTAGCAGATGGTGAAGATGGTTTTGCATCCATAGCTCTCTCTTCCATGAATCTGATTATGGATTCTGTGATAGATAATGTTAGAGGAAGTTTATTGTTATATTAAGATTTTGTTTAACCTTTCTTTATATTGAGGATATGCGTATCTGTATATATGGAAACGAACTTAATGTACCTATGTATACCCTAAAAGCAGTTGCAATGACTTTGTATAAATATGTAACACTTACGTATAATAAAATTCACTCAGCCTCTATATGGTATCAGAGTCTACGATCTCTAAAACCTAAAGTTTTTTTTCACGCCTCCCTCACAAGAAGAAAAAAAAAAACCTATGTCAACTAAATCTCAAATTCCAATGGTCGATACCATCAACCTCAACACCACCACGCTACTACAAGTTAACATGACAAACGTGTCTAAACTAACATCTACAAATTACCTCATGTGGAGTTTCCAAGTTCATGCTCTCCTTGATGGCCATGCCCTCGCCAATCACCTTGAAGAAGCTGCTGTCGTGCCTCCTGCAACAATAGAGGTTGCTGGTGCTGTCATCCCTAATCCGGCGTATACAATGTGGAAACGCCAAGATCAACTGATCTATAGTGCACTCCTCGGTGCAATCACCACTCCCCTCCAGTCGTTGGTGTCTCGTGCCACCACGTCATCCAAGATCTGGTCCACTCTTGCATCCACATATGCAAAACCCTCCCGTGGCCACATCAAACAGTTGAAAACCCAACTTAAACATTGGACCAAAGGAAACAAGACGATCGACGAGTACTTACAAGGACTCACAACGAAGATGGACCAACTTGCCATCCTTGGGAAGCCGATGGACCATGAAGACCAGATTGAACTAATACTTGAAGGCCTATCCGAAGAGTACAAGTCCATCGTTGATCAAATCGAGGGCAAGGATACCCTGCCCCTGATCACAGAGGTTCACGAGAGCCTCCTTAATCATGAGGCTAAACTTCTATCTGCCTCCACAGCAATCTCACCTGCAATTCCTGCATCTGCCAACGCTGTCCAGCAACGTCACAACAACAATAGTTACAATAATCGCCAGAACAGAAACAACAACTATAGGCGAAACAACAACAACAACTGGCAGAATCAGCAAGCAAATAACAAAACAGGTGCATATTACCCCAAACCGTACCTCGGCAAATGTCAAATATGCAATGTCCATGGCCACAGTGCTCGCCGGTGCCCCCAACTACAAGGGATGCAATCTTCAGCGAACCAACACTCACCTTTCACTCCTTGGCAACCACGTGCTAACCTTATTACGGGATCTCCTCACGCAGCCAATAACTGGCTCCTTGATAGTGGTGCAACGCACCACATCACCTCGGACTTGAGCAATCTCTCACTTCACCAACCATACAGTGGAGGAGAGGACGTGATGACTGCTGATGGATCCACTCTTGCCATTTCCCATACGGGTTCAACATCTCTTCCCTTAGCTACTCGCACTTTAATGCTGAATAAGATCCTCTGTGTCCCAGATATCCGCAAGAACTTAATCTCTGTGTATCGGTTATGCAATGCTAATAATGTCTCCGTCGAATTCTTCCCTGCTTCTTTCCAGGTGAAGGATCTGAGCACGGGGGTCCCATTACTGCAAGGCCGCACTAGAGACGAGCTGTATGAATGGCCAGTTTCACCGACTCAAGCTGCCTCACTGTTTGCAACGCCAACATCTAAAGCTTCTCTCACAATGTGGCACTCGAGACTGGGCCATCCATCTTTACCTATCCTAAACACTACGCTTTCAAAGTTTTCTCTCCCTGTTTCAACCTCGATTCATAAACCTTTGCATTGTTCCAACTGTCTTATTAATAAAAGTCATAAGCTCCCTTTCTCTCAATTATCTATTATCTCACAAACACCTCTCCAAATCATCTTCACCGATGTCTGGTCCTCACCCATTGTCTCTAAAGACAACTACAAATATTACCTCGTACTTGTTGATCACTTCACCCGATACACATGGCTATATCCTCTCAAACGCAAATCTGATGTTCAAGCAGTCTTCATTGCGTTCAAAGCTTTGGTGGAAAACCGGTTTCAGACAAAAATTCAAACCTTGTACTCTGACAATGGCGGCAAATTTGTAGTGCTTCGGGAATTTCTTACAACCCATGGTATAAGCCATCTCACTTCCCCTCCACACACGCCCGAACACAATGGGGTGTCGGAGCGCAAACACAGACACATTGTGGAGACAGGACTTACGCTCCTTTCCACTGCATCGATGCCGAAAGTGTACTGGCCGTATGCCTTCTCTGCTGTTGTGTATCTGATTAACCGTCTACCAACTCCAATTCTATCACTTCAATCGCCGTTTCAGCGTCTCTTTGGAACTTCTCCAAACTACAACAGACTTCGTGTATTCGGGTCACTCTGCTATCCCCACCTTCGACCATACAATCGCCACAAACTCGAAGATCGCTCCGCCCCCTGCGCATTCATGGGTTACTCCTTCACCCAGAGTGCATACCTTTGTCTCCATCAAGCATCGGGTCGCATCTACACATCCCGACATGTCCAATTTGTGGAACATGTCTTCCCCTTTGCCTCGTCGTCTGCAACACCTTCGTCTACGTCTACTGATGTATACGACTCCTCCTGGCAGACGCTCCGTGTGCCGCTTAATCCTCGGACCCCACTGTGCTCAGATTCTCATCTCCTACCGGCCCCGTCGTCTACTCCGTCACCAAGACATGATACTGTTCAGGTATTACCTTCTCATCCTATACTCCCCGTTTCACCACATGAGCCCACTGCTCAACTCGATAATGGGCTGCAACCCACAGTCCAGATACCCAACTCTTCCAATGAGCCTACTGCTCAAACACAAAATGGGCCTCAACCTAGGGCCCAGACACAACCAACCCATCAAACCACAAACCAAACACAACAAACTCGTCTTCCCTCTAATCCTATATGCACCTACAAACGACGAAACACAAAAACCCAGACTAAGCCACTTCGACCAAATCTCCACAAAATGAAAACAAGAGCCAAAAACAACATCATTAAACCAGTTGACAGGTTAACAATGGCTGTCACTACTACCAAAACACGATTACGGAAACCACTAACTGTCTCTCAAGCATTGCAGGATGAACTTTGGCGAGGAGCAATGTCGGCGGAATACAATGCCCAGCTAGGAAACTACTCGTGGAATTTGGTCCCACCGTCTCCTCACCAAAATGTCGTAGGGTGTAAGTGGGTGTTCACACTTAAGTATCACCCCAACGGTGAACTGGAGCGACCCAAAGCACGGCTGGTAGCAAAGGGGTTCCATCAGCGCTACGGTGTTGATTACTCCGAGACCTTTAGCCCGGTCATCAAATCAACCACCATCCGTCTGGTCCTCGAAGTTGCAGTTACAATATCATGGCCTATCAAGCAGCTTGATGTCAACAATGCATTCTTACAAGGAGAGCTCACGGAGGAGGTTTACATGATGCAACCACCTGGCTTTGTTGACAAAGATCGCCCTACACATGTGTGTCGCCTCCGAAAACCCATCTACGGACTCAAACAGGCGCCACGCGCATGGTACAATGCCTTGAAACAGCATTTGATTACAACCTGCTTCACCAACTCGCTTGCGGATACATCTCTGTTCATTAAAAACAGAGGCGGCTCTGTCACGTATGTTCTTGTATACGTTGACGACCTTCTCGTCACCGGCAACAACTCGACTATTGTCTCTCAGGTACTCCGTGAGTTCTCTGAACGGTTCTCTATCAAAGATCCCACAGATCTTCATTACTTCCTTGGAATCGAAGCAACCCACTCTTCGCAAGGACTACACCTGATGCAACAAAAATATATAACTGATCTTCTGGCCAAAAACAACATGACGGACGCCAAACCCGTCACCACACCACTACCGACATCACCAAAGCTTTCTCTACACACCGGCTCTCCTCTCCCAGATGCAACTCAGTACATGTCGGTTGTTGGCAGCCTTCAATATCTCTCCTTCACGCGACCAGACATCTCTTATGCTGTTAATAGACTATCACAATTCATGCATAGACCAACACACGATCACTGGCAAGGCGCGAAGAGGGTTCTTCATTTTCTAGCGGGAACTATCACACATGGGATTTTCCTCAAAGCTCAGACTTTGTTTACTATCTACGCCTTCTCCGACGCAGACTGGGCCGGGGATACTGACGACTACGTCTCCACAAACGCCTACGTTGTATACATTGGCAGCAATCCAATCTCCTGGTCCTCTAAAAAGTGGAGGGGCATTGCTCGCTCGTCAACTGAAGCAGAGTACCGATCGGTTGCAAACACTTCTTCCGAGGTACGCTGGATTTGTTCCCTATTATCAGAACTTGGCATCTGCATCCCTTCAACACCTACAATCTACTGCGACAACATCGGAGCTACCTACTTATGCGCAAATCCCATCTTCCATTCTCGCATGAAGCATATTGCGCTTGACTATCACTTCGTTCGCAATCAAATTCAATCCGGTACTCTCCGTGTATCACATGTTTCAACCAAGGATCAGCTTGCCGATGCACTAACCAAGCCTTTACCTCGCCAACAATTCCATCAAGCTTGTTCCAAGATTAGAGTCACAAGAGTCCCTCCATCTTGAGGGGGCGTATTGAGGATATGCGTATCTGTATATATAGAAACGAACTTAATGTACCTATGTATACCCTAGAAGCAGTTGCAATGACTTTGTATAAATATGTAACACCTATGTATAATAAAATTCATTCAGCTTCTACACTTTATGCATGGATGGGAGCGAGAATTAGAAAAGCCTAATGATAACAATACTAGTTTTAGACTTTAGAGTTGCTTGTAGCAGACCTTGCTTTTGATTTCTCTAATGACCTTGACAAGTTGGTCCTGATTCAGATTTTTCTCCAAGAAGACATCCATTCCAGCTTTTATGGTTTCTCTTGCTTCCTTTGAACCAGGATCATGGCCTGATACAGCTATAATTGGTATATGCACCCCATATCCTCTCTCCACTTTCGTAATCTCTCTTGTTGCTTCATATCCATCCATCTCTAGCATCTGTAAAGAAAAGATATGTCTTAGGAGTGAACCGTTTTGCGATTGCAGGAAGGGTTATTAAGTAAATTACCTGACAGTCCATGAAAATGTAGTCAAAGGGAAGCGTTTCTGTTGATGAACCTTGTTGCTCTCTTTGTGTAAGCCATTCACTGACTAATCTCACAGCTTCTTTACCACTGTCGCATTGTTTTACCTCACACACTCCCGTCTTCTTCAGTTTTCTTGCTGCAACCGAGGATGTTACAAGATTATCATCGACCACAAGAACTCTCTTCCCACTTAAGAACTCATCTTCTTTTGGCTCGGTTTCTCCAAATTCAGGCAAAATCTTAAGCACTCGGTTAAGACGTGATCCGTGTAAAGGTTTAGAACAGCTAATGTCCCCTCTCTCACTTCCTTGTCCGCTCTGTTCGTTAAGCCAAACAACTTTACAGGATGTGCCATTTTGAAAGCCTCTACGAAAGTGTTCCACAATGTCGTAAAGCTCAGAGAATGGTCCCGTTTTCGCATCAATCACCAGAAGAAAAACTGCAGAGAAACTGTTGCTTCTTCTCTTAAGAATATGGCTTCTTGAATCAACACCATCCATGCCAATCAAAGGTGTGAGCTATGACTTGATAACTCGTTTCTTGAAATACACTCTGCTCTTCCCATGGAGCCCTGAGGTGAAACCCTAGAAAATCTCTCCAATGTGTGATTCAAATGCTCCCATCTTTCTACCACTGTGACTTTGATTCCAAGACTCTTTATGTAATTCTCTGTGACTCTTCTACGTTCTTCATCTTTCAGAAGGAGAACAACTCGAGACCTTTTTTGCTTTGGACTCGAGCTTAGCCAGTTGTTGAATCTAGGGCTCATGTTCCATATGTTCATGTTACCTCCCAACGAAGTTTTTATAGCCAAACCTAGGTTTGGTGTGGACACGTGATCACCTCCTGTTTCGATGTCTTGTCTCCCTTTCATGTCACTCACTGTAGACTCTGATGTTTTCAATAGAACATTGAACTGGAAACAAGTTTCCTTCTCTCCCATATCCTTGTCAGTGATTCTTATCTCCCCTCCCATCAATCTAACCTAGAAAACAGAGAATGAAAAAAAAGCATTTTAGATTCATCCCTTTGTGAAAACAGAATCTAGGGCTCATCAGTTTCTTACCAGAGATTGCACAATTCCAAGTCCTAATCCAGTTCCTTGTTGTCCTTGAGCTGTTTCTCTTACCTGAACATAGTTTTCAAACACCGATTTACGCATCTCCACTGGTATACCTTTACATGTGTCCTCCACTTCAAACACAAACTCCATCATGTTCGCATTGTTTTTCAATATGTCTATCTCATAGCTTGATGACTTGTCTTTATTCTTGCAGAGGAAACATTTTGAAAAAATTGATACACCTCCTTTAGGGTTTGCTGCCAAGACCACAGAGCTCTTGGAACCAGGCCTATGAGCCCAAGCTCAGATCGATATGTGGCTGTTGACTGTGAACTTGACCGCATTGCTCACAAGATTGTTTAGGATTTGCTTTAGTTTTCCGCTATCTCCTCGCACATTTGGGGATTCGAAAACCGATCCATCGTGCATATCCAAAACCACACCAACACCTTTCTTCATCGCCAAGGGATGAAAAACATCGATGACTTCTTCAAGAAGCTTCGCTAGGTTGAACTCTTCTTCCTCTAAATGCATCTTCCCGCTTTCGATTTTGCTCATGTCCAAAACAGAGTTAAGCAGAGCTGTATTCAACAACATGTCAAAAACTTTTTTTTGTGAGTGACAAAACACATAAGAGAAAGCTCGAGAGAAGAAAAAGATTCTTACCAACCAAATCCTTGGCCCATACATTTACTTGCTTAAGACTAGTGTCTATCTCAGAGCTAGGTTTAACTTCTTCACGACATAGATCAATCAGACCGGTGATTCCTGCAAGTGAACCTCTAATATCGTGGCTAGCTCTTGCAAATACTTGACTCTTGTTCATGCTTTTCCTCTCAGCCTGTTGTGTTGCTTCGAATTGGTTTATTAACGTTGTACGCATATGCATCTCTCTTCTTGCTGCTTGCAGCATCAATGCCACAAACCCTAGAGGCCAGCATAAGCCTAAGAACATCGTCACAATAAGCAGATACATCGATGCGTTCTTGATGTTGCTTGGTCCTCCTCCATTCTTAGGAAACATGAGTGTGAATCTCTGGTAAAATAAAAACAAAAACCATTGAAAGAAGCTGAGAAAAAAAGTGATATGATGGATCTGATGATATAAGATTTTAATTACCAGAGGCACGCCGGAAACTTCAAGAACAGAGCTAAAAGCTTCGAATTTGGATCTTTCTATCTCCACCAGACAGCCATGGGAACTGCAGTTTGCAGGGATGCATTGAGGCTGAAAGGATTTCGATTTTTTATCGAAGCAAGTCGAACCATTGGAGATGAAGAAAGAAGCATTCAGTGAACCTTGATGAACAAGAAATGTCCCGTCCTTATTCCACATGTAAAACTCTCCTCCGTGTAGATTCAAACGGTTCAAAACACCGGTTAACGTCTTAACAAGAAACCCTAACAAAACAAATCCTTTCTTGTTGGACAAGCTAGCCACTCTCTGAAACAGAGTCTCCTTATCTTCTCCTCCTCCTCCTCCCAAACCAATACCCACAAAAGCAGAGGTAAAATTTTCATGTGCTGCTTGGAACCAATCTGTATGAGTTACATCTAACGGCTGATATTTTGTTGCATTCCCGTTGAGATTACCGGTTATCTGATCAACGGTTTGAGTGTACCAAGTGTAGTTTCCACCAACATTTAAGTTCAACGAAGAATTGGCAAAAACAGCGACACTTGTGCTTAGTTCTGTTATGTAAGAAAACAAGAGACCATCTGTGCTAATGTAAGAAACTTGTGAGACTTGAGGGATCATAGAATAAGCTCGAAACAACATTGGTGCAATCTGAAAAGACGGCAACAACAACCGAAAATAATTATAGTTTTGTAATAACTCAAAGATCATGAATATTGATGTAACTAGTTTAAAACAAACCTGTGTTTGAATCTCTGTGAAATTAGTAATGTTGTTGGTGAGATAAGAATCTATAACTCTAGCTAAACCGATTGTAACTGAATTCGTCTTCAGATAGATAAAATTTCAAAAGTTTTCAATCTCGGAAACTAGACTTGACTGGAGATCTTCAGTGTATAAACCGACGTCGTTTGTTATGTTCTTCGTTGATCTGTGCCAAATAGTGATCGGTATGCTCCCCAAAACAATCACCAGAAATACCTATTTTTTTTATTAATAAATCTATATACACATAAAGCGCTGCTGAATTGCAGAATATAGAAATATAACAGAATCAATGGAACAACAAGCTAAATAATTGGAACAACAAGCTGAATAAACTTAAACATCTGAATAACAAAAAGATAGGAAGTAAAGTTTTGTTTAATCTAGATATATAAAACTAAAACGAGATGAACTTATAAATCATTTGTTAATTTTCATGTATATCATTTCATACGTGTTGTTGTGAGAATGGTATACTATTTAAGCTTATTGAATATAACTAAACAATCGAAGATGCTAGAAGAAAAGATATTTACCAGAAAGAAGAAGACATAAATGGGACGAGAAATCACAAACTTTGTAACTTTCACCATCATTTCTGTAAATTTGTAGATCCACAAAACACAAATAAGAAAGGAAAAAAAAAGTTAACTTTTGAATCATCATGGTTACATTGTACATACATAACTGGAACAATTTGATACTAGATAATGGTCTGTAACACAGAAAAAAAACAAAAAACAATACCTGAAAAATGCAACTAACAGATCTTTTGGCTTCTTTGCTCTAAGCTTCTGACCAATCCTCCAAGCTGCAACAATAATATCAATTCAGACTTAGCCATACAAGCACGAATAAATTCATACTTCTCTATGCTCAGTAGAACTTTAGACCTTAGAAAGATCATTCGCAGAATTTAGTTCAACGCGACGCATATGAAAAAAAATTACCTTTTTTTTTTGTTATAGATGACAACATAAGGATGCACATTATCATATTCTGACTGGATTTGTATTTTCAATCGAAACAGAGAGAAAAAACAATCTTGATGAAGCGCTAAAATCTGCAAGAATTCAAAGAATACAACAGCGCATGTCTACAAAAAAATAATTTTAGGGAGAGATATATTTTACACATAATTAGAGATTGAGTTAGGATCAAATCCTTAAAAACAAAATCTACTGCATATCACCAAAAAATTAATATATTTCTATATTTGGATTGTCTCTATTTATGTATTTTGCCAATAATTAAGGCGAAATATTTTTGGTTGAATACGTAAGTTACAGTGGGATAAATAAAAGAAAAAAAAAAGCAAAAGATTAATCTCACAGATTTCATGAAGGGGAAGCAACAGTTTGTGGGATATTTTTCATATGATTGAGGCTCGTTTGTATTCTCTTGTGGAAACGGGAAAATAAACAATTTGTCTTCTCCCCTTTCTAAAGAATGACATAGTTTAATCACTAGTTGCACCATTGCATAGAAAAATAAAATAATTGATAGTTTCTCATAGAATAATGACATAAAGGAAATTTTTAGTTGATTAATAAAACAACCAAATAAAAATAATGGTGGATTCTTCACAAGAAGGGAATCAGGTAAATGCATAAAACAAATGCAAAATATGATGATTTTATGATTTTTATTGATCTCTTGATTGATATAACAAAAATAAATAATTGATGAACAGTTCTGAATCCTGTGACATTTTTTGTTGTAAGAATTTCATTGCTTCTAAATTATTGGGAACGATGGAAAACGAGAGAGAAATAGTTTTGTGAAGAAGATGATTTTTTTGATTAAATCTGAATGTAGCCGGTTTACAAGAATATATACAAGTAATGTACAATCTACTCATCTAAACCAGTAAAAGGAAGCTGGTCTAATCTAAACCGGATGAACCGGACAACAACTAATTCAGTAGTCTCCCTCAAGATGTGACCGCAAAGATGTTATGAAGGCTCATCTTGGACTTTAGATTTTCAAATTGATGGGGAAACAACGGTTTAGTAAGCATATCGGCGAGTTGATCTTCTGTTCGAACATGAAGAGTGCGAAGAAGACATTTATCTAACTTCTCCCGGACCGTGTGGCAATCCACTTCGATATGCTTAGTTCTCTCATGGAAGACAGGATTGGTAGCAATGTATATCGCCGCAGTACTATCCGAGTAAAGAACAGGAACAACAGCTGGAGCAACACATAAATCTTTCAACAGAATGCTCAACCAAACCATTTCACACGAAGCAAGAGCGAAAGCTCTATTCTCTGCTTCAGCCGAAGATCTAGAAACCGTAGGCTGTTTCTTGGAACACCATGAAATCAGAGATGAACCGAGAAACATACTAAAACCAGTTGTAGATAGTCGACTATCTTGACAAGCAACCCAATCTGCATCAGCGAATCCTTTAAGACACAAATCATCATCAGCAGAGTAGAAAAGACCCTGACCAACAGTGCCCTAGATGTACTGAAGAACCTTGTAGACTGCAGTCAGATGAGTTGTCCGAGGTGCAGAAGAGTATTGACAAAGTTTATTCACAGCAAGAGTAATATCCGGTCGAGTGATAGTCAAATACATCAGTCTGCCCACCAAACTACTGTAAAGTTCTCGATTAACAAGAAGCTCACCATCAGATTTAGACAACTTCAGATTCGGAACCATAGGGACTGAAGAAGGCTTACAACCGAGCATTCCTGTGGACGTGAGAAGCTCCAAAGCATACTTCCGTTGGCAAAGAGATATTCCGGCAGTGGTCCGAGCAACCTCCAATCCCAAGAAGTATTTCAGAGGGCCAAGCTCTCGTAATTTGAAACTCTGTTTCAGAGCCTCTTTCAACTTAGCAGCAGCAAGATCACTTGTGCTTGCAATAACTATGTCATCGACATAAACCAGAAGAGCAAAATAATCACCACCAGACTCGCGAACAAATAAAGTGTGATCACCGTGAGCTTTGACAAATCCCATCTGTAAGAGAGAGTCAGAAAATTTGATAAACCATTGCCTCGAAACCTGTTTGAGACCGTAGATAGATTTCTTAAGGCGACAAACAGCATGGGGTGGTAAAGAGTCCCCCTTACTTGCAGCATAACCTTCAGGAAGGGACATGTAGATTTCTTCATCCAAATCTCCGTTGAGAAAGGCATTAGAGATGTCCAGTTGAGTTAACGACCAGTTCTTGGAAGCTGAAACTTTCAACAACTGTTTAACCGTAGCCAACTTTGCAACCGGAGAAAAGGTTTCATTATAATCCAAACCTTCTTTCTGAGTGTACCCTTTCGCAACCAAGCGAGCTTTATAACGCTCGAGAGTCCCATCTGCATGATACTTTAAGGTGAATACCCACTTACAACCGACAGCCTTCTTTCCAGGCGGTAGACTCGTGATATCCCAAGTATTAGTCGCTTCCATAGCCCCAATCTCCTTATATGTCGCTTCACACCACTCTTTGGAACATTTGGCCTCAGCATATGATTGAGGGATGGGAATTTGAGTGATGTGATTAATAAAAGCAAGATGAGAAGATGAAATATTGGAGTATGAAAGAGAAGATGAAATATTGGAGTATGAAAGAGAAGATGAAATGGGATATTGAATATTTGAGTGAAAGGAATAACAATGATAATCTTGTAAGTGAGCAGGCATTTTCTTTGGTCGAGTGGTGACAATATTTGGTAGTGATGGAGAAATTTGTGTTGGTAGATGGGAGGTGTGAGTTTGTTCCAAAGAGGTGAAGAGATCATGAGATACCTCAGAGATAACATCTCTAGCGAAGGGGAAAATATCCTCGTGAGACTCAAAGAGAAGAGCTCGAGCGACGTTTAAGATATGCTGATGTTTGCGTTCCACAACTGAGTTTTGCTCCGGGGTTTCAAGGCAGGAGTGATAAGCGATAATGCCTTTCTGTTGATACAATTCAGTAAACCAGAGCTCAGGAGCATTATCTGATCTGATGGATTTGACTTGGGCATGAAACTGATTCTCAACCATTCTGAGGAAGGCTGGAAAAACAGTAAGAACTTCACTCTTAGTCTTAAGTAAATAAACCCAAGTAGATCGAGAATGATCATCAAAAATGGTTAAAAAATACTTATATCCATCAACTGTATCAACAGAGAAAGGGCCCCAAATATCGATGTGTAACAATTCAAATGTTGTGTTATAAACATTATTTTGAGAAGGGAAAGATAGCTTCCTCTGCTTAGCCAAATGACAGATATGGCAATAAGCAGGCTTCTTATTCTTATGCCTGGTGATCCCCAAGGCTTCAGATATGGAATCCAAACGAGAGAGAGAGATGGATGTCCAAGACGCTTGTGCCAAGTACCAATGTCAACAACTGCATTCACTGATACTTGAGATGCCTGAATATCCAGAACATAGAGATTGGCAATCCGTTTACCCTGTCCAATCGTCAATCCCTTGATAGAATCCTGAATTTCACAACAAGAAGCGTTAAAAATCACTGTAGAACCCATAGCAGTAGTCAATAAACTAATGCTAATGAGATTCAAGCAAAATTCAGGAATAAACAAGACATTGTGGAGAGTAATGTCATTGTTGATGCGAATAGCTCCCATTCCACTAATGTTGACGGTGTCCCCTGTAGGAAGATTCACCGCACTAGCAACATAGATATCCAAAGAACTAAACAAAGAACGATTATGAGATACATGATGTGTAGCTCTGGAATCAATAACCCAAGTGTTCTTGGATAACGTGTTCTTGGAGACTGTCAAAATGCCAACAAAGCAATAAGTGGAGGGGGAGAATTCAATACCAGAAAGAGCTGAGTTATTCGGATGAATGTTGGAAGAGCTCGCTTCATTCGAACTAGTCAAATTTTGATGTTGAAGTTGCGAACTGAAGTAAGCGATAAAACTCTGAATCTGATCTTTACTGAGGTTACCAACAAGTTGTTCCATCCCAGAGAAACCCTTAGAATCCGGCGAAGGAGATAATGCAACTTGAGCAGCAACACGTTGAGGATTATGATGCTTCTCATTTGATTGCTTGCCTTTAGGAGTAAAACCTGGGGGATATCCGTGTTTCTTGTAGCGACGTTCAGCAATATGACCAACGCGATTACAGTAAGAGCAAACTGGTCGACTCTTCTGCGATCCAGTCTGAGCATAACAAGCCGTAGGAGGAACTGCTTCAGAAACCTGGAAAGCAGTGGGAGCAGGAATGGCTGAAGAGAAACTGCGTTGACTATCATCCTGATCAAGCATGTTATACACTTCAGCGAGAGTCGGGAGAGCCTTCTTTGCAATGATCTGACGTTGAATGATAGCATAAGACTCATTGAGACCTGCCAAGAACTTAACAATTTTGGCCTTCTCTACCTTTTCCTGAAGTCTAGCAGCCTTTCCACATGTACACGGGTCATCTGGTTCTTCAGCACTCTCAAGCTGATCCCAAAGGGTTTTCAAGACAGTGTAGTAGTCAGAAAGACTCAGAGTACCTTGACGGAGATCCTGGATTTCCTGAGTGAGATTGAAAGTCCGAGGGAGGTTCATCATGTGAAAGCGATCATGAAGATCACGCCAGATGTCCTTAGCATCATTTATTCTCAGCACACTACGATATATCTGAGGTGATACAGAGTTGAGCAGCCAAGACTTGATCATACTATTGCATCTAGACCAGAGACGAAAATTTGACTCCGATTCAAGAGGACGAGGCAGAGATCCATCAATAAAACCAGTTTTGTTCTTAGCATCTAAGGCAATCAGCATAGCAGCACTCCAGTCATCATAATTCATTCCATCAAGACGAAAAGAGATGATAGTTAAACCTGGATGATC